ATATTATAAATAAAGTTGATTGTAATAGTGTGTATTGATTTAATGTATATGGTCACACCCAGTAATAATATGAAATCAATAGCTGTAAGCTTCTTCATGTCTAATTATGACTTCTATATAGAGATAGATTTTTCTGTTTTAACCCATGTAAAATCACTATTTCCCAGTCCAAAGTTTCTGCAAGTTCAACTTATGCTGTGGGAGTTTCGTTTAATACTGTGAGTTATCTTATTCATTTTTCGCCTCTGTTCTTATATAGAGAGATATATCACATTCCTTAGTATGCTTACTTTTTTTTTTCAAAAGACCTGATTCTACTCTGTCCTTGACCCCCCCCCCCCCCCCCCATCCCCCCTTCTCACTCATTAAACCCACATACTATTACACGGATTTGTCACATTATTTATATATTTTATCCCATCTTGCTAAAACCTTCCCTGTTTGTTTTTCGACAACTGTGTGATTGCTTATGATTTTTCCCTGATTGATACTGTATGTTTTTATTTATTTTTTTTTATCCACCTACCTTGTAGGTAGGTTTGTAAATGGAAGAATAATGTGTCCTAAAGGACACATAATATATATATGTTTTGATTTCAAAATAGTATCACTGTTTGGATTGATAATTTATTGTTTCTTCTAAGAATGGAAAATTGAAAAAAGAGAATAGGAAAAGGAAAGAATTTATGATATTGTCAGGCTCGGCATTGTTAATGTATTGATTCTTCTAAAAATGCTAAACTTTATGTAGGAAAAAATATATATTACCAAAAAAAATGGAAAAAAAAAAATCATTAATTTTTTTGTTGGCATTGAATATTTTAAATATCTATTGTCAATATCTTCTTTAAAAAGACTAGAAAAAATAATACTATTATTAGAAAAAAATTATGGATTGTTATTAATAAATTGTATTTTTATTGACATTTTGTCCCGAGTTGATCTGGTGGTAGACGATAGATTTAATAGGATTTGACAGGTTCTAGTTATTTATAACACTGTCATATGCTACAGGCTCTTGTTATATTGGTAGTAAGTACTGAATGCTATTATTATTATTATTGCCTAGTTGGTTATTGAAAGTGTTATAGAGAGAGAATGGGGTGTGACTACTAGTGATATACGGATTGACTGACTTACTGACTGGCGACTGCAGACTATTATAACCGATCGGCCGTGTGTAGTGTGTGGTATTACTACAGAATGTATACAGTACTTCCTCCACAGTATATGTACACTTCTAACTACAACTGTCAGCCTTCTTTAATTTATATAGATAACTTTAAGGTAAGACTGTAATATACATTTTACTACTTTTACTTTAGCCAACCCAAAAAAATAACTTGATATTAGAACCTTTCGTATCACTGATATTCGGCATGCAGTGAAGTAGTGTTGAGATTAGGTACAGCTGTAAAGAAAATATTTATGAACAGATTCTGAAATCCATTCAAGATGATTTCTTTTCGCAGTTAATTAGATCTGTAATGTAATTTTATGAGTTGTGAATTATTTTCTTCTATTCTAATGATAACTTCAGCTGCCAGAGATTTTTTTCTTGAAAAGTAATTAATGATTATGAATGCCAATATTTATAAAACTAGTTCAGGAATTTTCTTGATAAAAAAAAAGAAAAACGAAAGCGCAATCATCTTTTTGTTTTAGTTGGTATAATGTCTGTTGTGTTAGTTTTTGTGTTGAAAAGTACTTTGCCTATGAACAGCCTCTTGAAAACATCATCAATATAACCAGTGTGCTCCGTCATCCAGCTTTATGAGGAGATGTAGCTGTCAAAAGTTTGTAAATGAAAGAAAATTTTCTTTTGAAAGTTAACTGCTGTGCTTATATAAAGTTGAGATAGATTTATACAGTTCATGCATCTTGATGGTAAGGTAATCTGCCAGTTTCATTATATTTGATATAGTAACTTAGCTTTTAAGAAGGTATACAGACTATATATTTATGCATCAACGGTGATATGCAATGAGGGTATTTTTCATTTGGCTTTCTTTAGTTGTGTTAATAAAGAAGATAATCTATAGGCTTTCATTAGGTATAACTTGAAATGAAATGGGGTTTACAGTCCTACTGTTAAGTTTAACTTGAAAGTGTTACAATGGCTATGTTATACTTGTTTTTACTTGATTACCTCATCTGTTATATTTGTTTTTAATTCTGTATATTATACTCTTGCGATAATTGTTTTATTTTTCTTGGAATCGATCACCATGTGTTTGGCACCATATAGCTTGGATGGTGCTGATGTGTCATTAACCCCATTTCCTGCTACACTAAAACAGTATAAAACCTGCTATTTAAGCATAAAACTTTGTTGCTGAATGTTCTGCCCCTTGGATTCATATTATGAATTTATATATTGATTGTTTAAAATATGTAAAATTGGAGCGTTTATGAGGAGAGTTATCTCTCATCTTTTCATTAGTCATGAACAACTCAGTAACAGATGGTTAGTAGACATTATGAAAGATTGAAAACAGTGACAACTTTCCGATGTGCTTTCATTTTCAAACTTTATGAACAAATTGTGTGAATTTGTACTTTTATGAAAAAAAAAAAAACCCAACAAAATAATTGAAATTGCTCAACATGTTGAACTGACATGCTTAATAGACATTATGAAAGATTGGAAACAGTGACAACTTTTACCTAGCTTTCATTGTCAGTCTTTATCAACAATTTGTTAATTTGTACCTTTATGGAAAAAAAAAGCCAAATCGATAAAATAATTGAAATTGCTCAGCATGTTTAACCGAGAAATTTAAGCGTAACTGTTGGAATTGATATTGTTTTGTAATGATTTTGGTTATTGATTGTAATATTTCTCTGTACACATAGCTTCGATATCATCGTAGTAACAGCTCTGATTATTATATAATTGAATTTGTCGCTTTTAATCAAGAGAAATTGGTAGAAGTAGAACGAATGACTTCATTGTAAAAGACATCTGTGTTTTGTAATTTATTTTACATTTAAAATGTAAACAGTTCCTAGTTAAATTGATAAAGTGAATCGAAGTAACGGGTGCCAATATAATGGTTAGGAAATTTATTATTTGATTTTCCTAATGAAGAGAACAGGTTGTATTTATATGATGAAGAAAATCCATAATCTAACAGCTTCCTTCCCTACACTTATATTGCAGATGGACGACCAGTAAATGAGCAAATTATTGCTTGATGCATTTTCAATTCCGTTTTAGTTTATGTCAGCGTATGGTTTGTTATTGAACAAATCTGTTTACAATTTGTTTGCCAATAGTATTGCAATTTGTGAATTATTCAAGCAGATTAGTTAATAGCAGGTTTTTAGGTTTATGATTTTGTTGCAGACTGTGACACATAGGCAAGTGTCCACGTGTCGTAGGTAAATGGAAACTTTACCAATGTTACATTCAATAATGAATATATAGCCAGACACATCTGTTACTCAGATATCACTGGGTTACCTACGATACAACACGATATTAACAAAAATTGATCGGAAAATTTTGTATAAACTGGCACTTAGTGACACTGATTGTGCGGCAGGTGAAATTCTTCTGACTAATTTCTGTCACTGACATTAAGATATGTATGTTCCTGTAGTTATTATGGTATGTCATTAAAATCATTTAATTAACACGTTCAACTGGATTATTAGTTGTGATATTAGTGTTTTTAATTAAATCTGTTTTTCTCAGAAATTTGGTTGTAAGTGAAAAAGTTTGTCACATGGAAGGTTACTCAGTAAAGAGTAGCTCTATTGATTCTCGTTATAAATAGTGGCAGGTGTGATGCACAAGTCAACCAGGGTATGCTTACAGGTACTCTTTATGCAATGTCTGATACAACAAAAGTTTGTTGTATATTTTTAGTCGATTCAGAAATTTGGAAAAATTTTCTTTGAAAAAAGGTTGTAGTTTTAGCTCCATAAGTAGTTGTTAGAGACATAATGCCTGATACCGCTTCTTAATTTCACATAGCTAAGAATCCATATTATTCTTTTGTATTTGGTGTACCGTTCCATATGTAGACACGAAATGACTTGTACACTTTACAACCTGTTTACGGTAATAATATTTCCTCTATTGAGTAATTGAAAAGAAAATCGAGGTCTAGTGATTACATGGTGCAGCCAACTCTTCATAATAGTCTGAATGAAGGAGAAATATATTAAGAATCTTTTCAGAGCCAAGTTTAGATAGAAGTTGTACAAGTTGCATTCAGTTCTGCTCTTGTATTGTATGAAATGATGTAATTAGTTGGAGTACTTGAATGACCAGTTTGTTTAAGTTGTTTATCAATATTAGATGAAGGGAAACCATAAAACTGTCATAGACACCAAAAGCATGGATGGTACTGCTTTTAAATTTGTGTTTGTGGAAGTTTGGACTTAATTTCTTTACCAGTTTTCTTTTGGTGCTTTCATCATTGTGTATAGACCTAGTTCTGTTGATAGCTGAAATCGTCATGTCTGCTTTTGTAATTTCCTGTAATCCGACCTCCAATGGTTTTAATTTTTTTATTTTCGGTCTGAAAATATCTAGTAGTAGGTAGTGCAAGAGAGCAGACATGATATTTATCATGGAATAAACGCAAAAGACCGTGCATGTGATTAGACTAGGTCAGAATGGATGTATGTATTCCTGTAATTTAAATCTCGATCTGTTTGACATGATGTATTGTTGCTAGATTTTATATGCAACTTCCTTGATATCTTATTGCTGAAGTGCAGCTGACTGCATTTGAATGGCACTTTGGGTGTTATATTTGTGAATTTTATTTCATGCTAGTTTGAGCCTTCTCTTCTCCATGTTGTATTCTCAGCACCATTTGAAGAATCTGTTTGGTTGTTGAGAAGTTAAGCGGAACGTATGATTGATGCGTCGTGTTTTGGATACAGATTGAGTAGACTATTGTTAGTTCATGTTCTATTTAATTTTATTGAATTGTACGTTATTTTTTTTTTTTTCACATCAATTTTAATTTTTGTATTTTCAGCGAGGTTCTGAAGAGCTGATGTCTCATAGTCCAATGGTAACCAACGGGTCCGGCATGAGTCCCCAACATGGACAGAATCTTGAACTGAACAATGAGGCCAAAAAGGTAAGAGAACTAATCCTTATAATCTTGTGAATAATACACTTGACACAAACTCTGTTCGAACTAACAGTGTTTGCTATTAAAAGGCGACACAGTGGCTCACTGAGTAAGGCACTGGCTCACAAACCAGGAGGCCCATAATTGTTTTCCCTGTGTCAGTGGTATAGGTCGGGCATCCTGGCAAGGAGCAGTGTCTTTTTGTTTGGACGGGAGATCCTGTGAACATGTTAGAGTTTGCACATAAACTTGAACAGTTGACAGTTGGATTTCAAAGGAGAGTAGGTAGAAATGCCATTGTTTTGGCAAAATTTTCCTCATACACCAGGCTTTATTAAGTCTTTATTAACTAAGGTGGTGCATGAAAGTAGGACTTTAAACTCCATTTCATTTCATTGCTATTCCACTTGTCAGTAAACTGTTTTACATGAAGTCTGTACTCAGTTTATCAATTATCTAGACAACATATCTACCAGATACACAGTAACAAACCATATTGTATAAAAGATTTATGATATATTATATATAATGGTACTCTTTGATTATCATGTGGAACAGGTATTGTTAACTGAAGTGTGAATAGTTTATTACACGTTTACAGTATCAGGGTGAATGGTTCCATCTTTCTCAGCTGCAACAACTTCTAAGTTCTGTTCATGTATTCTATCACAAGAGATTAAGAGAAATATGGCGTATTTATTCAATGAACGAAATTGGATTTATTTTTGATGGAGTTTGAGCATGCAATGACATCATCAATAGACAACTTGCTCACTAAGGAAATATTAAACATGTTGAATAATGTTTGCTGTGCAATTGATATTAAGTAAAATGTGACTATGAATTAATTCCATATTATAATATTTCGCTCCAAATTTGGGTGCTGTTGCGCTTGAAACTTTTGTTGATTGGAACATATTCGTCAGTTCCACTACAGAAAATCATTCATTTATTCGACTAATAAGATTTGTTAAAAAGAAAAGAATATTGTAATTGTATTAACTCATACTACTAGTGGTGCATTAAATTTGGGAGGGGGGGGATTGTTCATATTGAATTTCTGAAGACATAACTTCATATTTCGTTACTTACTTTTGCGAAAAATAAATCTGACAAATACGATTGAAGCTTTCTAATTTGCATGAGATACGATGCTTTGGTACAAAATTTGTTAAACGGGAGACATACATTATTCTTTTCCATTTACTTTCTATTTGACTCGGTCATCTGCACTTGTTTCTGTGAACTTAAAAAGGCAGATTGTGGCAAGACCTTTAATATATTTATATTTAGAAACATTGACCTGCAATAAATTTGCATAACCTAACGGTTACTTGAACAAACGATAGGTTACACAAAATAATAAATTACAAATCTACCATGCAGAATTTGAAATTTTAAGGTCTGATAAATATAGCCTTGTTTCCAACTATACAAAGCTGTAGATTTGTTTTTGGTAACGCATAACCAGTTTTAGAAATTATGTTTTATTATTCCAACAGTCTGTTACACATTTACAGTAAATAGTGTTGACAACTTTTACAAAAATCAATGATTCAAATGCTGGTGCTATTCTCTGTGAACATTAACCATAATAGTCACCATAATAATAGTCATAGAAATTTTAAATTACTAGTGGAATATTGTAACCAAGCTTATCATATGATTGATGTTTAATAGCTTTTTATAAATTCAAAATTTATATATTTATTACCTGAGAGATGTCAATTTTAGAATTTTGATATATTGGGAAATTATTATATATTATTAAGTGGAAAAAACTTTGGTGGACACTTATATGATTTATATTCATTTTGTATTTAGATTAAATTAAAATGAATTACTGTTAAATAATTCAAGGCCAACCCCCACATGGCAAATGAAAAGTCTTTATTTCTTCAAGATGCATTGCTACGGATGAGAAAAACTTCTAAGAGTCATTCACTCTTAGTGAAATTTATTCACTGAAACATATATGGGACTCCTCCTTTAAATCTTGTATGTTTTGTGCTTTGTGCAAAAAATTTGGATGTATATTTTGCCTTGAAAAGACTACAAAAAATTATCAAAGAAGTTAAATATCACCCATCCTTGAATTAATTTATGTTGTAAACTGAAGACTTGCATTGAATAATATATTACTACGTAGTTTCTATAGTCCTTAGTAAACGCCAACTTGAAAGAAACTCATACAAGTGTAACCAGTATTGAATTCTTGTTACGCTGATATTAATCAGTATAATCATATCTGTCCATTACCATAATTATTCTACTCTGATGAAAGTATCTGGAGTATTCAGCTTAACTGATCATCAAGGCTTTAGCTTACATAAATTAGGAGTTGAGAAGATCTAAGTTTAAGATATGCAAAATTTCTGAGATATTGAATACGTAGATGTATCCAACCCCAAAAAAGAATTTGGAAGCTAACTTAAGATAGATAGGTTTCAAGGAGCTATGGTTAATATGGCTATGATTCCAGTCTTGGCTGTTTAAGTTCTAGCCTGATTAACCCTTGCCAGTTGTGCAGGATGGGAGGGCCTTGCATGAAAAAGCAACCAGTCGGTCGGATGGGATGAAAAAAAACCTGTCCCATGTGTAAAAAGAGTAGACCTTAGCGATGCTGCCATAACAAATTGCATGGCATATGTCTCTTCAATAGTGCAATTTACAGAAAAGTAGCACTTTAAACCAAATGGGTTTCAATATATTGATACAGGTCATTCTGCAAACAGAGCTATATACATTGAATGACTGCCATATTGAAAAATTAGTACCGGTATATTATTTTGTTAGTGGTTCTAATCTGCTTTACATCCTACATTCACACAAAGACTAAATAAACCTTTTCAATATTATTAAATGTGGAATAAATACTTCTCAAAACTCTTGATGTATACTTAGTGCTATCAACTAATATAGTTGATGTAGGAATTAAAATGAGGGTTAACTAACTTTGTGTCTGTTCTGTAGAGGGAGTAATTGTAGACGGTGTATATATAAGGGTTTTGCTCAAACTTGTGTGTTTGCGCGGTGATGGGGGTGGGGGTGTTAATGGCCGAATGGTTAGCATGTGCGCACTGTATCATAAGGCCTGTCATTGAGTCAACAGGCGTGGTTTCGACTCCCCGGTTGTAGGTGACAAGACCCCTACGCGCAAGCGAATTATTGAAATAAAATTTATATAAAAAAAACCCATGTTAGTCCCAAAATGACCTAGTCTGTGTCGAATGGACGTTAAACCCCAATTCTCTCTCTCTCTCTCTCTCTCTCGAACTTGTGTGTAATCCGTAAACGTCGATGTTATTGGAATTACACCCTGTGTATATTTGAATTTTTATAAAAGAAGTCAAAATAGGGATAAACATGTATTAAATGCAAAAATGAATTATGTTACGACAGCATTCAAAAGAGATCTAGTTCAGACACGAAGGGTGTCAGTTTGTAATTTGAAGAAGTACTCAACATTTCATCATTGTATAATTTGATTGGTGATATTACTAGGTAATGGATAGAAGGGATATGAATATGGAACTATAAAAACCACGATTAGGAACTTGAATGGCATTATCTAAATAAAATAGACAAATGTATTGACTATAAATACCCAGGAGATATATTTAATGACTCACAGCTAAATGGTGACCAATTATTTAGTATAATGAATGCAATGAAAATTGGTGCCGGGGCTTTTTCTGTAATTGATAAATGGCTGTGTAAATGTCATGATATTTCCAAAATGAGTTTAGATAATCACTGGTTGGCCATATTATCATAAATGGAGTGAAAGATAAGGGGTTAAGATTAGGCATTAAACAGTGCATTGTCCATTATAAATAAATAATGAGTGGTTTGGATGTAATAGATCATTTTACTTTTAGTATTATGTTATTATTGTTCTAGTGCTTTCAAGGACAGGAATCAGAAATTCTTAAAAGGGTGTGAACTTTTTGAATAATTAACAAGTCAACAATGAGTTGGCTATAATTGAGGGTTTTGACATGTGTCAGAAAGGGCTGATAAAGCAAAAACTTATCTACCTTTCAGATGGGTATATTGTAAGCTTGTTTCAAAACCATGAGTAGGGTGTCACACAGACTATTTGCAAAACTAGATTAACTGCTAATCAGACATGGGCACATCCCATTTGAAACCTCAAATTTCCATAAAAAAAAATAATGAATTTTTCAAGCCCTAAGCAAGGTAGGTGAAACTGACAATTTTAAGTCAACTCTTGAGACAGCCAAGATAAGCAAGAAGCACTAATAATTGTTTGAGGACAAATTTATTGCTGACATAGTCAGGATATTTGTTGTTAGCTTACTTCCTGAGTTTCATGTTTATGGGCGGTGGCAGTTTTGTCAGAATTGTGCTTGAACCTCTAAGCATCACAGTTCGGCTGATCTACTTGCTATGGTCTGTAATAACGGTGTTATTATAGTGCAGAGCAGTATATCTATATTAGCAATCAACAAGTACATCATGTAGTGAGACTGTTGAACAAATACATCAGATAAACAATATCAAATTAATCTAACAACAAGAATTGAGATAAAGAGACTCAGTAATATCACTAATTCAAACATTTCCTTTACTTTGTTTTCATTCCATTTCATGGCAGGACCATAAATATTTCCTAGTGTATACCATAAATTAACTGGCCTTTTGATATACCTACATGTGCAGCAACATTTGGAAACCATACTTTACCTCAGTGTAGTTTAAAGTCTGTAATGCTCATTTCATGGTTGAATGGGTTGTGAGAAAGAGTTTCTAAGAGCAAATATTTGGATGGTTGCCACACGACCATTAATTTTGGGTGTAGTGTCATTCTGTATTTACAGTGTCCCCAGTTATGTATCTATGGTTTCCCTCCTCTGTTGGCTTTGGTTATAAACTCAATGAGGGTACTATGTACATAAAGATCAACCATATACCATATCGTCTGTGATTTACTTACAAATAATTTTCAAGTAGCTTAGTACACAAAATATAGGGGAAACCTAAATGCTCTTCAGACTGTCATATATATAAGCTAGTTTTAAAACATTAGTGATTTCAAGTCCGAAGATTTGTAGAATTTACTCATACCATGAGCCAAACCGTATTTTGACGAACCTTACATGTGGCACTGGTTTGCATTGATTCCAAATGTTGACAAATGTTCAGTTTATTGGTCCTTTCGATTCCGTAGCTCCATTTCCATAAGACAAATAAAATGATAATTGTTTTTGGTTCTCGTAATATGGTTAATTGCATTAAAATAGGACATGTAATTTACTTTTAATTTCAACAATCTGTGACTTTTTTTGTGCATTTGAAAAAAAAAAATATTAAGAAACTCTTGAACACATGCTTAATGAAATCTTAATTCACCTTGCCAGAAGTCTTTTATTTATTCCAATACTATCAGATATCTGCAGGACTACATAACATTAATTTCTCCTTAACACTTTCTTTTTAAGTCAATTATTGATAAAAGAAAGCTACACTAACATTTATGCAGGGGAAAAAAAAATAGCTTTCTTTTCTTTAGTGTGGAGATTTCATCCTTAGAGGTTATTAATGCACAACTACCAGGAATAATATCTGTATGACCTAATGAGGTCAGATATATCACAAGATATTTTTACTGCTCACACATCCTAATAATAAGTGTATAAGAGGAAAGGAGAGAAAAAGCCACTGAAAAGATATTTGCACCGTTCTTTCATACTTCATTAGGTTTCCAACATCTCCAGCTGAGGGCCTTTCTGCTGTAATGGCATATTTGTTCAAATGTAAGACATGGATGGTCTAGGTCATGGGAAATTTCTGGCAAGTCTTGAAGAGAGTTTAAGAACTGTGTTTAGTTTATATTTAAGATAAGTGGCCTAACTTGCCAGTTTCTCTTTATGTATGGGTTATTTCGCTCATGAGTGACAGGACCAAATCTTAATGTTTAATATTGTATTTTGAAAGATGGGAGAATGCTGCTGGCATTTGTTTGAATTTAATTATGGTATATAAAATGATGAAAACAGTGATAGTTGTCCATTATCTTGATTCAGTGAGAAAAGAGGATCAGGTTAAGTCAACTTGAACTTTACTAGCAGAACAATCTCCAGGGTTTCATACTGGTATCATAAGTGTTGTAAAAGAAATAGTTGCAAAATGAATAGTTGTGATTCTCTGATATACTTAGTTCATCAACACAATTTATAAGCAAGTCGAAGGCTTTTTTTTATTAGCAGAACAATTTCATGGGTTTCACACTAGTTTCATAAGCGTTATTTTCTCCTCAAAAAGAAAGTGTTCAATCAATGTTCTTGATTCTATAATATACATACCCTGTAGTTTTTTCATTTACTAACACAATTAAAAGCAAGTTGGAGGTCTTAAGATCAAGAACAACTGTTTAATGTAAGAAGTTATGGTTTGTTATTGGGTGGAGAAACAGATTCTGGAAAAATATTGGCATAAGAAAACCTGATAAGTATGAATCTAGCTAGACTAATGGTGAATACATCCAAATGGCCACTAGCATGAAAAATAGCTCTATTAAAAACAGGTGTCAACCCAACTCAGTGGGATTTTTCCTGTGGTTTTTACAGAAGTATGATGAAAAAAAAAACCAGGCAGTATAGAGGCTGAAAGTAATCTTTTAAACTGTCAGTTCCATTTGTATTCCCTTTATTTGATGTGTAGGTCAATGGGTTTATGGCAGTTTATTTCCCCTCCCTGTTTAACTTGCCAGTTTTAGTCAGGAAAGACAAATGAGATAAGTGATTGCCTTTCTCCTAGTTTTCCTATTAATAAATCCACTTGTAATATTTTTTGTGTTTATTTTTTAACACAATGTCATCTAATGGTTATAGTTTTGAAATTTGGAGTAACTGATCTATGGAAGTATTTAAACAATGATTCAAGGAAGCCAATCTGTTAATATTCTCGATTTTTACAGATTTTGTTATGGATAAAGATGGATATTGTTGTCTGGGTTACCATAGTTTTTTAATCACTGAGTTAAAATATAGAAGAAGTGCGGACATGTATAAAGGACTCTTAGCAGTTAGAGTTTGAAAAAGTAGACGAGAAATGTTGCTGTTTGGGTACAATTCTCCCTCTAGCATTGCACACATAACTCTTGAAATGAAAATTAATCATGTGTTTGTCTCAAAATAATACCCGATATTTAAAATTTGTTTTGGACATATATTAATAATGCCGATAAAACCCCTAAAAAACGATATATCTGTGCCAGACAAAATAACATGCACCAGAGGGATTGTTCCTGACAAAGTCTGAATTTGTGCCTGACAATGTCTGACAGATGCCTTAATCTCCAATCCATAGATTTGCTCCTGATTCTCCTCTCCGCATTCTATGCCATATTCAATGAAAAATCATCTAATTGTATTGAAGTGATGTTAAATCACCTTTTTCTCCAATAGATATAGCTACGTAGATAAGTAATTTAAAAATATAAAAAATAAAATCTGATAGGAGAACAGAGAATCTGATAACAAATACTATCAATTTGTTGGGTTGAAAATAAAAGTACGATATAATATTGATTGTATTTATTGGAATTTGTAGTCTTTGCATGCAGCTGATAATTTATTTTTAATCGATGGCGTTGAAAACATCTAACAAACATGAAAGAATTTTTAAAACATATAAATTTAAACACGGTTTTGATCTGAATTCTTAGGTATTTCTTTTTATTGCATTAAGAAGTTACCATAATTAAACTAAGCATGGGAAAATGTTTTGTGTTCATATCTGATGCTGTCTTTTTTTTTGTCTTGAGTATAAAGAAGAAAAGAAGAAAAAAAATCTGAAATGTTTTCAATTACAAGCCAGCCCAGTCTGTATTAGATTGTTTGGATTTTGCTGAATTAGATTGTAGTAACCTTGCTTCATGTAAAATAGTTGAAACTTCTGATAATTACAAGATATGTGTACATATACGTAATATGATTGAATTTGATATTTTTCAGGTTAAACTGGATCAGGCAAATGGAACGTCTCGTGTCGTTCACATTAGAAGTTTACCTGTAGATTCTATGGAAACTGATATTGTTCAACTTGGTATGCCATTTGGTAAAATGACCAACGTCCTACTGCTCAAACAGAAAAACCAGGTAATTAAACTATAGCCATGACTTCATAGAGGTCAAAGCTCTAACATTCTTCTTCAGGTTTGACCAGTTTTGACTGGCAGATTGGTCACTGATTCTGACTAAATATTAATCTTTTAGTTGTGAATTTGGTATAAGAAATCTGATATACATTTATAATGAATGAAATGAATATAATTTAGAAAGGAAACAGCACTCTACAAGCTTAAACTGAATTGTAATTATTGATGGTCCTATATCAGATATTGACAGGAAAATATATCGGCTGATACAGATTATTACCGATAGTGGTGAATATAAAAGTATTACACATTAATATGTGTCGAATGTCATGATGATCGGTGTAGTAACATGTCATTGTTAGTCGGGAAAACGCCTGGTACTATTTTACCCCGGAATCAAACAGGAATGGGATGTTTTTTGAAGGAAAAAATAATTGTAAACTAAAATAAAGTATTGAGTGTCAAGCAAAATAATGATTTAATTGTTCACAACTCAAATGATATTTTAGAATTATTTACCGAGTCGTCTTAAACAGATATCGGTGACTCCAGTATAGGTCACTTATCGGCCAATTACCGATGTTGAAACCGATTATAGGACCATCACTACTTGTAATCAGTGCAGTACGACCACAAAACAGCAACATAAAACTAACTGGAAAAGAATGGAATAAGGTGTTTAATAGTCATTTTCACTCTTCAGGCAAACTCTATGAGTCAGAATACTCTTCTCTGATTTCCTTGCCCCATCAGTATTTCGAGCACAGAGACATTCTATTCAGTACCCCCGCCACACAACTGCCTCGGTCACACAAACTGGAGAAAAAATACTCATAATACAAACACACAGATGACACAGTTCTCCAACAGACAAAACATGTATCTTTACTCCTCGGGCTCTACTTTCAATGTCCAGGGTGCTGGACATTACCAAGGATGTTGAGGTGGTGATTAGCACAGAACATGAAACATTTAAATACAATTCATTTTAGCCTTATTATATTGTCCATATGTTAATGAAACTATATTGGACACCATTAGTATTGTTTAGTTATTGATTATCACAACCTAGACAATTTATTAGTCATTAGTAAAGGTATCTGAAGCGATAGAAAAAAAATACACGTAGATAATTATTCATAGATGTTTTCAGACTAATTCAAGATACAGTTGTCAACTCCTAAAATTCAGAAAATATGGTCAATCGCTAAGTGCAAAGTTTTGTCACGTTATGGCAATAGGTAAAACCCAGAGCATAAGCAGCATAACATGCGCTCCTGAATTTCAGTTGTGTCTGATTAATTGCAAAACTGATTACTCTGAAAGTCCTAAAGATTAAATTTTGATTGTAAAGGGGGGGGGGGTGTCACGGTGGCTAAGTGGGTAAGACGCTGGCTCGCTAGCCTGGAGGTCGGGTGTTCGATTCCTGGAATGGCCGAGAAAGTTCATCCAGATTTTCCAGCATGGTTCCCCATTGTCAGTGATGTAGGATGAAGGGCTTGACAAGGACAGCTGTCTAGTCGTTAGGATGGTATGAAAAACCGAAGTCCCGTGTACACATTGGCATGCTCGTAAAAGATCCCTTGACAGTTGGAATTCGATATATAAGTGGGCCGTAGTGCCGCTGTCCGTGCAAAATTCCTTCATAGCACACTATATAGCGTATGCCCGTCTACGGAGCAGAACAGTAGGAATGTTAAACCCCATTTCATTTGTAAAGGGAACGAAGCAAGTAACTTTTCTGGAGAAGTGTTTTTTCCTGAATCAATATTTGTCTACACATAAGAGTATTGGTATATACAGAAATTCTGTTCTATCAAATATGGTTGATGTTAGCCAAACAAAATATAATAATACTGCATTTCATGAAATTATAACTTCACTCAGAATTTAATATGTCTTCTCACTAAATCTTGTTAATTCTTTTGTACAGTTTGTTCAGTAGTCAAAATAGATCGAGTTGACTAATTTAACAGCTGCAGAAAATGCAGAAAAGTTGAACTAAGCCCAAATAATAATATGAGATAAATTAACATTTCTGTTTCTCTATGTAACTTTCATGTCAAATTTTGCATATTTAGTTTAAAAAAATGAAACGAATTTAAGCAGGAACTTTTAAGTAAAAGAAAAACCCATTGGCATTCCATAATGGCATTCCATAATGGCATTCGTAACATATGGAATGGCATTAGTGGGTAGAATGGAATTTTTTTATTTGAATTTTTGGGTTGCCATGGTTTTCAAAATTGGTTAATAATTTTTGTTGAAAACTAAGTTAATTTACATGTGAACTTGACAAAGTTATTGATGTTAAATCGGGTTAATTATCATCGACAATATACCTTCATGATTCGTGATACATTTCTGGTACTGTTGAGGGGTTGGGAGTGGAATATCGTATAGGAATTTAACTAAGTAGTCATCCATTAATTATCTGAGCCCATCTTTTTCTTGTTAGGGTTAAAAATGCAAGTTAAACTGTAATTTAGTGTTCTAAATTCGTGATACAAACACCGCTGTCTTGAGCGAAATGGATTGGACGGAATTTGAGGTCTTAAATTATACAATGAGCCTTTGGTTTCTTAATGAGCAAAAACAAAAGTATGCACTGCCCTAGCTTAGCATTATGTCAATTGAAACTGTAATGATTTAATCGGCCTTTGGCTTAATTGTCATGGACCAGACAATGAGGGCATAATTCAGATCTTGGGTGGAATTTTCTGTAATGATTGATATCTCAAACACATCAATCACTGACATAATCTACCAATTCAAACAATTTTCCTTTACAACAATGATGGTCTGCTTTCTCTCAGTAATACAGAATTAAGTAACAATATAATTTTGACAGTAAATCCCTCCACTTGCAAACGGTACAGATCTTACTGTGGTGTGATAAAGAATAAACTTAAAAAAAGAATGATTACAGAAAAGCTCCTGTTGAACTGTAGGGTGTCTGAAGGTGGCAGGGAAAAACGGTTTAGTCAAAGAGTTTCTGTTGAGATTGAGTTTATTTTGAAAATTTGATCCATGCAAATCGGCTAGATAAAGTCATGACAGTACATAGAATAATTCCATAGACTATAAAAGCTTCTGTTGTGTGAAGAGATAAATATTGATAGGCTTATCTTAAAACAAATATAACCGTTTGAATTATTCATATTCTAAATATATTTGAATGTATTTGTCACACACAGGAATAAAAGCTGAACATGGAAAGGCAACACAAAAAGTTCTCTCCATTATTCTTTTATACTGTTCTTTATTTTCATTTGCTAGAGAGAAGAATAACAAAAGCCAGTTTTTAGGATTCGTGAATTATTAATGTTCATGTCTGATTGTATTTTAATTCAGTAGAAAGTGAAACATGGTCATCAAAATGCTTTCCAGATTACCCAGAGGCCTTAGGGACAGATAATTAGTCACTTCAATAGACTGGTGGCAACAACATGGTTGACAAATTCTGTTGATAGCTTTTATACTCTGTGTTACCATGGTGATAGATGTATAAAATGTTTGTGAAATATGGTCTTAATATTTTTGTTTAATTGCTACTGAGCCACTGTGTTTGTATGTAAACTATTAAATGGGCTATCCGTTGAATTGTGTCAGAAGGGTTTAGTTCTAATATTATTATATTGATTGGAAATGTGGAAAATGTCATCCTTATATTTATTGCCTGCTGTGACTTAATGATAAAGCTAAAAACATCCATTATACAGCAACCGAGGTAGATTAATCATAAAGATGTATTTCCTACCAAAACTCATTAACTGTTTGATTTTCATTATTTGTTTGATGATATAGAATTTCGGTCAGTGTTTGAATAAAGTCAAGCTTAGTAATTTATGGTTCCATTCCAATTCTAGCTTGAGCTGATTAATTAACTGTTTTATTTTCATTATTTTTTTATTTCATATAGAATTTCTATCTGTGAATTAATTAAACTGAACTTAGGATTTATGGTTAAAATTTTAGACTTAAGCGATTATTATTTATGGAGGAATTTTAAATGAAATGAAAGTAATTGAATGTTGTATTATCATCCTCCCAATCCCAAGCTGAGGGGGTTGCTTAATAAAGCTTTAGGCTGCTGGTTTGTCATCTGTGCAAACAAGGGTTGGGTTTAGTGATATGGGGAGGTTCTGAAAAATTTGATGGTAAATTCTTAAACTATATAACATTCTTTTACAAACCCCACAATTTCAAGAATATAGACTGAATAGAAGGAATAAAAAAAGATAACAAAAATTGAGTCATATAATAGTAGTTTCAAATCTTGCGAAAGGGTATCCCTATTCAAAAGGCCATATCTCATGTTTTTAAATAAAGAAATAAACAAGCTAAGAAAGGTCTACAAATAATTTGATTGGAATGGTATAACTTAAAGTAGTTTTGTTTTAGACGATAGTGCATGCGTGTGGCATCGTGGAGAGATGGTTACTGAAAAAATTTTTTTACCTTCATCCGTATATAAGTCAAAGCGAAGTATAAGATGAAGGCCAGACCTCAGTGGAAAAACTTAAACCCCGAAAATTCATGAAATTTGTCAGCTTGGCATATTCGATCGAACACATTTGAATTAAATTTCTTTTATATGATGAAGAATACTCCCAAATGGTTAGAACTATTAATTTGATTTCTTTACCTAATCATTGTGACATAATCTTTGCTGTTCCTTACTACAGCACTGACTGTAATGAAAAATAAACAAGAGTTAATTTTCTGGCAGCTTAGAAGAACATATAAGTGCCAAGCTCAGATTACCTTTTTCCACTCGCCAATAGCTTTAACTCAAAACAAATTATGAGTCTTAATATGTTAGGGTGGTAACAAAAGGCCTCAGGTTTCATACACCATTCATTATTGGCTTAGAAATGCTGTAAATGGCTGTGATTTGGTACATTAACTTGTTGAATGGTGATGAACCAAGGTTTTCTGCTCTCCTGCCTGTATATCAAAGAAGCAAGTAAACGATAGTATGATAGGTTTCCAGGTGAATGCATATCTCGCTAACCAATCTTTTCAATATTCATGAAATGGACATCTAGCAACAAAAGCTGTTTATGATGAGATAAATTGTTGACCTTGGTTACATGCTAGCATGCTTAGTAGGATGTCTACAGAAAAAATGTCTAGAAATACTTGAAGCTGAATACTTGGTCTCCCACAACTAATTTAATGTGTACCAACCGGACTGTTTGGAAAGGTTACGACCCATGATATTACTCTCAAATATTTGTGTACTTTTAATGGCTATCAACATAAATCAAGAGTTAAGGACATCTTTAAGGTGTGGTTTGATGCAGGAGATTGATTTTTATTTAGTTCTTATATCTACTTCTTTTGAAGGCATTAAAATCCTTTGGTTTCCCCACACACAATTTTGTAAATCATTTACCAAATAATTTGAACTTTTAGCTCAATGCATACTATTTTTATACATGACATGTTTAGCGCTTGAGCACATTAAAAACAAAATTAACATGGCGCTATATGTAAATAAAGCAGTTATTGTATTTCCATATTGTGTTATTTACATAGTATATGTATTAATGTTGTTAAAGATAATAATTGTGTATTGTATTCAAGTGAATAAGGATATCTCACTGCTTACTAGTGTTCCCCAACCTTGGGTATGTGAAATTTTGTCGAAGTCCAGGAGGGGGGTCTGTGAAAAAACGATATTTAAAAAAAAATTGAACAGGAATATATGACATTTTCAGAATTCATATTTGTTTCATAATTTAATTCTTTCCGATAAGATGGCCTGTATTGGTGTTTATCAAATATTTATATGATGTGAAAAGTGGTGGCAAGTGTCCAAATTACAACTCATATAATTTGGGAAATTTTACTGAATGCAGATAGATAGGGGGGGTCCTTGTGGATTTGTAAAAAGCTAGAAACAAAGTTAGGAAGCACTTCTCTTTATTATATAAGCAAACCAGAAGAAACTCAAAACAAACGGTTAAGGAACATGGCAAACACTTACAACTATATAAATATTCAGACTTCCACCTTGGAGGAAAATGATAGATAGCTAGCTCACATACAAATCTATAAATGCTTACATATTCTGAGAAACTTTTACTCTTCAATTTTAGAAAGCTATACATTACATACGTACATAAATTTACGTATGCTTTGTGAAAACGGTACTTTGAAATATCCCGGTAAAAATATGATAAGTTTAACGTACTGTAATGGATATATTTAATTACTCTAATATGGTTAACTCTGCCTCCCATGATTGATGCCAAAAAAACATAATATGATAAGACCTTAGTGTTTCATTAACATTCTTGTAATGGAGATGGGGAATATCTTCGTTAAGTACCAACATTAGAGTTAACCGAAACATTCTCTTAATGAACATAGAGAATTCTTATTGTAGATGTGAAAGCTAAACTTAAAGCACTGAATCGGTTCTTACTTGATCAGTCCCCATAATATAAAGAATATGCCAAATAAATTAATTTCTAATATCAAATAAATTAATTTCTAATATCATTTCTTAATTAAAAGTAAAAGTAAACAATAGACATAATTGTTGCTTCAGTGTATGTGGGGCTGTGGACTCCTGACGACAATATTCTGTCTTCAAATCTTGGCATGTGCCGCAAAGAACCTTCTCCTGAGGTCTACCTTTGTACACATTGATATTAAACGAACCCTTGACAGTTGGAATTCAAAAGACCATAAAGAGGAAACACAACTCTAAACCAAATTCTCCAACCTTGCATTACACATGCAGCCATGGAAATACAAATTATAAAAACATTGGGTTGATGATATGTTATACCATATTCCATTCTTGCTTCTGTTTATATACCAACAACTATTCTTTCTGCAATGCATATGTATTTTACACGTCATAATAATAGTTAACACACCACCCCTCAAAAAATACAACACTTTTACTTATGCCAACCTCTGATAGCACACATTATATCAGCATACAATTCAAACATCCCCCAAAAAACAAACTTCAGAAATATAAAAAATGACTTACCATTGCCAAGTCTAGTTGGTAAAACATTTGAAATTTGACATGAGGAGATAACAAGAAGGGAGATTGCTGTTATTATGATAAGTGTAATGTTATTATAGGATATTAGCATGGTATATTACATGTAGTATGGGTTGTTACATATATAAACAACAGATTGTAAATGATAATTCTATCTTATTGATGTATATTCTATATGTTCTCTATGTTTATTATTAAAAACACAATGAATGTTTCACTGACTTTACCACTGGTCTACAAGTGCAAAGCGTGTAAAATATGTCTTCAAGTTAAGTTATAACTTAACAACAAGTGCAAATGGAGTAAAATATACCTGTAAGATATAAACTTAGTTTTACAACTAGTGCATATCGTGTCAGATATGCCTGCAAGTTCTAGCTTGATAACAAGTGCAAATTATGTTATAGCTATTGTGAGTAATGATGGGTGTTGTGCATTAAATGGAAGGAAAATTTATAAGCTGAACTCTTGACTCATCTATTCAAGATTGGTGATGAAACAACATGATTTGCCATTTCTCCTAAATTTTGCAATTTTATTCCCATTGTTACACTATTGTCAAAATAATCCAAATTTGAGGCTTTTTCTTTTCTGCTTGTGTAAAATATTGTCGAAATCACTGTAATCATCATTGCTTATTACAAAACAGCCTGACATGTCATGGTGAACTGGCATCTGTTAATGTCGAGCACACAGCTCTAGATGATTGGAGAATAATGTGAGCTTTGTTTTATTTTTTCAGGCTTTCCTCGAGTTCAGCGATGAATCTTCTGCAAGCAACATGGTATCTTATTATCAGAACTGCCCTGCACAGATTCGAATGAAACCATGTTACGTCCAGTTTTCAAACCACAAGGAACTCAAAACAGATGCCTCACATGCACTACAGGTGAGAGGATAACTTTAATATAAAACTTAAAGATACGTTATGGGAGATTAGATAAAGAGTTGGCAGTTCTCACAATAATAGATATGTGAACACAATAGACCAGTGCACATCTGTACAATTTACTAGATCAATTTATACCTATTTCTATAGTGTTACACATTCTTTTGAAGACTAACAATTAAAAAAAGAAAAGAAGAAAATCAAAGACAGTATATAAATGGATATATTTATCTGACCAGTCCTACGCATTCTTTTTATGACTAGCAGATGAAAAATTATAATCAAAGAAGAAAAATAAACCATGACTTTATTCTCATTCTCTTTATGACTAGCACATAAAATAAACCACTAAATTCTTTTATTTGATCTGTCCTACGCATTCAGTTTATGACTAACCCATTAAAAAAATCTAATCGAAGGAGGTATATAAAAAATATACTGGTATATTCTTTTTCGACCAGTCCTACGTATTATCTTTTTGATTAAAACATAAAATAGATTCAAAGCAAAGAAAGTATAGTAAACCACTATATTCTCTTTTGACCAGTCCTATGGATTCTTGGTATGACTAGAACATAAAAAATATAAATCGGAAGAGGACGTGTATGTTAATTTATTCTCATTGAAACGAATGTCCAAAAAAAAAAAAAATTCTATGACAAGAGTTTATGTGAGCTGTTTTCACAAAGTATATTTTACAAGATCTATGGGCCAGGAACTGTGCATACTTTCATCACCTCCTTCCTTTTGTTACATTTTATCAAAAATCAAAGTCAGTTATTTGATGCACAATTGTCCAAAGAACAATTCTGTCAGATTTCATGTCGATCAATTGTCAGAACCTTAGGTTTTTTTCACGAGCGTCACCAACAACAAGACCAACAAGATGAATAGTGCTTGGAGACCAATTCCTGGCACAAATTTTTTTTTTATCCTATATTGCAATTTAAAAAAAAAAGATGGTTTTATTTTGATGGAATAATGCACCATGGAATTAAAATAGAGCCAAAAATAGATGTATAATCAGACAATATAGAAATGATAAGCCTTATTACCTCAACATTCACTCAACCATGTTTACTAGAGGGGGCCTTACATGATTAAATAATTCCCTGTCCAGTACTGCTTGTTATATAAGGCAATGCAAAAAAAATATTCTGGTTCTTAGACCATTCAGGAAAAAGTATTTTCGTTTTTTATTGGGCAGTGGATCCCCTAACAAGTGTGACTGAATGACTTGCCTCATCATCTGTTTAATGCAGAACAACAATTTGATTTTATATTTACTATTTTAAATGTCTTTCCAAAAAACAGTTATTTGTTTTAGAGGGTCTAATATTGTACAAGTCGAACAGACAAATCTGGAGAGGCATCGGGAATAAAGTTTTATATCTATTTGACTACTGAATAATCTTTTATTAACTAAATGCCTGTTGGGAAATAATAGCATTTCCACTTAAATATGGTTTAACAGAGATTTTAGCATGATTTTTGTTTATTACAGAAGAATGATAGTTTGTGGTTAAATATTGTAACTTGCGTTGAATTAAATTGATAGCTTGTAGAATACATGTAACTGAAAGCAAGTGTGTGTCATTTGTCAGCAAGATTGTTTCAGTGCCATTTGATGCAGATTGGCAATTTGATTGAAATGAGAATAGGGTTAAATGTTTATTGCTATCGTATATTTTCAGAATGCTACAGCACAAGCAGCTCTACAAGCCGCTCATGTTGGTGGTGTTATGGGTAGTCCAGGTAGCTGTGGTACAGATGATCAAACAACTATACTTCGTGTAATTGTAGACAATGTCCTTTATCCTGTTACTTTAGATGTCTTACATCAGGTAATATTATTTCAAACTCTCATAAGTTATAAAAAAAATAAAAAATAAAAATTCGTGCCAGACAAAATGACAGTAACCAGATTGATCGTATCTGACAAACTCTGAAATTTTTGCCCAACTGTGTCTGGTACAAGTGTCTTTAATTCCAGGGTTGAATGTATAAAAAATGGTGGAAATCAGTAATCACAAACATTCAGAGAACTCAGTGATCACTTTATACTTCATTAAATATTCATCACCTTTTATCAGTAGAGATAAAGTTGGCTAAAAACAGATAGCTGGAAGTGTTTAAAATCACTCTCAATATTAACAACTGTTGAAATGTCTTAAATAAATAATTTCTTTTTTTTTTTTCTAATTTCAGTTGTTTCAACGTTTTGGTAAAATTCTAAAAATCATCACCTTTACGAAAAATAGTAAGTATATTAGAAAGGCAGTCATCAGTCCATGGATAATTGTAACACGATAACCAAAAGTATATTTGCAAATTCTATTGACTTCCACAGTAGTGAAATCACAGATCATATCATCCATTTTCCTTTTTCGCTATAAATTGCATAGTTTTACCTGAAAGAAACTTATAATGATTGACCGCGAATCATGTGACCTAATCTGGATGACCAAGTCACAAAGTGTATTAAGTTGGAGGTATATCAAAAGAGACTTACCAATATATACTTACTTTTATGCAACGAAATGAAATATATGCAACCATAAAATATCGGCTAATGAGAAAATCTTGACTTAATCATGATGGTAAAACTCATCTCTGCAGGATATTGACAGTCTCAGTGATTTGTACACATTAATGCATTTTAACCTTGTAAAAAAATTATCATTATGATATCTAGATGCAAAGGAAATGGTGTTGTAAAATAAAATTTATAGTCTGAATAGAGTATTTATGAGTTTTGGTTATCAATACCGCATGAAGAATTCTCTACAAATTTACATGCCATTTATCCTTGACTTCATGGTCTATAAATATTAAAACGTTTTCTTTATTTCCAGACACATTCCAAGCATTGATACAGTTTTCAGACACCATTTCAGCTAATACTGCAAAAGTAGTAAGTAGACAGACAGATTTAAAGGAGCTGTTCCAGGTTTTTGAGAGAATAAAACTTGTTAATTCTGTATCCTTAAGGGCTGTTAAATAACTTTATTCTGGCATTATGCAACCATACGAAAATAATGTACCAATAAATGCAAATTGTAATTTTTTTTTATGGAGGGTTTGTGATCACACAACACCCTATGTCTGTTTCAGTAAATTATTTTGCATTTTGGCTTTAGATTTACTTATTTAAGCTCTATGTAATCTAGAATGGCTCCTTTAAGCTCTCTTTAGAATATTCATGAAACATATGCAGGTCTACTGGAGCACGTAATATAGTGTTACATAAAAACACATGAAATTATAGTCATCTGCTGAATAAAACAAAAATAACAGACATTTCTATATTTTATTACAACGTGGTGAAAATTCTGACGTGTTCTCCGATAATGTGAGAACTTACTCAGTGCAGTTAGAACTTGTATCTTTTCCAAAATTGATATTTAAAGCAAATCATCGTCATTTTTATTTTTTGGACAATATCTAATTTTTCACGGCTGAATTTATATCTAACATTTGTTTAATGATACAAAACCAAAATACCAACTTGGAGTCGGTCAGATTGAAAGAGGTTGATCAAAAGACTTATGGATGGCACTCAAAGAGATAGGTGTGGGTGGGGGGTCTCTTCTGCATATGTTAGCAATCAGCCAATGAAAGGACAATCCCTTTCAAATATGTTCAGGAATGACTTAAGGTCCTAGTTTTGTCTACCAAAGTATTGTTTGTCATAAAGAATTTTCTTTAATTTTCTACATTATGTATAACACAGATTGTTCACAGATTTTTTTCTTTTTCAGACTTTAGATGGTCAGAATATATACAATGGCTGTAACACATTGAAAATTGACTACTCCAAACTTACAAACCTCAATGTTAAGTATAATAATGAAAAGAGTCGTGATTTTACGCGGCCTGATTTACCATCAGGAGATCATGGGTTTGAACAACCGTTCCATTTAAGTGGTAAGTTCATTTCATTTTGATATTTTATCCAATAAATTTTTGCTTTTTGAGCTAATAAAATACGCTAACATATCATTCATATGGAATGGGAATATTTCTGGACAAATTGTAAAATTTTATATTAAATATACTGTTCTCTGCTATTCAATGATGTGTTAGTTTTTGGAGAAATTATGGTTTAAAATTTTGGGATGTTTTGAATTAAATTAATTTTATGGTGAAAAGGAAATTTAGTTTAAAAAATCTAAGTGTTTCTATTTTAAAATTATTTGCACGTTTTTTTATGCTTTTTTCCTCCATTTCTAACTCCCTTCTTCTGTTTTCTATTGCCTCTTATACCTCAATGCCTGATTGACTAAAATAGAATAAAATACACACTTATTATATACACAGTGTTTGGATTGAAATCGTTTCACATGAACCTCACAATGTTCACTTTCACACAGACATGATCACATTCACAAATATCTTAACAAATAATTACACGTTCATACGTTAAAAAAATTTTCTTGAGAAACATATATCTTCACAAAAACAGTCTTAATCTTAATACAAAACTTGCTGTCAAATTATTTCAGAAACTCCACTCTCTCCTTTCATGTGTTCACTATGGACACTTAATTTTGATTTGTAATTTTTTGCCTATATTTTTGTTTGGCAATCACAATTAATCCATGTTTAAATCTAACTGTAAAAAGGTATGCCCGGGGTTATGACCTCACCGTTTCTGCCCGGTATTGGACCACAGCTACATACCCTAAGTGCCGCTGCTCCCCATGCTGGAGGTATGCTGCATATATTAGCTACATAATTTTTTATAGTAGATCATTTTGTAGGGTTTCAAGATGGTTTTGAATCAAGCAAAAGAAAATTAAATCTATCGTAAATTCATTAGAAATTAAAGAAGAGTAGGTGGAAATGGACACTGCCTTGTCAAAATTCTCATCCCTGGCATTGCACATTAGAATTTAAAGAAGTATATGTGGAAACACACTTGTCTGCTTCCTGGCACTGCACAAATAAATGATGACCATTCCATTCATAAGCTTGATCCCCGTCTTGTCATAAATTAGCCAGAATTATAAATCTCAGGTGATCATTCTGCACAATTCCAAATAAAATCACTAATTCCTTATTTAACAAATGATTCAAAGCCGTCTTTTAATCTGCTTGTGTGTAATTATATTGCTTCCCTCTATAAATAGAGTAAATGTAATTAGTTTTGGTCGTAGATATTTTTATTATATTTTCACACCATGGCATGAAGAGTATATTATATATATAGTACCAACATAGATAAAGACCATGCTAGACTGATGATAATCAGTGATCAAATTAAAAGACAACCAACATCGGTTAGAAGATGTATTTTGTTGCTTATACTAACCACTTGCTTCTCAAACTAAACCTTGTTAATAAAGGTATTTGGTGTACTGTAAATACTGCTCATAATTCACTTCCCTAAAGCTAAAGTCATGTAATATAGAAGTGGAGGAAATATATATACCTTACTAAAATATAAGCCTTGAGTAGTTATTGTTAGAAATGCATATTATGTAGGTATTTAAGGTAAGAAAACTGTAGTTTATGAAGAAATTGTATTAAAATTCGAGATTTTATTGTTTTTTTCCAGCACCATCTTTTGGAGGTTTAGCAGGTATGTTGTATTAAAAGTGGTGAAATAAACCTCCTCCAATCTCAACAGTCTTCTACTTACTTACGTGTATAACCAATCATCTCTGTCTGTCTTCTAAACTTTCTTCTTTAAAAATTACATAAAAATCGCGATCCATAAGAATTCATTAGATTTTCAAAACTCGGAAAGTTTTTTGAATTATATTTTTTGCCATAATTCTGTTGTGAACTGATGTTATTTCTCTATGAAATAATCCACAACTGCAGTTGAGTGACGACTCTTGTAAATTAAATATTTATGTAGAGAACCATTGGACTTTTTTGCCCTTGTCAATTCAAATTTACTATATGAAGCCCATCCTTGGTTGTTTCACTGTGATCCAGACTGCAATTTCTAACATCAGTCCTGATATTCCCCGGAGAGTTTTAGTGAATTCTTACAGAAATATACAAATTGTTAGTCCTACCGTGTGTAATTTTCATGAGAATAAAGTTTTGAAGACATTTCTTTTGTAATCGGTTTATCTGATATCACCTAACTTTCTAGATGTGAACTATTGTTGAATGTGAACCAGGTAGCTGTATATACAAGATGTGTGCTGTGTTCAGTTGAAACTGTCGATACATTATATTACCTAACATAATTTCTCAGAATCCTTGATTTTAAAAGTACTATACCAAATTACAACAATTGTTGGCAGAGTAAGCCATCCAGCCTCATTTTCTACATCTTCCATTACTTAAGATTTAATAAAGCGAAAGTATAGACGAGGATTACAAAAGCAAAGATGATTAACTGAACACAGTACTGCTTATCTCTAGTCCTGTAATCTTACTCTACTTTTTTCTGTGTCGTTAACTTTATTTCTTTTTCAGCATCTCTCTCTGAATGGAAATTCTATTCTATCTTAAGATCAGCACACAATGGGATTATTTTTAAAATATCTTGGGATTTATTTTCATCAGGGGGTTATCGTAGTAGACTAGTGGTCAGGGAACTTGTGTCTAGTTGTTCAGATGCAAAAAGTTGAGGTCCAGTTGTGTTCTCATTGGCAGGCTCTTAAAACAAAACCGTGACAGTTGGAAACAAATGAAGAGTAGGTTGAATCACCACTGTCTGGACAAAATTCTCCTACCTCTTGTTACATGCTTAACTATAGATATTAAACTTACCACCTGTTGTCTGTAAATGACCAAAGCGTTGTGTCAAGACATTACATTCTATTTCATTATTTTACATCACTCTGAATTCTGAAATAATTCAATCAGTTTTTTTCCTTTCATGTGCCTTGTCATATTAAAGGAAATTTTTTAAACAATAATCTCATTGCATGTGCTGGTATAAATGGATCATTTCTTAGTAATCATCAGTATTTGAATTATTTATGAAGAAAATTTTATGTGTAGACATTAAATGTATCTTGATATGAGCATTATAGTCTTGTTCTTTCAGTCGTAGTCTTGATCTTTCAGTCATTAATTACCAAAAAAATCAGCACAGAAAGTATTTACATTATTTATAAATTAGTATACTTTCATTTTCTATTTACTACTAATTCGATTTTGAAATTTTGAATCAATTCTGTTGAAATTGATCAGTATCTATATACTGGTGGATATTGACAAAAACTGTGCAGTTATTGGTAATAATGATAGATTTTATCATTTAGAAATGAGATAAATGTATCTAATATATTGCATGCTTTGTGTTGTATTTCAACTCTTCAGCCTCTATTACTTCCTTTCTTCGTATAATTTATCAGTTAACTTTTTACATGTGTTGGGTTCTCTGATCGTGGTTGTTCGACAAAATGTTAAAGATTTAATTCAAGAAGAATAGTTATTTTAATTCGATAATATTTGCCATTTTGAGTAACATATTTTACAGGTTATGGCTGTGATGTAACTATTCCACATTCAGCAAGAAAAGTCAACCATCGAAATGTTATAATTAATGATCAAACGTTCTTAAAAAATGTAACCTTTTGTATAATTTAAGGATCTCCGATGCCATTAGCTGGTTATGGTGCTCATCATGGTTTTGGTGGCAATTTTGGTTTACCAGCATCAGCAGCGGCATTAAATGCTGCAAGACTTGGTTTACCATTGACCGCACAAGCTGGAAGTAGTGTTATATTGGTGTCGAACCTTGATGAACAGGTATATTCTTTAAACATATCTTATAATAAATATAATTCAATATTATAACCAGTGCTAGTATATATTATATAACAAGTCACAGTCTTCTCTAAAACTTAAAACCTATTATTCTGTGGAATTTGGGTCCTATATTTATTATTGAATTACCTTAATAAAAACCACCATTTTGAACATATTATTATGTCTGAATATACCTTTTTTTCGGTGTTTAGTTTTCTCACAGAAATCTTTAATTGATAAAGTATAAAGTTCATAAATGATCTTTTCAAAATGGAAAAATGTGTATTTAGTAAGTGCAATGGCATTATGAGAAACTAATTAAGAATGAAAAATTATTGTTCACAATGGTGTTTTTCATGTTTTAAAGAGGCAGTATTCCTTTTCATTAGAAATTATTTACCTTATTCAAACATGTTTCTGGCTAATTGTTGAAACAACCAAATTCATCTAAACTTAGAACAGTCTATTTAAGTACACTCTTGAATATGTCTAAACTGTGGTCTGGTGTACCAATTGGTAGTGCACGTACAAGATCCCTTGGCAGTTGGAATTCAAAGAAGAGTGGGCAAATTTGTTTGTGTCTGGGGGAAAATTCCCCTACTCGTATGTACATGTAACCATAGAAATAAAAATTACCATATTTGGGTCTCAAAATGACCAAAGTATTGTGTTGATGAGACATTAAACTAGATTCAATTCATTTCTATGTGAACTATATTTGTACGAGACACGTCTGTATCTCAATAATGAATCTGCCTTTTCTAGGTCAAATTGCGTAAATGAAACAGACAAAATTTTATTTTTCTCAGTAGTGTCTATTGCTATGTAATGTTGCCTCTTTAAAAAATACAAAAAAAAAAAAAAGGATCTTGCTTGTACTTAATAATTGTAACTTGAGTCAAACCAACATATTTATTGTTAATGTTAGTAACATCTGTTTGTTTCTTTGAAATGGGATGACTTGTATTCACGTCGATGGTTATTATAACTTTGTAATTCGTTTACTTATTTAACATGGTAGTAGTATTTATTGGGTTGACTCTAATGCTATACAAATTTCAATTATACTTATTTTGAAATTGAGTAAAAAATTTATAGCAATATTTGATATTTTGGTTCAACTGTATTTGAAGAAACTGTTAATGTTTTTTGACTGTCTAATCTAAAAAATAAATTCTAATTCAAACTAATAAAAATTAAAATATGGTGGTTTGATTATTTTGTTCTTAACATGTTTTGTAATATTCATAAGACTGAATATCTTATATCTCATTAATATATTTTCGCATTTTGAAATACACAATATTTTTAATCGGTTTTATTTTACCTGGTGCTCTCCGAAAAAATATAAATAACTGGGGGAAGATTTTTTATTAAAAGAATTAACTTAAATGAAAGATATAGTGTCTGTATCTAAGAGCATGCATGACATAATTCCTGCCTTATTGTCCATATATATTATTGCTTAGTATTTATTATGTAGATTAATATATGACCTAGGCTATGAATATAATTTGTGTAATTTATGTGTTCATTGTGGAATTGTGTCGGCTGAAATGCATGTGTATTGCATGTCACATGTTTTACGTAAAAGGTTATGAACTCTGTACATTTAAAAGGTGACATTAGATATAGCCATCATCATACTTGTTAAAAAAAATTTCTAAATTACACCAATCACTTTAATGTGTACATGTCATGTAGTTTTAGGGGCCAAATGACAAATTTACGTTCATTTAAACTTGTGAAAGTGTATGAGTTATCCAGGTCAGGAAATACTCATTTTATACATACCGATACCTGAAAAATTGTTAAGCCTTAACTAGTATCTGACATCGTGAATCTTTGTGCAAGGGATATTTATTTTAAATATCACTGATGTAAAATTTGTGCGGGACAAAATGAGAAATTGTACCAGACAAATCTTGAATTCATGTCTTGATGGAAGTCTGCAACATGCACCATATTTCCAGGATTGATATTTATTATTTGTTCAAACTGATCCTGAACGATTTTGAATTGAACCTGACATATTTTGATCCGGGTCTAACATATTTATAAATGATATAACAAGTATGATGATGTAAAAATATTAATACAAGCAAGGCACCACAAGATTAGAACTTGTAACAACATATTCAAATTGTGTATTTTAATCTTATATATTAATTCATATAAATGCCAATATTTGCAGCATTCTGAATGATTATTCATCACTCTAATAATTTTTCCCATTTTTTTTCTTTTTTTTCCCGTCCTACCACTTATGCTGGTGCCTCATGTGGATTCTCTATTCGTTCGCTCGGACACTGACTTCGTCTTTCTCCGCTCTGCTATACCTGTACGCTCTGATTCTAGATGGTCACGCCCGACGCTCTTTTTACCCTCTTTGGTACGTTGTTAAGCACTCTTTGTTTCTATTTCTGTAGTAGAACGTAGCACCAGAAAATAATGATACAAAAATTTAACATTTAATGAATAATAATTTTACAAATCTATTTTAAAAAACCTAAGAATTTTTTTTTATGAAATCTTTTAATTTTTGGAATATAAAAATGGTGCCTTTTCAATTTAAGATTGTTAATTAAAGAAAATCATTGATTAAAGAATTAATTAAGGGAGAGATGATCATTATGAAGCTATAGTTGATATAAAACTGAGTGCTGGGTTATACCAATATGTATTCAGTCGATGGTTTCTTTTTACTCACTAACCAAATCTTCAAGTAGAACATATCTTGTACACTGGTAGTAGACCTTGCAGTATGTTACTTTTTCAATAGTCATGGCTTTTCTTGATTAGATATCTCCAGATCTTGCCGTTTTAGAATTTTTCTGACTATAGTTTCATATGATCGATTCTCTCCTATTCTCCGTTCTGTATGCTTTGCTTATTGCTTGGGTTTCAAGGAATCTCCTTGATGATCCAATGAATTCAAGATATTTTGTTCTAATATTAGATTGTGTGATTTTATTGTAGGAGTATATGGTGATGTACACCGGGTAAAAATCCTATTTAACAAGAAGGATAATGCTTTGATACAGATGGCTGATCCACATCAAGCACAATTAGGTAATTTCTTCAACCCAGAATAACATCCTGTACAACATAATAAAGGAGACTTGATTGATAACTTTGTTACGTTTGACTAATTACGTATGTACTGGAACACAGTCAAGTAGTTAATGCATTAAATAGATAACATTGTTACATGATAAGACAACATCTTAGTACAATATGCAGAACATCAATACTTAAAGGACCACTAGCTGATATATCGAAGATATTTTAGCTTAAACGAGATGGTGAATCAGTTCCCCTATTCTAACAAAAGAAAGATAATGAAAATGAGTATATGGGTTCACTTTGGAAATGTTCTAGGTGACCCTATTCATCTGCCTCCCTTAATTAAATGTCTTTATGATGTCATCAGTACTAATTGTGTCTCCATGCTTAGAAATTGAATGTTTTAGTAAATCTTATATACTTTAACAACTTTTGGCAATGGAACAGTTTTTATACGCCCACATTTAAATGTGATCGTATATTGTCGTCGCGTCCGTCGGTCCGGCGTCCACAATTGCTTGTGGACGCTCTAGAGGCTAAAGTTAATATCCGATTGACTTTAAATTTATACACAGTGGTTAAGGTCTTGAGACGAAGAAGCCTATTGATTTTCAGAGATTTCCGATAATTACTGCCAGAGTTATGGCCCTTGATCACTTCAAAAAATCTTGTGGACACTCTGGAGGCCAAAGTTAATATCCGATTGACTTTAAATTCATACACAGTATTTAAGGTCATGCGACGAAGAAGCCTATTGATTTTTAGCAATTTCCGATAATTACTGCCAGAGTTATGGCCCCTGATCACTTTGAAAAATCTTGTGGACGCTCTAGAGGCCAAAGTTAATATCCGATTGACTTTAAATTTATACACAGTGTTTAAGGTCATGAGACGAAGAAGCCTTTTGATTTTCAGCGATTTCCGATAATTACTGCTAGAGTTATGGCCCTTGATCACTTTGAAAAATCTTGTAGACGCTCAAGAGGCCAAAGTTAATATCCGATTGGCTTTAAATTTATAATCAGATTTTATTTTATTATAAATGTTTCATTACCGAAAATTAAAAATATGTGACAACTCTTGTTGACTGCCCGTACGATTTAGCTGCTGTGGGCGTATGTTTTGTTGCCTGGCAACCTATCTTTTGACTTTTACGATGTTCTATTTAATTTGTCCATTTTGTGTTTCAGCTATCACATACTTGGATAAAGTTAAAGTATGGGGTAAACCTATTCGAGTTGCACAGTCCAAACACTCACTTGTTCAGATGCCGAAGGAAGGACAACCTGTAAGTTACATTTACTCTATAACATGTTTCTTCTTGATAGACCTTTTTAATCCATTTAAACCAGGAGTTTATCGACAGTTGATATTTTGGTTTTGTTATCTTAATTAAACATTAAATTATTAATTGAGGTATATTTTAGGATGGATTAATCCAAGAAAAATTAGATATTGGCCTTAATGGAAATTAGAACCAGGTTTCCCAGAAAGGTTATACATACCCAACTTCTTGGTCATGCAACACAAATAATACTTCTGCTAGTGTCCCTCTCTCAATAGAATGAATCTGAGAAGTACATAAAATGTATTTACTGATGTTTTATTCGAATATTTATAAATTTCATTGCATTTGTACCTCTTTTTCAGGATGCTGGTTTAACTAAAGATTTCACCACATCTCCTCTTCATAGGTTTAAACGACCAGGCTCTAAAAATTGTCAGAATATCTTTCCCCCATCAAGTGTATTGCATTTATCTAACATTCCGTAAGTATGACAAATGTTTGAACACCTTTGTTTACATGTACTTTAATTTTAACAATTGTTATAGGTCAACATTGGACGTAATATAAGAAATAAAATTGGGTTTCTACTTTTGTGCATCAACCAGGCTAATGAAGACAGACATGCAATGTTTTGTGAAGAACATTTTTCTCTGACAGTGACGCTACAGTCTACTTTTATTTTGATTTTCAACTAAAATGAATAGTCCCTCTTCCTTGCCATAAAGCCCTCTGTTCTGCATCACTGAGAGGGGGCAGGGATGGCCAAATGGTTAGCATGTGTGTGTTGTATCATAAGGTCTGTCATTGAGTCAGCTGGCGTGGTTTCGAATCACTGGTTGTACATGGCAAGGAGTGGGGTCGCCTGTCTAACCTCGTGGGTTTTCTCTAGTTCCTCCCACTGCTAAAGACCCCTATGCACAAACAAATTATTGAAATAAAATTGAACCAGACATTAGTCCCGAAATCCTGGTTTATGTGGAGTGGATGTTAAACCCTATTTCTCTCTCTCTCTCTTTCTCTGCATCACGGACAAGGGGATATTAGACTGGACAAGTTAGTCAGAGGAACATTCTCAACCATAACTGAGTTAATGAGCTAGTACCATACCCACTGAGCCACTGTGGCTCCCAGGACATATAACAAGATCATGTGGCATGAAACTAATTATAAATGTATTTTGTTTGTTTTAGACCAAGTGTAACTGAAGAAGAAATAACAGAGTTGTTTACTAAACAAGGAACTGTGAAGGCCTTTAAATTTTTCCCGTAAGTATTGATATGTATTTCAACTGTATTATTATGAAGAAAGGATTCAAACAGGGTGGGCACAGGTCATTTTTGTTAGATCCAATTTCAAATTTCATTTTTTTTGTGTTTGATATTCAACACAAACAATGTAAACAGAATATTTTTGACTTTCAATCGAAAATTTGCTGAAACAAATTGCCTTGTAAAATGCTGTATGTCTCGTACAATTTATGTTTATTTGTATTACAGAAAAGACAGAAAAATGGCTTTGATCCAGATGGCTTCATTAGACGAAGCTATAAATTCCTTAATAGTAAGTATTCTGTCAGATTATATCACAAGAAATAATATTTACAGAAATATTTTAATTTAAGACTCATACTATTGGGATCTTGTATGGAAAATTAAGATGGAATCTTTACACAACAAAGATAACATTGCTGTCATAGTTGATATCGTTGCTAATGGTGGTTTGACACGGCTCAGTAACGTCGGGAATGTTTAAAATGTGCGCGTTGCATCATAAGTTTTGTCATTTAGTCAGTTGGCAGGGTTTTGATTCCTTGCTTGTATGTGACAAGGAGTAGGGTCGTCTGTCCAACCTTGTGGGTTTTCTCCTGTTTCCCCACTGCTAAGGACCCCTAAGCGGAAGCAAATTAATGTAATTGAACCATGTGTTAGTCCTGAAATGACCTAGTTTTTGACGAGTGGATGTTAAAACCCATTTCTCTCTCTCTCCTTCTCGAGTTGAAATTTTGTCTAGCAAAGAGGAAGGAAAAAAAACACCCTCTTAATTACATTTGTTTATCAGAACTATTGGATGCTAAACCCCATATCACTTCATTTACAAATGAAATGGGGTTTAACGCCCTACTGTTCTGCTCCGAACTGGGCTAATGAAGACGGGCATACGCCATACAGTGTGCTATGAAGGAAATTTTGCCTGGACAGCAGCACTACAGCCTACTCTTATATCGACTTTCAACTGTCAAGGGATCTTTTACGTGCACGCCAATGTGTACACGGGACCTCGGTTTTTCGTCCCATCCGAATGACTAGACAGTTGTCCTTGTCAGGCCCTCCGACCTGCATCACTGACAAGGAGGAATCACGCTGGAAAATCTGGATGAACTTTCTCGGCCAATACAGGGATCGAACACCTGACTTCCAGGCTAGCCAGCCAGCGTCTTACCCACTTAGCCACTGTGATCCCCCCACTTCATTTACATTTGGGGGGGGTGGATGGCTTAATGGTTAGCGTGAGCGCGCTGTTTCATGAAGTCCGTCATTGAGTCGACTGGCGTGGTTTCGAATCCCCGGTTGTACGCGACAAGGAGTAGGGTCGCCTGTCCAACCTCGTGGGTTTTCTCCGGGTCCTCCGGTTTCCTCCCACTGCTAAAGACCCCTACGCGCAAGCGAATTATTGAAATAAAATTAACCCATATGTTAGTCCCGAAATGACCTGTGTTGAGTGGACGTTAAACCCCATTTCTCTCTCTCTCTCCCCCCACTTCATTTACATTTGATTAATTTATTCTTTTCTTCAGGCTGCGCATAACTACCAGTTGGGTGAAAACAGTCATCTTAGAGTGTCTTTCTCCAAGTCCACGATCTAAATTACCAGCAAGTATAGAGCTATACACATACATGACGTGGCTGTACAACAAATATATATTACATTGTTATAAAAGAGTTTCTGTCGCTGTTTTTGAAAGCTAACAGACTGCTGGGGGTCCAAGTGCCTTTCTTACAAATTGTTGAAAAGCAGCTTTTAATCTTGCCGCAAAAAAACACAAAGTTACTAAAAAAAAAAGTTCATTATTACAAAAAAGGGGAAAAATTAATATGCGAAAGAATCAACTTAGAAAGTAGTAAAAATTATAAAACAGGACAATTTTAGTTTTTGGTGTACGGGTGTTGGCCATTTAAGTTGATTGTATTGTTATGTTATATAAAGAATTTGGCATAAATATTTGTTTGTATTTGTTTTATACATGACATACTTTTCATGCGTTGATTTATTTTGATTTGCTATATTGTTTAATTTTGTTGGCTTAAACAGGGTATTCGGTAAATATATGCAATGAAAGGAGGAATTGTGTCGAAGATAATATTAATGAAAATCAAATTTTTTTATTATTATTAGATATTGTACATTGTTTATCCATCCGTTTCTCCTTTTATTGTTTATTATTGAGACACCTGCTTGTTTTTTTCAATAGTTAATTATTATTATTATTATTTTTTATTATTATTTTTTTTTCGGAATAGCTGTGTTCGATAAACAAGATAGTTAAGTTAATTAGTCAAGCTTTTTTTTCCAGCTTTGCAAAATTGACTTTAAGGCAGCAAGTATTAATAAAACTTTAATGTGCATTACAGTGTCAACATGGAGAAAAGGGATGTTTTTTCGTATAGTATATGAAAAGATAGACATCTTGTAATGGGCCACATTGCACAAAGCTGCTTGTTAAAGACTCACACATACGTAAATTGGATTTTTTTTAACGAAACGATGCTACAATGTATGTGACTTTATGTGAGCTTTGTGCAACGAGGACTGGAGCAGTAGAATTGACAACCTATTCTTGTTACGCTATAGGTATTTACCTAATTACCTCACCACGGCCACCCGCCATTTTATTTTAATTATTTTATTTTTTTTTTTAATGGTCGTGTGGTGTTCAATTTATATTACTTTAAGCATAATTCAACCTGGCGTTAACAAGTATAGGCGATGTTAATTCTCTTTCAAGCTGATTTATAACATGAAATCCATTTATTAATAAACATAATGTGATAAACTATAATAACTAATTAATAGATGATAATTAACAATTAAGATTAAATTTTAAAAGGTAGTAGACGATTAGTATATTATTATTAACATTGCCCACCCTGTTTCACTCAAAACCATGCTTCAGAAACTCTCCCCGATACAACATTGGTTTGTATCTTATTAAACAGATCGGGTCGCATGTGCCATTCATATTTCAACTAAGCTTGATGTCATGCAGAACAATCTCGACAAGACTACTCTTCAAAGTATAAGTCAGTTGAACCTCCTTTGAGACTGTTTATGTGAGGCGTTGGATTTTTAGCTTAAGCTGAAACTATGAATGGTGTATTCGTCCCTTAGTCTCATGGACAACTTTATATATATACTGTAACCGTACATAGTTAGTATAGCAGAATAATGTTCTTTTTGCCGGTAGAAGTAGTGAATAATTTTTGTAAGTTCTATTTTTGCATTTGGTGTTGAAAACCTTTTAATGAACCATGAAATTAAGGTTTGGATATATATATTTTTGCATTTTTTGAAGAGTTAAAATTGTATGGGAAATTTATTTTACATTTTACTATTATTATTATTATAATTATTATTATTAATGTGTTGAAGACGAGCAGGGTGATGTTGTTGTTGGTATGTTGTTTTTATTGTTTGTTGTCTTTGTACATCATCAAAACATGACCCAGCCGTACACATTGATTACCATGGCAACAGAACATAAACAATTGTTAATGATTGCTATGGCAATGGAACATAAACATTGTTAATGATTGCTATGGAGATGGCTGCATCATGTTGAATTTCTTACGTAAAAATTTATATTTCAAAAGCAGCATTCCACTTTATTCATGGCCTTACTGTGCATTGAAGAAAAATTGTTATTGATCATCGGAAATGTCTATTTTGAAAACAATTTGAAATAACGGGACCCTTTTTCTGTTTTTGCTATGTTCATACGTTTATACTGCTTATTGATTGATTGATTAAAAATCTGACCTATTTGAGTGACTTTATAGATGGACCTGTTGTTTTTGATTTTGCATTCAATCTACGTAGTGTTCAAGTTGATTACTATTTTAACATCCCCTTTTTCTTATAATAACTATTGTCGTTGCTTCAGTTTCTAGTTGTATTATTCTCACAAATACATAATCTCTCGTTAAGACATCTGGTTGGAATTTATTAAGGGGTGGGGCTGGCGGAACTGACAAGGAAAGCCTGTCTATGGCATTCGGATGGGTAAAAAAATTGAGGCCCACGTGTTTACATAAAGTGTGCATGTTAAGTTGGAATTTGAATTAGAGTACCTGTTATGTGGAAATGATGTTGTTTGGACAGAATTCTTCCCATTGCGTATAAAGCAGTCACTTGAATGTTTTAATGTGGGGAAAGTTATGGATATACAGAGTTCACACCTTAATTGTCCGATTACCCTAGTTCCACGACACCAAGAGTTCACGACACCCAGAGTCAGAGAACTAGCTGGCGAGAGATGAAAGGTTTCCGAGAATGTAGTTGTTTGTAACCATTGTAATATTTTATCCTACATCCAATAGTTAAGAAAAACACCTTGATGTCACGTTTTGTTGAATATAACAGACTGGTTTTACAGTAATTGGATTACAAGTTATGAAATCCGAACAAGAATTGTTCATTATTATTATTACAACACACATTTATCATAGAAATCATAAGAGATCTTGATGGCCGATCTCATCCAAATTTATTTTATAAAGAATTTCATGGTGTAACATTACATCTGTATGTATGTGTGTAACGAATTGATCTTGAAATCCAGTTTTTGTTTATGGGTTAAATTATAATACAAAAAGAAAATCATACGTCATTTAGTTCGTATTTATCTAATAATTCTAGATTTGATTAGATTAAGATCATCGTCTTAGGATATTTGTTAAAACTTCTTTCTGGACTACAGAAGTGATGTCAATGACATCTTTTTATTTTGATGGTTATATTATAAATATATATATATAATTAATATGTTCATGAATTGATTGCCTTTATATGTCTTGTTATATATATATGAATATATATTATTATATATTGTATAATAGGGAATCTCCCAGTTTCATATGGGGGAAACTTATATAGATCTGAACTTGCCATGGTTTTTACGCAAGTTTTAAATGTGCCTAACAAAAGGGAACAACACCACATACTGTTATGAAAGTTTTTATCTTTAAGAATTTTTGCTTTTTTATTTATTAAATATATACTTGAAGACTCTTGATTTTAGAGTTTTTGAATATGATATATAAATGCAAGGATGAAAAAAGCCTGTAATGAAATTGATATGATGTACCAAGTGACATGTATTGCGCAATTTAAGGGGGTGGACAGTAGAAAATTTCAGTTTTTTTAATAATTGAGGTAAAGTCACCATTCTTACACATCTAAGAACACATCCATTGAATATTACAAAAACGGCCGAAAAATTTTCCTGGGGGTACCTGTTGCTATGGAAACGGCGGCCATCTTGGATTTCTGCGTATAATTTTAGTCATCCAGTTTCTCAGAAACTATTCAACAGAATGTTTTAAAATTAAGCAGAGAGGTTACTGACATGTTCCTTTGTGCAATAGGCAAGTTTCATTACAAAATAATAATTAGAAAGCAAGTTATACACATTTTAATGTTAACTTCAAAATTCTTTCACGTGTCACAGTTGCTATGGCAACAATATATCAGGAACTATTTCGCAGATTTCAATAAAATTTTCCTATTGCACAAAGTTATTATATAGGAAGTTATATTCCAAGTTTCAAGAAAATCTGACGTTAACTTTCAGAGATATAGCATGACTAAAATTGGTAACTCTAGAAAAAAACTGTTTTGAGAAATCAACAACTGAAGTTGAAGTATTTCAGTAGAACAACTTACGCCGATCTGTTCAATTCATTTATTTAATATTAATAAACTGACTTTTAATATATATATTTTCTAATGTATTTCTTATCAATATACAGTATTTTCTTATTTTATTTCTTGTGTGTAAATTTACAACCGAACATTGGCATAGGAATAGATGTTATTCAAAACAACCATAACTAATAAACTATAATAATCACTGACAGCAGGCCTACCTGGTAATGGTATTGCAACCATACCACTACTAGGTCTAGCAGACGAATTTTCATCTTCATTTTGTTTATTATGAGTGTCTGTCATACTTATTTAGTCATCTAAACAATTTCAAACGCATTTTATTTGAAAATCTTCAAAAATATTGATAAACAGTGACGTACGGTTCAGTAATATAGCAACCAGGATTGATTTGGGACCTGAGCTTAGTGCGCATGCCTATTGACCTGACCTAGAGGATTGCCCGCTTCTGATTGGACACTTCACCATTGACCTATGTGACCGACCAATCAAATAACGTAATCTCGAAATAACCTCATTAGGTATGCAAAACTTGTTCTTGCTTGCTATTTTTATCTCAAAATAAAAAAGGGTGGGATCATTCAGAACCAAATTTTGTAGAAATAAAGAAGAATTTTGTGAAAAAAATGACTGGTATGTGTTCCTAGATAGTGTTACTCGCAGATAATCATAAAACCTCAAAAACGATTTTATTGTTAAAATTCACCAAATGAAGTGCGAACGACGGCCTTAAGGATATTAAAGAACTGTTTTGTAAAAAAAAAAAGGATTAAAATTTTGTGCATTTGAATTGATCCATAAAATCATCTAAAACTTGAGCATGAATGTATTGATATATTAAAAGTGACTGGTTTTACCTTAGGAGTTTCTCACAGTTCATTAATTTAATGGCGTAAGGATATATTATATTTTGAAAATTAACATTTTATAGTGCTATATAAATCCCTAATGACAAGCCAGTCACTGGAATATTTTAATACTGAAACTATTTTCTTGATATAACTATATTTCTGATCTTCCCTATGGCACTATCTAGAACTATCATATTTCCCTGAATTATAATTATCTGTTTTGTTTCTAGTTTATTTCTTTCTATCTTTAGTAGGTATTTCTATAGTTTGTATAGGACAACTAGATATTTCTATGACTAATTCAATTGTATGTTCTTGTGTGGTATTAAACATATATATGGATGTGGGAAAATAATTCTTTTTTTCTGTCTTTCTCTCTGCATTTCTTTTACTATGCTTTACATCATAATCTTACAGCTTCTTATTCCAATCACCTGTTGGTTTTTACCATTCTTCTATCTACTCGGACATTGGGCAGGGGTTTGTTCATCGTACTGCTACAAATGGGCGCATGATTGGTCTGTACAAATTTCCTACGCACAGCCAGGTTTTGGTAAAATCCAGCTAGATAAGGATTGTCTAGAATTAATTAATAATCACTGGAATAAATCATTGAACTAGCATTCTTCTGTCTACCAGAATATTGGGCAGGGGTTTGATTCATCGTACTGCTAATAGTTGGTATATAGATCTTAAAAGGGGCGCATGATTGGTCTATACATGCTTCTATCCAGGCCTACACACAACCCAGATTTTGGCAAAATTTGGCCAGATGAAGACTAATATTCAACTGTCATAAATAATTACTGAAAGAAACCATTTAACTATCATTTTTGATATTGTATTTCCCTCTGAACTTATTAAAGAATAGGGTGGGGGGGAGTTGGATGGCCGAATGTTCATTGTATCATAAGGTTTGTCATGGAGTCAGCTGGCGTAGTTTCGATTCCCCGGTTGTACCCTACAAGAAGTAGGGTTGCCTGTCCAACCTAGTGGGTTTTCTCCTGGTCCTCCGGTTTCCTCCCACTGCTAAAGACCCCTACCCGCAAGGGAATTAGTTTGTGTCGAGTGGACGTTAAAACCCATTTCTCTCTCTATGGTTTATAGCCATTTGTTTTATAATAATAAGAGCAGTAGAGATCTTTTTGAATCTCAATTGGAGCAACTTTTCCAGCTGGCTTGAGTAGAACTGTATCAGTTGCAATTTAGCTAGAATGTCGAGGTTAATTCATAATGCTGATTCTAGTCTTTTCATCCATGCTGAAATATATTTGTTACTTAAAAATAGTCACGATTCTACTCACACCGCCCCAGCTGTCCGGAGTGACAGGACGGAATTCTGTATCACTTGATTACAATTCTGTCAAATCGGGACGTTCAAGACTGACAATCCAGCACCCACTTTGACATAAACTAAGTCACACAATTGTATCAGTTTATTCATGTCAATGGCATATGTCACTTCCGAAGTGCCTTTATAAACTTTATATCCACAAGGGTACCATAACAATTGGAGCATCCCGTAATGTGCAAAGATGGTGAGTCTCCTGGACCTGGAAATTACCAGTTTCAATCACGATAGGTTTTACAACTACAACTGATAGTTAGATGTATTGGATTTAAAATCAGGCAGGTGACATAATAACTGCTTGATTCGTAACTTCTGAGAAAACAAACGAGGTTGGGCTGGCAAACCTACTCCTTCAGTCCTTGTCACATACACGCTTGAGATCGAAACCACGCCACTTAATTTTACTTACTATGATCTAAAGTGCACAAGTTAGACAGACCACTTGACAACTCAACACCCCCTCTAACTATGATCTAAAGTGCACAAGTTAGACAGACCACTTGACAACTCAACACCCCCGCTAAAAGACCAAAAACAAGGCATGCAAAAAAAAAAGGAAATATTTAATGGCTTGCGAAATAACATAATATCTGTCATCATGGGAAATATGATAGCATCATTTTTTTTATATGGCAACTATTTCTGTCTTTGACTGACATTACAAATGCTGAATGAATTAATTGGCTGTTATAATAAAACACAGACATGCTCAATTTTTGGCAACAGAAAACATTGGCATACTTTCTTGCATCTTTCCTCACAGTGGATTGCAATCCCATATAGATCTTGATCTTCTAATGGCGATGTTTCAGGTAGCTTCATAATAATCTAAATGCTGATGTTTTAAAACCTGCCAAAGAAAATAAAAACAATAATTAAAGGAACATTATGTAAGATTAGATAAAGAGCTGAATGTTCTCACTATAAATATACACTTCCAAAAATGTAGGGGATATTCAGAAACAATACAAAACTGCAGAACTCTTGATACCATCGGATGGTTCCGTTTTAAGTAGATTAGAACGGTTCAACTGTTAATTTAAAAATGGAGGTGTGAGGCTAAGACTCAAATGATCAGTACAGTGGTTACGATCAAAGCACACATCTTGTCAAATCTACAACCATGGATAATTTTGCTCAAAAAAAAGTAATTTGAATGAAATTTTCAATATAGTCATTTTGCATTATCTATTTTTGAAATATGACAGCGAAAACAGCCAGCTCTTTATCTAAATTTTACATAATGCCCTTTTAAGAATTTTGCCAGCCAATCAATTTATCTACGATTAGCCAAACATCTATCTCTATCTTATGCATGAAACTATAAATTTAAATGTATGTATTGGGTTTTAAGATCAAATTCTCCAGCTGGTCAATATCAATGCCATTCAGACAAGACATGGCCGAATTGAGAGCCCTATATTATGAACCCATGTCACATTTCTGGGAGCAAATGCCCAGGATTGTACTAGATCAAGGGCTCAGAACCAGAAGTGAATATCTCCAATCCATAAACCGTTTTGGCCAGCACTAAAATGCTGATGGCAGAACTGATTATGTGACACATAGTCACTTCTGGCTGGACAGTTTGCGCTTTAAGGAGTGCAAACATGGAAATAAAGCACCCATTGTAAACATTGTCCGACAAATATTCAGAATTTTTCAGGCACAACCTGTCTGGTACCTGACATTTTATCCGGCACAGATTTATCTTTTTCAGCGTTTTATTGATTTTTTACTACACGTCTGGTACAAAGTTAAAAATGTCGGCTATTAATTCATCCATACAATAGGTTGTGAACTTGCTTGTCTGGTCAAATAAGACAAATCTGCTTACCTCATTACCCCAACTAGTCCAGTGTGGTTGTAAATTCCTTGCAAATAATTCTAAACACTTTGGATTTTCTACAAGAAATGGCTTCATTATTTCTGTAATGATCAATTCATTGGTAAAATTAAAACGGATGGAATGATTAACCATTTAACACATGATACATGTAACTTACCTCAGTTGACTGAAAAAAAACCTAGAGAAAAGTGATCTTTCGTACATTGAATCTCATAACTCAGTTTTGAAACTACTCTTTCCTAGACTGCCTCAAACCACCTAGTAGGTCTGTAAAAAGTTTATACAGCTAATCACCTGACATAGATGGTTTGAGGAGTTATATGGAGAATTCAGGGGAGTAGTTTCAGGCAGTTCATGTGCTAAGGGGTTAAAGGCAAAGGAGATATAATAAAGTAGAGGTCCAAGCTTCAAGATAAAGAAACAGAACAATAAAACTAATTTATTACATGTAATTACAAGGTTTAATAACATATGGATAAGCAAAGATAGGCATTTTAAAACACATAAATTGTTGCTAAAACAAACCAATGTCACTGATTATTTCCACAATAATTGTTTCTCCTTGAAAAAGAATATTGATAAGATCTATTTACTATTTTCTAATATCTAAATTAAACGAAAGAAAAGATTCAGCTGATATTTGTCACAAAATAAACTGTATTAAACACAGAAAAATATACCAATTGTGGTCTAAGGGGAGATAACATAGGTTTAGCGACTTTTAGCAGAGTTATTTCCCTTTACCCACTTCTCGGCATAATACTTGTGGTGACGTTTCTCTTTATTTGGTTGCATAAATATCAATATCAGTTCACAATAATTTGAAATAATATGATTATTTTGAATTCTGAAAAAACACAAATAACTTGTGGATAATTCTTTAAATTTGGTATCTACTTGGATTCTTCTGAAAGCAACCTAAATTCAGATAAGATTTTTAATTAAAGCATTATTCACCGAGTACTTGCAGAAATTTGTGTCTAGCAAATTGTCAACAGTACAGAACTTTTGAATATCTTGCTAGAATCTGCAATAGTTTTCGGGAATGTCAGATTCTGATTTCCATGACCTTCCAGGCTTAATAGTGGATATGTCTATTTGACTGCTATCTTTTGACAGCTGGTCAATTTTTGATCTGTTTTCTTAAACCCGAAACAGCTGTCCAAATTTTTATACATTTGAAAGTGTTTTTACACATAACAACTATAAATTTAACAATATTTAATGTGTTTTTAAGGTTAAATTCAACTTTTATGTCATATAAATTGACTGACAGGTAATTAAGGTCTCCTGTCGATCAATTTAAAGATACATTATTGGAGATTAGATAACGAGTTGGCAGTTCTCACTATAATAGTTAAAAACTACATAATGTAAAGGCAACTTGCTGAAAATTTCAGTCAAATTGATCCACTATGAACCGAGAACCAAGCGGATGAAAGTTCCGCTTAGCCTCGATCATCATTACTGAAGACGATAAGACAAAACTAATAGTCTTGATTATCCATTTAATCGTTAATCACGAAGGAAAGTTTTGCAGCAAATCGGACTGTAATCCAACAAATATCGCAGGCAAGCCTTGACATCGAGAGCTGATTATGGTCTGGATAAGTTAATTAATGTCTAATTAATAGTTTTTATAACATTTCAGGCCTAAAGAAAGACCTACAATAGGCCGATTTTGCTCTTGCATAATGTATGTTTAACTGCCAGTCAAGACTGGGAAATATGAGAGCCCTGATAAATGTATTTATCACCCAATAATACATTCTACACTAGATATCGCTTGTGTGATAAATTTCATATTCTATTGAGAGCTATTGCTTTACTTGATGGGTGAATTACAAAAAAGTGGAAAGGGTTGGGTGATAAATAAAATTTTCTACTCGTCTTTTTTGATATAAAAAAATATCAACAGATTCTGTATACCTACCTAGAAGTGGTGGTTTCTTTGAATGTAAACTACAAGGTATGCTGATGATGACTTGTTGATTAAGTAAAGATGGCCGACAGTTATCTTTATTATTTATATATTGTGCTATAATTAGTGTCTCATACGGTTTCTTCATAGTTGTATTTATATCACAGATTAATTCACCACTTGTAGTAACCTGAAATATCACACATATTAAATAACTCATTGAAAAGCACATTTGAGAAAAGTTTTACTTTTTACAATTAGTTCATTCATTCTTCTAATGTCAGTAGATGATTTCATAGTAAGTACTGTAATTGCCAAGAATATTAATAATTATGCCTTTTCTACTCCTGGAGTAAAAAACATTCTAAAATGTAAATAAAATAATATTGTCCTTTGTCCTGTATATATTGATTTGGAAATATTTTATTTTTTTCTACTTTACATGTTATTTCTCAACAGCAGTGTTTCGGCATCAATGAAGACTATACTTTAAATTTCAGCTAAGGGTTCTTCAATAAACTATGATCATTCAAACCAGAAGGAATACATGAAATGGGATTTAACGTCCTACTTTTCTGCACCAATTAGACTAATGACAATGGGCATATATGCAATGTGCGAGAGAGAGATACACCTAAATGAGGTTTAACGCCCACTCGACACAAACTGTCATTTTGGGACTAACATATGGTTCAATTTCATTTCAATAATTTGCTTGTGTGTAGGGGTCTTTAGCTGTGGGAGGAAACCGGAGGAATCGGAGAAAATCCACGAGATTGGACAGGCGACCCTGCTCCTTGTTACGTACAAGTGGGGAATCGAAACCATGCCACTTGACTCAATGACAGATCTTGTGATTTCACGTGTATGTGTTAAACCACTAGACCAATTACCCCTATAATGCAGTGTGCTATGAGGGTTAATTTTGACAAGCCTACACTTCATCAGACCTCAGTTTTCGTATCATTCAAATGACTAGACACTGTTCCTTGCGCGGTCATCTGTCCTCCACCCACTGACATGGCGGTAACCTGGTTGTAACATTCTGAGGAACTTTCTCAGCCAACACTGAGATTGATTCAAGCGACCTCCTTGTTAGTGAGCCTTCTCCCTCCTCGACCCCCACCCAATCAAAACTAGAGAAAGTATTAAAGTAATACCACTTACTTTTAACCAATGCCATTCAGCACAGAATTTGAGCTTCCATGACGGTAATAAAGTTTCTTTAATAAAAGAATGTAGTTTTGGTTTATTTGTTACCCATATTACAACCAGACCTCCATTATTTATCAACTGATATATTGGTAAATCTAATAATGTATCTTCCCATACAGTATTATAACTAGAAATAAATAAATGATACTCATTAAAGCAACAATCTCTACCAGAAAGATGTAATATAGTCCTAGTCAGTTCTTTTTCTATAAATAAAATTCTCTTTATTAAAAAGCATTTTTAGATATTAATTAAAATCAAAATACATAGGTTAGATATCATCTTGATCTTGATGTTCATGGACGGAAGTTTGTTATCCTTCAGTCGTAGAAAAGAAAGTACTGCTAATTTCAAACGGCCAGAAATTACATTAGGAACAAATATGCTCTTTGATAAGACTACATGTACTTTATTGTGTATAGCCTGAATGTGTACATTTGCCTTTATTCTAGAACATTAAACATTGTAGTAATTTTCATAACAGAAATGGAATGTAGGTATTCAATACTAATTTTATAATTGTGAACCCAATAACAAAATTTTTTCCCTGCTTATGCTGGGATTCATTTCATAAATATCAGTGCATAGGTTTCTTTCAAAATTTTTCTACTCTGACATTTTTAGTGGGGGTTAAGGCCAGAATTGGGTCAATAGACTATGTTCACAACTTCAAGAAATAGGGTCAACAAAGCTTCCATTCCCTTTAGTAGGCTTAAACAAACTATATTCCTTGACACTTGGCTATGTAGCATATCATATTCTGAATATTTATGATGACCTTAAAAAAGTAAAATCGTTGATCGAATAAATGATGAAGTGAACACTAAAGGGAGATAACCTACCTTTTCTTTCGCTTTACAGATTTATTTTTCCATGGAGGATCTATGACAATTAAATCAAAACGGTTTCCATCTGAAACACAAACAGGAGTTAAAAATTATGTCTTATAAATTGCTAACAGAATCAACTAGGAGTAGATGATAGTAAAGGCTGTTTCTAAACGTCACTTTGTGGATGTGCACAGTTCAAGATGTTGATCGTTCTAAAATACACACAAATTGATTATTAAACAAAACAAAACCAAAATATCAACAGTAGATAATCTTCCATCTAGGATTCAATTGGTTTAAAAGATATATCAAAAATTTATAGATAGTTCTGACTTCAATCTGATTAAAAAAACAGATCCTACTTTGTTTCATTTTTTACACTTTTTTTACAGTTCAAAGGATCTGGAAGAGTTGTTAATTAACCAGCGTTCTGGTTGATGTGAAAGATTAGCCAAGTTCAAATCCTTGTTCTGTTGGTAGACATTCGCAGTGATAGAAAATAAGTCAAAGCAAAGTTTGTTTTTCCAAATACCACTGACGCGACCTCTCACTACAACCAGTCAGATTTTTATGCAGTGGAGGCCATTGAATATATAAAAAAAGACAAACGAATTAAAGATCTGTATTTAATCAGATTGGGTTGACTTAATTGATTATATCGTCTGCACAGAGTAACGAACATTGTGAAATTTTCAGTTAATTATTTCTTTGTAAATATTGAATGGAAAAGAAGCACTTTTGCATTGATATTCCATTATTAAAATCCCTCAAATAATGACTATTGTTTCATTTTTATTTCATGGATAATTTGTAGAGTGAGCCCATAACAATCTGAACAGACACATATTATTCTCTGATCTTATATTCACAAATTTTAATTACCCTTAAGCAAAGTACACATTACCTTTGGCTATAAATTGATTTCAAAGGTATTAAAACAAATATATAAGTTCGTACCAAATAAGGTCCCTATCAGCACTGAATATATTTAATTTAATTTACTTGTTATATCTGTCTGTAAAAGCTTGCTCCAATCTGACAACAGAAAACGACAGTTTACAGGAAGTAAGTATTTTTCACCAAGTATCTGTGTAACAGTTGGTAAAATACAATTAAAATGAACCAGTTGATTGATTTGTATAGTAACTTCATCTATAAATATACAAAATATACATTTTTACCAGTCTTTGGTATAGTTACAAAATCAAAATTTTTTGGGAAAAAATAATTTACTGCAATAAAAATATTTACTGCAAATAAAAATAATTTACTGCAAATAAAAATAATTTACTGCAATAAAAATAATTTATTGCAATAAATATAATTTATTGCAATAAATATAATTTATTGCAATAAATATAATTTATTGCAATAAATATAATTTATTGCAATAAATATAATTTATTGCAATGAAAATAATTTATTGCAATAAAAATAATTCATTGCAATAAAAATTAAATTTTAAAATTTTGACACACCTAGACATAAAACCTCCAAAACTTTTTTGTGAGCATCTCAAATAATAAAGATCAGTGATATCAGGTATTCTAAAAAGATGTATACCCTGCCTTGTGTATCACAAGCATCACTATACTACTGTATAATGAAGAGATAGTTTGTATGTTGATTTCAGTAGTTAAACAAACATATTTAGCAGAAGATAACACTGGGGTGAATTGGACGCCGGGAGTATCAATGGAAAACAAAAATTGTTAGCTATATGAGAAGTGATATCAGATGTTTTAACTTTACCTTGAGCATGTTCTATAACTAGAGGTGGTTTTATATTATCATCAGTTGAACTTGTCTCTACTATATCTATTAGACTATCACCAGGACCAACTATCTGACTAGCCTGTCTAGCAGATTTATTGTTGTCAATATTCTCATATTTATTTAATAAATAGCCTTTACCTTGAGCTAAGGAGATTAGGGATTTATGAGCATCACTCAATCTTTTAATTACCTGTGAAATAGAAAGTCGTTAATTGTTTATCGTTATATTTTACTTGATTTAACTGATGTAATAGTATGAGAGTATCTGTATATCTCTCTTTGTTTTACTTTATCCTTTTCTTAAACCCTCTAATCGTCATTTGCATTTTATTTAAAAATTCTATTTTTTACCACTTAGTCTACTGTAAAATATATTCAAATTGATCATCTAACATTTGATTAAGAAATCAAAACCAAAATATAGGATTAAAAAGGAGCCTATCCATCACATGGATGATGGGTTGTGCGAGTTTGTTTATATCATCTATCATCTGCAGAGGATGCTGAATTTTAACACATTTTCAATTCATCATATTTCTGTAAATAAGAAGGGAATTGAACTATTTCTGTGACTGATATTTCAACTTTCACAAATGTAAAGGATCCAAATAAAGATCGTAGAATCGTGAAGCGCAGTGACATGGGCTGTTTACCCTTCTTAAACAGTAGTGAGGATGCTCATTGTCTGGTTTCATCACCGACAATAAGGCTGAATGAAATATAAGACATTAATTATCCCTTCAAATGGATTACTGTATTTGGGGTTGATAATACAATATCCTCACAGAATTTTTGTACTTTAGTTTAGTCTCAGACGTATGACTCAGGGATGTAGAATTTATTCTCTCCGCTAGCTATACGTATATAAATATTCTAAATATTTACCTACTGTATAGTCAGAACAATCTTCATCAATTTTATCTACTTTCTTTTTTCTCTGTAAAAATAGAAGAATAACAATTTCAATATCATTAAAAAGAAATTCCAATATAAAAATAAGATAGGCGTACAGAAACATAATTCAGGAACAGGCTGATTACTTTATGACATAGGTTTCAAAGGCATTAATAGTTTAGAAACAAAGACTAGTAGCCTATGATGATCCGCTGCCTGAATCACACGTAGTTGTGTAGGCCTACTTGTTGATATTAAAAAGAAAAACTTGCTACTTCAAGGAAATGGCAATGCACAAGATCTGGATCAGTGCTCAGAGGTCTGCTGAGAGGGTCTTTTATCTCTTGACCCTCCATGTCACACTTTTAGTGAAGTTTGTTTCAGCACCATAAAAGTGAACTGAATTATAACTATCAATGTGCGACTGATTTTGTAAGCCAGTGCTTACTGGGTAAAATGCAGTTTAAATATAAGATTAAGGGCGCTGTTGCTTGATCTGACTACTTTTTTCATTCATCTTTTCATTTCTGTTTTTCTTCTCTTTTATCCTTTCTTTTTTAACCCCTTTCAAATCTAAAGGATTATGGGTTAGGGTTAGTGCCCATAGAAATATCACATCAATAGAATACTTGTTTATTCAAAGAGATTTTCCATTTCTGATATCATCTTTGTGAAAAAAGGGCTGCCTAAAAAAGTATTCAGATCAGCCAACAATGCCAGATTAAGAACCTTTCTACTTGTCGTTGATGGAATATAATCTGTTTCTAAGGTCTTCTGAAGTTTTATAAATTGACTGTCCATCATATATGGACTCTTAATCGCAAATAAATCATTTTTCAACTGTAAGGCTGTTGTTAATCTTTCACAATTTGACATCTCTCTATTCTCTGCTTTTGACATATTATCTGTGTTGAGTTTGGCTTTTAATGAATTTGTATCTGATGTCAGTGATGAAGATGAAGGGAGACTAGATTTTGTAATTTTACAATTCTTATACCATTGTCTGACAATTTCTTGATGATCAATAACCCACCCATTATCATTATAGCATAACACAGACATTTCAAAATTGAAATATTCATCTACACTACAAATTTTCATTGAAAAATTATAAACAGAGTTGCGTCCCTTACACCAGAAAATTGAACTGATCGGTTTACGACTATATATTTATCAATAGCGGTTATTAGTGTAATAAGATGTCGTTTTAATATTATATTTTAATCATTAATACAATGATATATAAATGCATGATAAATCTCTCAAGGGAAATTATAATTAATTTACGACACTACTAGCCCAATCGTTGGCAAAAAATGGGTGTGTCATTTTCTTGTTGATAAACTGAAAGAAGACAAACAAAACCATTACCAACGTTTCTGTTGTGTGTGTCATGTCCCAAATAGCTGCAAAATCAAGATTTTTGGAATTATGTCATCGGTTACATATTGACATGGGGGTGTCACAGAAATGGTTTACTATAATTCAGGAAAGATATGGTGAACGCCAGCGAAAATATCACACATTACAACATTTGGAAGATATGTTTTCTTATTATGATAAATGGAAACCGTCACTTAGTAAACCAGAGGATGTGTTACTTGCTATATATTTCCATGAGTAAGTATGCCCATATAAGCAAATTAAGTTTTCACACACATGTCATTAAAAAAGGTAGACCCTAGCGAACATAGTTAAAGGAGCTAAATCGCTAATATTTGGGACAGGAATTGACCCAAATGGGTGGCAACACATATATATTAATAATGTAATCTGATTGTATATAAACTGATTTACATTCAATTGTTTCCGTCCAGCGAAATACGGCCTGTGTCTCAACCCTATAGCAATTTCTAGCATCTGGTTATTCCAGTCTATTGGACAGGTTCTCCAGTTGAATATGTCTAGCCTCGTTCTTTCTGGTCACTTGTTGCAAATGACGCTAAAACGCACTATGGTACACGATTCGTGTACCAATGGTAAAATGTTTATTTTGTCTTAAATATTGGGTATCAGAAGCGTCTTTTCCTGGTAAGATCACAACATCAATGTTGATTTGAATTGACAAATAATTCACATTTTCAACGTGCATGACTTTGGATGATATTGAGTTAGAGACTTAGCTACTTTAAGATGAATACAAAGTTAGTAACCATTTATGAAGATGAAACATGCATAATGCATAATGCAAGAGCAAAATCTTAATCTCGCTATTGCAGGTCTTTCTTTTGGGCTGAAATGTTATCTAAATTATTAATTAGACATTGATTAACTTATCCAGACCATAATCAACTCTTGATGCCATCGCTAGCCTGCGATATTTAGCTGGAATACATTTTTTAAAAAATAATTAAACATAAAAATGGATAATCAAGACTTTTAGTTTTTTATCGTACCGACTTTAGTAATGATGATCAAGGCTAGTCTAAAATACAAAAGCTAATATCTTGGTTCAGAGTGGAGCCATTTGACTAAAATTTTCAGCATATTCTATTTACGTTATCTACTTTTTAACTCTTATAGTGAGAACTGTCAACTCTTTATCTAATCTCCCATATTGCCCCTTTAAGTGTGAATAATTATTTATTTTAGCATAGTATATGATCCTACAGCCAACGATAATGAAGAAAAAAGTATACAATTATTTGAAGATTTCATAAGAGACAGTTGTCCAGACATGGTAAGTGTTTTTATGTAAGAAAACTTTGCACAGTTAACATAAGCAGAAAAAAAATTATTATTTTTGAAAATTTTGCTATTAACAAATACTGTTTTTTGGATCCCATGATCGGCAAATATTTTTTGATGTTCCCAGATTGATATCCAAACAAGTCAGTCATCATTGATAGATTAATTTTTTCTTGTATAAATTCTTATATGAATTCTTATTTATCTTTTATTTAGACAATATTTTATTAAGAAATTGGAAGGGATTGAGCAACAGGCATAGACTATATGACTTCTTATATTTCTGGTATATTTTGTCTAATTTTGTTTGCACATTTTTCAGATGGAAGTTAAAACAAATGTGATTTATTTGATACAAACAACTATAACACATTTAACAGGTGTTAATGACCAGAATGATGACTTGAACTATTTTCTAGATTTTGATATGGCTATTCTAGGAAGTGATGAAAAGGGTGATTATGATTTTCTAAATTTATTAAAATAGGTTAGTTTTCGATTAAGAAATGGATTCAAACCTTAAAGAGTCTCTCTGATGCATGGGTAAAAAATATTTTGCAGGTTTGATTTGACCAACTGTAAATTGCACATATAGATCCGACATACAATATCTATTCAGATCAGGTTGTATGACCCGACTGTGGTAGGAAAACCTATAGTGGTATTCCAGTCGATGAGAATGCCATGTTACCGGAATATACATGTAGGTGGCTCTGTGGAATTTATATGGTATTTTATGAAATGAAAGATTTTAATTTCTTGGTGAAAATAATATTTTCAATTTGATAGTAATCAGTACAGTGGATTCATTATGTATGGTCATTAATATTTTATTTTGGTTTGGTTGTCCGACTTAGTTCCAGATATCCACAAATCATTCCTGCTGCTGTTATATACTTTTATAAATTTATTGTATGTTTTACAGATTACAGGGAATATGCTGATAATATACGAATAGAATATAAACATCACAGTGATGACGTATTTAATACGAAGAGAATCGCTGTAAGTATACATATCTGGTAGAAAGAGGAAAAAAATGGCATTTAACTTCCATTAGACACTAACCATTTCATTTCAGCACCAACATAGTATATTCTTTTCCCCTGTCAGTAGTGCAGGACGGAGGGTCTGACAAGGACAGCTGTATAGTCGTTTGGATGGGACAAAAAAACAAGGTCTTGTGTACACATTGGCATGCACGTAAAAGATCCATTGGCTGTTGGAATTCTGTATAAGAGTAGACCATAGTGCTGCTGCCCTAGCACATTTTCCCTCATAGCACACTGTATGGCATATGCCCATCTTCATTAGCCAAGTCGGAGCAGAACAGTAGGAGGTTAAACCCCATTTCATTTCATTTCATTTTATAATTCACTTGCTTGCACAGGTTTTTAGAAGTATAAATAAAATGAATGAAATTTAGAGCTGCACAGAAAGATACAACATGGGCTTGTAATGGTTTATTGCAGTTACAGGTTTAACATATGTGTATATAAATCCACCATTTTGTCTCTGCTACATGCGCAGTAGGATCACAGGGAACACAATGGATGTTACGGATATAAAAATTTGCCATAATTTCTTATAAAAACAAATCTGTAGCTAGATGTATTGGGCTATCTGCAATGCTAATATAGACTTGATGAGGCCCTAAGCTTGGGACCCTGTTTTAAAAAGTTGTCTTTCAAAGTTGTGTCTCAAAACTACACATAAAAATTGAATACAGGAGCCATTTTAAAACCTAAAGAGAATTATTAAAAGCCACATACAATTTTAAAATCTAAATCAGAAGTTCTAAGCTGTTGCATGTTTTTCTTCTGCCAAAATCCAGCACTTCCTATTTGCTTCAGATGTATGTTTTCAATCTAATATTGTGTATAATTTTATTCCAGGTTCTGGAGAATTTCTTGAAGAGACCACACATATTTAACGCAAATAGTTTTCGAGATTTATATGAGAATAAAGCCAGACTAAATATTACAGAGGAAATAAAAAGACTAAAAGTAAAAGGATGACAGACAGTCATAGGTTATAAAAAAAATAAGAAATAATCTCATTATTCAAATAGTTAATTATTAAAAATGAAATGAGGTTTAACGAACTACTGTTCAGCATCAACTGGGCTAATGAAGATGGGCATGCACCATGCAGTGTGCTATCAGAGAAAATTTGCCTGGACCGCAGCACTATGATCTACTTTTATTTCAAATTTCAACTGTAAATGTTTCTTTTACGTGTACGCCAATGTGTACATGGGACATCGGTTTTCCGTCCCATGCAAATGACTATACATTGTCTCCTGCCAGGCTCTCCGCTCTGCACCCCGGACAAGGGGGGAACCACGCCCAAAAATCATAATGAACTTCTTGGCCAACACCAGGATCGAATGGGACTCAAGATTTGCAGTTAATTATAAACCTGCTGATTGTCATTTGCATTTTTCAGACCATATCTAATGTTTCACAGCTTCATCCAGGTGAAAATGTACTCAAACTGATTGCATTTATTTAAAAGGAAATTAATACCAAATATCAACGGCAGGTTATCTCTTGTTTTGGATTCGATCAATTGAAAGGATGTCCATCTCTTAAAGTTTCACAGCTTAATCCAGGTGAAAATGTACTCAAATTGATTATTTAGCATGTATTTAAAAAATAAATTAATACCAAATATCAATAGCAGGTTATCTCCTGTACTGGATTCAATCGATTGAAAGGAGATCCATCGAAATAATTGATCCAATTTGATAGGTGTTTTAAGTCTGGTTTCCATTTAACCTGTATGCAGTCATTTTACCCCAGCCTTATGAAATGAAATGGGGTTTGAAGTCTTACTATTCTGCAGTGTACTATGTGAGAAATTACTCTTATCTTGATTTCCAACTGTCAGGGGATCTTTAAAGTGCTAACACTGGACTGCGGTACTTCTTCCTATACAAACAACTAGACACTTCTCCTTACCAGACCCTTCATCGGGATCACAGACAAGGGGAAAACCAGGATGGAAAATTCTGAACAACTTTCTCAGCAAGCACCTGGTTATTAAGCTAGAGCCATCAGAAAAGTGTAGTCTTAACTGACTGAAGTCAGAAACTGAATAATTGCAGTAAAACTACTGTCAAATGTAACCAATAGTAGAGGATCAGTTCTATCTTGAATGGAAATCAACACGAGACTTTCAATTTAATGTTTTAATAAAATATAACATACATTAATAACTATAAGATATTATAACATGAGTATAATTGGCCTATATTACAATTATAATACAACTATTAAATTTTGATAAGTTTAATATTTGACTTTTAAATGATATTTATTTCATATTATGATATAGTTTATGGTGATTTTGATTGGGTATTATGTGTAATAATAAAGTATCTGTGATATTAATCAAATATTGTACTTGTTAAGATTTCAGTATATTTGTAATAAAATTATCCTTAAATTAGATTTATTTATTCAGTATATTGCTTCTTATTCTTAAATATACACCATACTTGAAACTTATTTATAAAGGACTATGACCTATTCATAGTAAACGGCAAAAACAATGCCAGTTGCAAAGATTGAACGATTTTCAAAAGAAAAAGATGCATAATTGTCCCGATCGGCATCCCATAGAAAACGACTTCCAACTCGGACCCCTTGGTCTTTTTTCTCACCGATAGTTACTTGAGATATAATTTTATATCTGAAATAAAAAAAATATATTATATAGTTCACACAGTTCGTTATCGAATATATTTTGGCAACCGTGCGATTTCTAACAAGCCACAATTCTATGCGGATTTTTAGCCGTTGCATTTCTATTATTAAGGTGGCTAACTGTGGCTAAATCTATTTGTTAAGGCCAGCTCAATTTTTGTCAGGATCGCTGAGATGTAAATAAGGTTAGGACACGTGATTGTTGGCGAGATTGTAGGTTAGGGTAAGCTATGACGAAAAACTGAGCTGGCCTTATCATTTAGCATTAACCGGCTAACTATGGCTCACCAACCGGGTTCGATCCGGGTGATGACCGGGAAAGGTCATCGGAATTTCCAGCCAGGTTTCTCCTCAATTGTCCATTGTTGAGAACAGAGGGCCTGGCTGGCACGAAAACATGTAGACAGAAACATGTAGACGAAAACGGCGCTGTTTGACTAAAATGTCTCCCGTACAGAACACTGAATGTCGTGTGCTCGTCTTCAATATTAGTTTGTGCAGAACAATAGGATCGTTCATGGTTGACATAACATCATGCGTGTTGAATGTAAACTGACTGCGTGTTGAATGTAAACTGACTGCGTGTTGAATGTAAACTGACTGGGTGTTGAATGTAAACTAGTAATCAGCTCTAAACAGTGTTCACATCTTGCACCCACGATCTGTCAGACTCGCAGACAAATCTAGTATTTCGATAGACGTTACTAAATCTTTGAAAGTTGACGCAAGACACTCTTGATTATTTCACATTATTGGTCATTGCATGTGGGGTTATCTACTGGTAAATACAAAAAGAAACAAAACAAACCTTTCGAAGTTCAGATCCTTCACAGCGCTTTTAATTTCATCAGCTATAGTTTTTGATATGCTGGAACATTCACCCGAGCTGTATTTAACACCTGAAAGAAACAAAACTTGGATTAACAAACAAGATACCGGTGTCACGATTTAACGCGATACCGGATTTGTCTGGGTACCTTTTGAGTATCTAATTACAAACATAGCTTTATCTGATAACGAATAACTCACACATCAGGACCATTTTCAGGGTCAGGGGCAATTAATACAAATAAAATGGATGGGTATTTTGGCAATCTGATTGAAATACAGATCGTTTCGTTTTTTATAGTTCAAAATTTCGTTTTACTTGTCTTCACAACACTATAATCTGGAAGAGTTGTTATATAACATGCGTTCTAGTTAATGTGAGGAATTAGCCAATGAAACGTTCTGTTACGGCGAGTTCTTGGCGTGCTCTGCACGGAACTGTGGGTAAACCCTCAGAAACGGCAACGCTGATTGATTAATCAATGTCTAACGTCATAAGGTCAAAAGCCGCTCGTATGGCCCTTGACGCGACCTCCCAGTACAACTGGTCAGATCTTCATGTAGTGTAGGCCATCAAAAGAATAAAACAACGAAACGAAATATAGATCTGTATTTTAATCAGACTGGGTACTTTGGCAGGGGTTGTTGCATAGGGCCACTGGGTCAATACTACTAACTGAAAACAAATCTCAAAAACTATGACCTTCAAGGTGTTACAAGGTTTCGGTGACAGAGGCAATGTAAGTTTGCAGAAAATTGTTGTGTGAATATGAATCTCGATAGGGTTCCTAGTTTGGACTAGCCGACCATCCCAGTAAATTTTAAACACAATATCAACACTCATAGATGTAAAAAAGAAGATTTTGTATAATGATAAACAGCTGGGTTTGTTGAAAAGCATTTTTTGTAGTAGTGTATGGCAATGATAATAAAAGTAAAGCAAAATGATAAAGCAGTTCTTAGCTGTTATAAAGTAGGGTTTATATTTAAAATGGGAACGAAATTGTTACGTGGGTAACACGGTTTCACTAGAGTCCTATGAAGAAAAACACCCAACTCGGACACCTGAAGATTATTTTTAGAAGGATCGTAAATACTAGGGCTTCTTCAACCGCCTTTAATCTTTATCACGAAAATATTTGGATTGGACTAAAATTAAACCAAACGCAACTTTTTACCTTCCAAATGTTTTGTTAATACTCTTTCAATTATTGGTAAAACTTTATCTGGTCGAAATTTTTCAGGTGGTTCCATTCGAAACGTATTCTCATAATACACCTGTAATTAAATCAGTTCATAAAATTGCTTGCATTATATAATTGTTTCAATAGCATTTAGTAATTGAGCTGGAAATACATTACGACACAATTCTGTGGAACACAGTAAGTGTCTATTACTGAACGACATTTTAACTAGGACTAGAATTCTCCAGTCTTTCTAGAGAATCGTAGTCGAATCATCGCTCAACAATAAACAATATTTGTTCTCCACAGAATTGTGTTGTCTATACTAAATGGTCTGAATGAATTGAAATAGAGTTTAACATCTTGCTTTTCAGCACCAACCGGGATATTAACGAAGGCGTTCATGAGCGATGCAGCGTGTTGCGAGGGAAGTTTTCTCTGGTCAACGTTGTTCCGACTGCTCTACAGAGAGACGATTAGCTCTCGCTTAGGACGCCCAACCATACCTTGAAAGAAAAACAGTCATGGCTTGGCAACTGATGCTACTTCTAGTGGTTTAACGTTCACTCGACACAAATTAGGTCATTTCGGGACTAACACATGGTTAAATTTTATTTCAATAATTCGCTTGCGCTTAGGGGTCTTTAGCAGTTGGGGGAAACCGGAGGACCCGGAGACAACCCACGAGTTTGGACAGGCGATCCCAGTTCTTGTCACGTACAACCGGGGAATCAAAACCACGCCAGATGACTCAATGACAGACCGTAAGATACAGCGCGCATGTGCTAACCATTCAGCCATTCCCCGCCCCCCACCCGCTCAAATAATACCCTGGGACGTGGTTATCGGACCATGCCGACATCTCCTCTTAAGTCTCGTTATCGGACCACGACATCTCCTCTGAAGTCTCGTTATCGGACCACGACATCTCTTCTGAAATAGAGTGATCGAGCCGATAGAAATAACCATTTACGTCTACAAATGTGAGATGTTTCCTTTCTTACATTAATGAAACTTACCCTCTTAGGTTGTCTGTGATCCTCTTGATGAGGTTCATAAGCGAATGACATGGTACTGGATCCACATGGTGCTGCCTTTCTCGCTGTTAGATCAAACACACTGGAGCCTTTGGCTCCGAGAAAATTGTCAGTCATTGGCTGATATGGATGGTCAATCCAGTCAAACGGACTGTAATAGAAACAAAAATATTAAAATAATCGCATTTCGACAAATTCCGAAAAAAAGAAAGGAGACAAAAACATTGTCCATTGTCAATTTTTAGGGGTTCGGACTCTTTATTATAACCAACAAGTGCATTTGAATTGGCTTTACTCGTCTTCATTAGCCCCGTTGGTGCAGGGAAGTAGGACGCTAAACCCCATTTCATTCATTTATTCTTTGAATTGGCTTTATCCGTATAATACCAATTATATAATAAAGCTAAATAAAAAGATGCTATTTTACAACGATATGATCGCGATCGTCATTATTCAAGCACGGCTGATTTCCTTTGGGTTCATTTTTAAAGTGATTTGGTGAGGGCAAAGGAATTCGCATTGAAATCGCTTCACAATATTAAGCGTAATAATTCTTCAGAAAACCATGGATGAAATCAACTATACGCCCCACCCCACAGCCTGGAGGTATTGAATTTAATTAATGATGTGATAATTTGAGATCATGCGTTACAATATAATAACATTACTTACGATCGAAACATTTTGATGATGTTTTGTTAAGACAAGCTAACAATAACTATGTTATCACTATAAAAATCCAGGTATATTGTATAGTTACACGATTTATCAACACGTCTTATCACAGAGATAACTTATAATTCCCAGATAACTATGGCAACAGATACTAGAATATGACCAGAAGCGTAGTTATCTTCAGCTGGACCGATATAGTAATCATCTGTAATTAGCACTATTCTAATGTTCCTTATTAATTATAATCCGAAACATATCCCGCGGACCGCGCGTCTTTACGAACTGTAATGTCAGTTTTGTTGATTTTGGTAATGGTGCTAATGTTCCTTGGTTTCATGTCGGTTAGATAGTGGCAGATGCTACTACATGATTAAATCATTAGGTCTTTAATTAAAGCATGCAATCTCCAGCAGGTAAATATAGAACCAATATTGATTCCACCCTTCTTTTCTCTATGCTATAGTTAATAAATTATTGCTTGAGTTAGTAGACAGATATCACAACCTAAGTTCTATGTAAATACAACGTGAGTAGGCCAGATTATATAGGATTCCAAAATAACTAATTACCGCGTATTTGATTATTTAGTCTTAATAGAACTTTCCATTCTAGTCATTTTATGGTTCTAAAACAGCTAAACATTTCAAAAATCCATGTTAAACATTTATTGTTCCTTTTCCGGGGTCTATCGAGAAGAATGTTGTATATTTTTAAATCCAGGTTTGTAATTGTAACTTGTACGTATTTTGTTGTCTTTCCTGTTCTCGATTAAAGGCACTACGAGCTACACCGTTCACCTATATAGTATATTTCATACCGGTAATTCAAACTATGCACTATTTTAATGTAAAGACTTCTGTTATAGTGTAATTAAGCACACCTGAGCGCAAAAAGAATTTCTTGAAGAACGAGATGACTTGTAATAGACTTGTATGAAAAAGACAACACAATTACTAGAATTGCAAAATTTGTTTAGGAGAGAGATAAAGATGGCGGTATGGAATCAATAGAAACACATCATGTAAACTTAAAAAGACAATTTATAGAGTTGGAATTGACTGATTTGAATATTTGGACTAAATATATGAAATAAAACGGGGTTTAACGTCCAACTTGTCTGCACCAACTGGAATATTATGAAGACAACATATGCCATGTGCTGTGTATGAGGGATATCTTGCCCGAACACCGGCGCTACGACCTACTCTTCAAGTCTTCTTTCGATTTCCAACTGTGGGTTCATTTACGTGTACACCGGACCTCAGATCTTCGTACCATCCGAACGACTAGACACCTTTCTTTGCCATGCCTTACGACCTACACCACTGACAAAGGGAAACCACGCTGGCAAATCCAGGAAAAACCTTGCTCACCGACTAAATATAAATGTTTGTTTGATTGTATATGATAATATACTCTGTAATTTACCATTATTTTGGCATATTTGGGATTTAAAGCAAACCACGCTAGCACATCAAATGAAAATTTCTGACCGAGCCATTGGACTAAATATAAAAGTATTTATGATTGTGCATGATAATATACTCTGTAGTTAACCATTATTCTGGCATGTTTTTAGGATATTAAGCAATATAATTTTGAAAGAAAGCTGTTTCTTTTAGCACTTGTTTTTCGTCCTTTCCGATTCCAAATCACCAGGCAATACCTTCCTTGTCAGCCCCAGAGACGCTACCAGACGGGAACTAGGTATAATAGACGAGTAAAGTCTGTTAAATTTAAGACGATTTAATTGGTGAACCAAGTTAATCAGGCGGTTGTGGCGGGGTGGGGATACGATGAAAGTAACTTTTCGTTTCTTATACTGCCGACAGTCGAAAGCAAAATGGGTCATAGCATCTTATCTAAACATTAATCTACGGTCCTAAAATTTCTTATTTAAGAATATTCTCAAAAATATCAAAATAAATTATCATTATCTCATTATTCCTTAATCTAAGAATGTAAATGGTATTTTAAAATATAGATAAAAAAAAGAAAAAAAGTTAACACTTAATTAAATCAACACTTCCATTCTTAATCCAACCCAAAAAGATCTCAGTATTTTAAAGATGAGTTACAATTCTTAACCAAGGAAAATAAATGTAATATTGGATAATATCATATTTCAAACAACCTAGGCTCACCTATCGAAAATCAAACCCTGACTTTTTAAAGTGTAAGGCATGTTGCTCGAGTCTTCGTAAATTGGTAATTAGATCGAGAAAAACGTTTCTAAGTAGCATACGGTCTTATTTGAGCAACACAAATCTGACTATATTGTAAAATCAGGTTAAATTGAATATTATGGTTTTATCGGTCGGCGAAGATCCCTCAAGCACCAAAGGCCCTTTAATCAACAACGAACAAATTTCGAGTCGTCTATAGGGGAACCTGTGGCCGGGTTGCGGTCATAAACGGTTGATTGCGGTAAGACACAAACTGTCCACAGGACGATAAGAGGGAAGTGAACGTAAGCGGCGACTAGGTTCATATTGCTAGCCGAACTAAACATAGTAAACTTCTGTTTTGCCCCCTGGAATGAAAACTAATGTAAACTGTAGAGAACTTATAGTCTATCTAAATAACACAGTTAACCAAATTCATAACTTATGACCAACATCAAAGTATTTAAAGTGCTTCGTTCAGTCTTGTTATCATGAGATTAGAAAGAGTAAGCATACCCTGCCCCGTGTTTTGGTAGACATCAGCCAATACCTACTAACATATAGCTATAGCAAAATATGCGTTAATTAAGAATTACCTGTTGTCTTTAGTTTATGAAATACTGATATGCAGATCCGATAAATACAACTGAAACTTGCAACATTTTCCAAACTTAAATGAACTGTCCATGAAACATACGATCATGACTTCCTTTATCTGAGCTAAATAGTCAGTTGAAGAGAACTGTTGATTTAACATTTGCTTTATCTCATTGAAGGGCGCCTTACAGATAACAAAAAGCCTTGTGTTTTAATGGCAACCTACCATGTTTTATTTTAATAATAAATCAGACAGTTTCCTCTCGAGTCTTTATAAAACATGATCTTATCGAAGATTACATGTTTCAAACTTCAATTATGTATAAGTACACATTGGCGTGCACGCAAAATAACCATTCGGTAGTTGGAATTCAAAGAAGAGTAAACAAAAACGTAGCTACCAAGGCAAAATTTCCCTCACGGCACACTGCCTGCAGCATGGCGTATGCTACACTGATTAGCAGTGAATATTATTAGTTGGACCGCTACAATCACTGAAAGAGGGGATGAGATAGGTGCGGGTTGATTAGCTCGAAAATTAAATTCTAGAACATCTTTTTGAAGAAGTAAAGGTGGTTGAAGAATATCTGGATAAATATATTTTATGCCCGTCATCATTATCCCGGTTGATGCATCCCGGTTAACCCCCATTTTAATTGTTTTCAATTAGGTATAGAAATGCTATCAGTAATAGTACGCGTAATGTAAATAAAAATTGATGGTTCAAAGCATATATAGTGTTGTTACGGCGAACGAATTCGACTTTCAATCTAATGAAATTGTTTCTTTCGTTCATAAAAATTTAGCTTTTCTAACTTTTAAATTAGTGGATCTAATTTTGCAGGGTGGTAAACATCGAACAGCAAGATAGCAAACATCGTTTCAACTAAATAGGAATTCCGTTTAGACTAATATTAGGATTTCTAGGCTTTCGTGTAAACTAAAAACTGATCCTCTTTGATATAGCTTATTTGCTATTTCTTTTTTTTTTGCCAAGTCCACAATGGAACAATCTGCAGATTTGAAATTTAAAACGAAGACAATCTTTGTTGTCTCCCTTTAACCATATCCTCTCTGACCTCAACATCTTATCACCATGTAAATTTAAAGGGACCGCAACGGATATATTTTATTGTATTAAAAGGGTTACGTCAGTACAAAAAGCACCTGAAAACCTATAGCCCGTTTCTGTGAAATTATCTCATTATCTCATTATGGTACTTTGTCACAGAAATACAAATGTTCAGCTTCCACGATGTAGTTTCCGAGTAAGTACTCAAAAGGGTTTATTGAACGTCTCATTTCAAAGTACGCAAACTACAAACGCCCAAGTTATAGTGAAATGATCGTCGCGAGTATCATGCCATTCATTAAAATATATTCATTAAATCAGCTATTTAAACTCGTCAAACAGATCACTTTCCAACGGCTAATATTTTGAAATGAAACGTCGAGCGCCAAGATATTTGGGCTACATGTATTTCTACACATTTTGGCTTTTAATTTGTATACTTTTTCAACAGGTCCAATCTGAAATCTGGAACGGTTTCTTTAAGTCGTCTGTCCGTTATACCTAAGCGGAATTTATCTACAGGAAGTAAAGTCGCTTAACAAAGAAAGTAAAACATATCTCAACAAAAAACACTGGCCAGACAAAGACTATTAGAAACTGTATCTTTGCCGTAGTGCTGCGGTTCTACCTGATAAATTTAGAAGAAATACAATGTTCACGTGGAATTGGTTGCGTTAACACACACCTGAAGTAGCGCCTGGTTACATGTGTCCAAAAAATATGTAGCGCGGTAGTTGCATTTACCATGTCACAGATTAAGTGCAATTCTTTGCCTGCTGGGTGTTTGGTGGTGAATTTTTTATTGTGCGCTTTAAATCATTTAAGGTATGTCATTGAATCAAGTGGCATGTCTATCCTCGTGGGTTTTCTCCGGGTCTTCCGGTTTCCTCCAACTGCTAAAGACCCCTACGCGTTAGTGAATTATTGAAATGAAATTGAACCATATTTTAGTCCCGCAATGATTTAATTTGTGTCGAGTGGACGTTAAACCCATTTCCTTCTCTCCCTTTGTCTGCTTTGCGTAATCCCAATAAGTGCGCAATATAAATATACATATTATTATTATTATTGCTGAATAATAGAGCTGCGTCTACTGCAACTTTTAAACACCTCAAAAAGGCAATTTCTTTGTGGCACTCACATGACATCTATCTACTTTTAAGACATCAGAAGAACCTGCTAGCTATACACCTTTTCCCCAAAATATAAGCTTATAGACATTATTTTATTGGTCAAATTTCCTAAATATGGGCTATTTCCACACAAACGTACAAATAACAGTAAAGCTAAATTTTGAAAAGTAATTATGAATTTTTAAGGACATTTTCACTGTATAGTGTATATAACTCAAGAGGAAGTATATGCAATAGTCATAACAAAAAATGTAACAAAACCAAAATTTGTAGGAATGTCTTTTCAGTTATTACTATGTAAAAGACCACGTTAACAGTAAAGACATAACGGAAAATACAAAAATACAAAGTCATTAATTTGACTCCAGTTGTCTAAATAAATGTTTGAATATCATTAGAAAGCATAAAAATGGCGATTACGCAATATAAATTCTTCACAAAATACCTTTTGTTGTTTTGTCTATCCCAATACAAGAAGTCTTTTCCGATATCATTATTTATAAAAGAAAAGACATACTTTGACTGTCTGCACTCATTCACATTGCATAGACATATAGACATGCATGATATTAAGTCAGTGCTTTGACAACCTTATTGAAGTTATTCCCAGGTTTTCCAGAATACAATTTGGGCGACAACTTAATTGTTTGGATTTCCCTTCCTATAAACTGTTTTTTTTTTCTATTATGCGGGATTTTCCTGCTTGACCATAACCCTGTTTTTGATTTATTAATGACACCTAGTGACAAACTTGATAATTTTTTTTTTTGGGGGGGGGGGGGGCGAGGAGGGGGGTACCATCCTATGACTTTAGGTGATAGTCCAGTCGCCTAGGCCCCTTCAGCTTCTGGGTTTCTAGTAGATTGTCGGAGACACGTTCTGAGTGATTTCTGGCTAATAAAATTGCTCAGCAATGAAGTTTTAATTCTTTTCTGAATCCTTTACCATGAAAACACAATCGATGGTGGTTTTCTGTGATGCTGAACTGGAAAAATACACACTGTATAAATGTGATGGCTATAATAATTCGTATGGGCAACCTGGCGACTAGACGGAATTTAGCGACTCTTTTTGAAAGTTTTTCCCAATCACTTCTTTCTACTCTAGTTACATGTTCAAAAATCAGGCCTCTTCCACTAAGTTCTACTTTAAAGTACTACATCATTGTATCTAATTTTAACCCAATAGTTGCTTGCTGCATGGAATCACCTGGAGAAGGGAGTAATTGCTGTCAAATTATTGCGGGGGGAGTGGCTATTGTCATTAATATTAATAATAGAGTCAAAATATTTGTAGGCCTACAGTACAGTTTCCTACTCTTATTAGGCCAGTTACCAAATTATAATAATAATTAAAAAAACGCCTTACGCTTACGACGACGACGTAGGCCTACTCAGCAGGGCAAGTGCCTAGCCAGAACAGCGAATTATAATAAAAAGAGTCACGAGTCACCATTCTATATACAGTTGGTACCTTCAACGGGTCGTGTTGAAATCACCACCCTATAATATACATTTAATCCACCTAAACTTACTTTTTAAAATTAAACTTGATTAACAGAAGTCTAAATCTGTTTACTGTACTGGTGGCGCCCCCACGTTCATCTTAGTTATCTCCCTTTCGGGCAAGCCTCCCTCCTAATGCTACAGGATAAGTCTGATCTGATGGAAAGATGATTGGCCAGAACAGGGTTACGCTGAACACAACATTAACACAATTAATTTCGACAAGTTTATTCTTTAAAAAAAGATAATAATTAGTGAATTTTGCTTCAATTTTAACAACGATGTTGTGCTGAAGATTTAACAGCTTTAACTTCTGTGTCATGCATCAGTTCCTTATTATTCACCAAGCAAAATTTAAACCTACAATGAAAAACAATATATTATTAAAGGCCCGTGTTTGTTTTTGTTTTGGAGAATTATAAAGGCTACATGTATTGTATAGGCATATTAGCCTTGGATAGATTAGGCGTCAACGCCTTTGCCAACCCTACAGCAGCTAACGTTCGGTTTAGGAGATGAAATAAAATGAAATGGGAATTCCAAATGTCAAGGGTTCTTTGAGTGCACGTCAACGTGAACCCGTACCTGAGTTTTTCGTCCCTTTCGAACGACTAGACGACAAGCCTAACGATCCTGAACCACTGAACCATCAGATTTAGGCACGTTGATACACTCAGGTGATCTGAACACCGTGTACAAAGACAATATGCCAGATGTTAATTTATTAAAAGATAATAAATAAAACTGAATATGTTTGACATTTGATTTTAATCAGATTGTTTTTGGTCTGGTTTAGGCCAAAAACTAGGCTCTATTACTAGGACTGTAGTATGTATGCCAATGACCTATACACTCAAACACCGAGAAAGGCTCACGATTGAGGTTGAGAATAATTATTTTAGTTGCAATAAAAAGAGAATTTTCGTTAGAAACAACTTCATTACAATTTCGACAGTCCAAGTTCAGCCCCCCCCCCCCCCCCCCGAACATAAAAATTCGGGCAGACAGAAAATATAATTTAGGTTCCGATGAAGACTAGGGTCTGATTTTAGTTTACATTATTGTGTTGAGACTGCTGCATTGATAGTAAATCAAATGCAGTAGGCAAGGTCTGGGGTTCGATTCCCATCACGTTCGAACTCAAAAACATTCACTATAGAGATGCCCATACTTTGAAAATGAAATGAAATAAAATGGGGTTTAACGTCCTACTGTTCTGCTCCTATACTGGGCTAATGAAGACGGGCATACGCCATACAGTGTACTATGAGGGAAATTTTGCCCGGGCAGCGGCACTATCGCCTACTCTTATATCGAATTCCAACTGCCAAGGGATCTTTTACGTGCATTCCAATGTTTACACGGGACCTCGGTTTTTCGTCTCATCCGAAGGACTAGACAGCTGTCCTTGTCAGGCCCTCCGTCCTGCATCACTGACAAGGGGAAACCACGTCGGAAAATCGGGATGAACTTTCTCGGCCAATGCAGGGATCGAACACCCGACCTCCAGGCTAGCGAGCCAGCGCCTTAACCACCTAGCCACCGTGGCTCTCCGCCCATACTTTCACACCTATGACTTAATCTTAAATAACTAATCCGCGTGTGCAGGCCTTTACTCACTTATCACCATTTTCGCCAGCAATAACTTCCACACTATCTACAGCATATTTATCTTCGCCTTTCCCGAATCCAAATAGCATCGTGCCAGGATATTGTTCATATTTAATCGTAAGAGAATCAACATCGCCAACTTCTATGGGAGAAACCAATATGTGAGAAAAGGTATCTCCCCTTTTCAGTGTTTGGTCCTCTCTACAAAAGAAATGCAATGACATGAACTTGGGTTTAATATCCTACTTTTTTGTACCAACTTGGCTAATGAGGACGGGCATGCGCCATGCAGGGTGATATTTTTAATTCATACTGTCAAGTATTCCCGTGTAAAAAAATGTGTACACGGGACCTTGGTTTTCTCCCCATCCGAAAGACTAGGTATTGTCTTTACCAGCCCCCCTTTCTGTCCCACTGGCGGAAAACATGGCGGAAAATCTGAGGAATTGTCTCGCCAACACGAACACGAACAGTAAAGCGAAAACACTATACCTCTGAGAATTTGATGGCGTTTAACCGTCTCGTCAAGAAAGGTGCTTTTTTTTTAGAGCAATATATGGTTATTTATATTTGTGTAGTTAAGTCATGACTGCGCCGTTTCCGCCCACAGCTCTTCGAATTCCACCATCAGGGGTTCTCTTATGTGCACGCGTCCATTGATAGGCCTCGATTTTTTTTGTCTCAACCGAGTGATTAGGCACAATTGCCATGTCAGCCCCACATGCCAAAATGTATAATCCGGTGGTTTTACAAATATTTCTCATACAGTTTTCTTATACAGCTCAATAAGGTTATGGTAGACCAGTTTATACGTAAATATAAAACAAACTGGAATAAACAAACTAACTGTGTTGCTAAAACAAATCCACTGTCTCCCCAGTTGCCCTTCAATCTAATTGAAATTGTCCCTTTTGAGTCTTTAGTTTCTTGAGCCCCCTTGATAGTAACACTGTAGTGATATCCTGATAAAGAAAAAAAAAATAACCATAGACTTTATGACAATGCGCCCCCCCCCCCTTCCACACACACACAACAAATAATGAAATAACATCATAAAAACAAACAAAAAAATTCCATACCCCCGTCCCTCCCCCCCCCCCGCAAAAAAAAACGCCAAACAAACCCACGATGATAAAGTGAACACATCTAAGTACACAGACACAGACGTGCCTGGGTTTTCCCTATCTGGATCGGTATAACGATAGAGCTAATCTTTAAAAAAAATAATAAAAAATTATGTCGATTACAATGTTCGTTGGGCGGGTTGGATGGACGAATGGTTAGCACGCGCGCGCTGTATCATAAGGCCTGTCATTGAGTCAACTGGCGTGGTTTCGAATCCACGGTTGTACGTGACAAGGAGTAGGGTCGCCTGTCCAACCTCGTGGGTTTTCTCCCGGTCCTCCGGTTTCCCCCCACTGCTAAAGACCCATACGCGCAAGCAAATTATTGAAATAAAATTTTAAAAAAAAACATATGTTAGTCCCGAAATGACCTAGTTTGTGTCGAGTGGACGTTAAACCTCTCTCTCTCTCTCTCACTCTCTCTCTCACAATGTTCGTTGTCCAACTGCATTGCGTTCACAAGCTTTGAAAGCCTTTGAAACTAAAGAAGTGATTATTCTTCGATTTATCTGGACTGTTTATGAATACATGACTAAGGTTGAGAAAAATGTCAAAATAAAATTAACATTACGTATTACCTATGAAGCTTTTAGCTAGATATGATGTGTTATCACGAACGATAGAAGCCTATTTGATAGAAATAATTTTATGTCCAAATGAAAGAAATGTCACTTTATTGATACAAGACTATTTCATAGAAATAATTTTATGTAGACATGAACATAATTGATAAATCCTTCTTACCGCAGAGTGGCGAATTTGGCGAGGTATTTAGATACATTTTCCCTCTGGCATAATACTGATCTGAATAGTAACCTAGTACAGAACATCCAGTACTACCACAATTAAGACATTTTCCAGCCTCAAATCTATCCTGGAAATCAAATTATTATATATGATATGCCTGGCTGTTTGTTTGGGCGTGATCTGGATTGGGAATGTGACTGTAATACGACACAAAGAAAACCCATTTTTGCCCCGAAACAATTTACCCCCCCCCCTTCCCCGCCTAAAAAAACAAGTTTTATTTTACATCCCACATTGGATACTACTTATGCGCTATAAGAAAGGGATGAAATGATGTGACATGTCACTCAAATAAACAGATCAGGGAAAGTCGGTAACTTATACAAACAGGTCAAGGAAAGGCTTTAACTCACATAAACAGCTAAAGGATGGTAGTAACTCACATAAACAGATCAAGTGAATGTTGTAACTCACAAAACCGACCCAGGCGTGGCTGTAACTTACATAAACAAAACAAAGAAAGGTTACAACTCGCATAAACAGATCAAGAAAAGACCTAACTCACATAAACAGATCAAGAAAAGACCGTAAATCACATAAACAGATAACAGAAACGTTGTAACTAACATAAACCGATCAAGGGAATAGTGTAACCCACATAAAAAGATCAGGGAAAGTCTGTAACAAACATAAACCGATCAAGGGAAGGCTATAAGTCACATAAACGGATTAAAGGCTCAATACCACTCTTATTGTAACTGAATAATATGTCCCAATCTTTATTCTGGTCAACAAATTGTACTATTTTACAATATTCCAATTAATTGATGATACAAATTTCATCTCAATACACCTAATTTAAAAAATTGGAAAAATTCAACTAAATGATTTGAAAAGCCTGACGTAAAGCTTTTCAAATGTGACTTGGATTTAAAAATATTTTTGAACCCTCTGGACAAGTAAACTAGGATTTAATGGATAATTTACACAACAGGTAGGACACTAACACATCTAGTACTTAGAATAAGGCTATTTTTATTTTCTGGAGCTGTCAAGCCAGCAAGATGGTTATTGTCCCTTTAAGGAAATATTGTAACTCACATACACAGATCACAGATCAAGGACTGCAACTGATTGTTAATTTATAGTAGCTTTAATTAACTTAAATAATCAGAATAGGCTGTAACGTATTGTTAATTAATAATATTGTTACAGCAGAACAGGCTGTAACATATTGTTTATTCATAATAGATTTAATATACTTACATAATCGGAACAGGGGTAGGCTGTGAACGGACATCTGGAGTTAACAGATTCAATGAAAGCAATATGTGATCTACCGTGGCTACAGCCTAGAGTTTGCGATATACCTGAAGGAAAATGTGGAATAAGAAACACCAGGCACCTATTTTGGAATATTATACAGTGCAGAACGAGTATTTATAAATGTGTTTTTTTTTCTCTTTAAAAAAAAGTTTTAATAAAGTTATATTTCCAGTTATTTTTATAATATCACAATGATGTCCTCTCTGTGATAATTCTGTGTTACTAAATATGTAACAGTATCGGAAGAAAGATTCATTGACTGATTGAACTACAAGTGGTTTTCTTTTCTAGCGCGTACCTGAATTTAAAGGAAGTTATGGACGAGTCAGAGATTTTCTGAATCCTAGATTTTCCTATTGTTAACAAATTAATTGCAGGTTCTCTTCACCTGATTGCCTACTTTAGCGGATATAATAGAAATATTGACCTTGGCCCTAAATATTGGACTATTACTTTGCTACCCGATAATTCAAACTTAAGAATAATAGTTATACCCAATATCCACTGAAGTTTAATATTTATATTATTGCATGTATTCAAATAAAGGTAATTTCCTTTTCATTGATTTGATAGTCCACCAAATAAAATGATGGCGCAGATCCAAACGACCTCTCAGCTTAAAAGAAATTTAAATTCAAATCAAGGTAAGTATTTCTGTAGAATATATTTACGCTTTTACCGTGGCCATGAAGGAGTTCAGAAATACCAGAAAAGCCATCTTTACACCCAGGCTGGTGTTTCCCGCCATTTAAGTAAAAATCAACATGGCCAGACTGATTAAGTAGACCAGCTCCTCCAGACAAAAAAGGTGCAGCGTTGGAATGAATAATATCCACGAATTTAGCATCTGTGTGATCCAATACTACCAAAATTGGAGAATGGTCGTAATTAGGCCCGGCTGGGTCCAAACCTGAGATCAAAAAAAGCATCAAAATTAACAAAGTCATTAAACACAACACTTATTTGTGCAGTTCACATAGCTATGGGCTGGATACCGTATGGGGTTTACATATAGGCTTGGCAGTCTGAAGCTCAGGGCCTCAAGACCTAAGGGGTCTCTAGTCTCGGTCACACAAAACCTCGTAGTCTTCAACGTACGGAGGGTCTGGGTCGGTTGTCAACATATGGCGAAATTTATTGGATAATTAACCACATAAAAAAACATATTTACGATTACGCATGGGCAATGGATTTTTTTAAACTAAAGCCATGGTGACGAAGAATTAGGATTTAAAAAATCCTTAGATATTGTCCTTGAAGAGAGAAATTTTACCTCCTCCTCCCCCCCCCCCCCTAAAAAAAAAAAAAAAAAAAAATAAGAGTGTTATTGATTTTTCTGAAATGGTGATTCTTAAATTAATTACATGGGCTGGGAGTCGTAATCTTTTTTTTAGGGCTGGGGCTTTGGAGGGCCTCACAAGTGGATTAGCCTTCATCTAAATCAGGTACTAGCCGGATAACCAGCATGCTGTAAATGAGGTCGGGCGCCACGTCGTTATTCCAGCTTCAATATGTAGGAGAAATATAATTTTGAAGAAAAAAACGGGGGGGGGGGGCATAACTATTGATTTAACGTGAATTATAGACCTGAGCCCTGTGGAAATGTGGAAAATTTTGCCCCCCCCCCCCCCACAACACATGACTCTGTTAGAATTAAACAATATTTCATCATCTTTACCACTTGCATTCGCCAGTGGTGTCACATCTTAAGCGGAACATATCCACGGCAATTGCGTCAAATAAAATCCTGGCAGAGCATGCAATGACGCCCGTATTATCGTAAATACTATGACGATATACTTTTAAAAATGGCGACAGTACCTGTTATTCGTTGTAATGCACCTTTAAATAAATGTCCAACATATCCAGATGTATGGGCACCGAGACTGTGACCAACTAGATGTATCTTGTCCAACTTAGCTCCAAATGTTAATAAAAGGCCAATTGTTCTGTGTACCACAGTAGCGACCACTCTTGTATTTGCAACAGCCTTTGAATAATCTTCAACCTTTGCCCCGTTACCCCAACCAACAATAATGATATTAAAATCACCCTAAAGTATTAAGATTAAACACATTTATTGGAATTTAATTTAATATTTTCAGTTTAGTTGAAATAATAAACTGTCAGTGATAGAAGTTACTTACCCTTTTAAGTAGTTCGTCCTTTAACTCGTGGAGCCATGCAGTATTTAAATTATTTGCAAGTCCATGAATTATAATTTTTGTTGGTTTACTCCCATCAAAATAAGAATGTTTAATCGTGTCCTTGTTGTTATACTGGAGAAGTTGACCCGTGCCGTTTTGGCGATTTTGGCGAGTATATAAGGTCATGGAAGTTCCAATTGTTTTGGGGCTGTCTGGAAGATCTAAGTCAGCATTGTTAAACGGATAAAAGTTGTCAAAGCAGCCAAGCTCTTTATAACAAATACTTTTATTTGCTCTTGGATCTGGTGTTGTTGGCTTTGGGGTTGGCTTTGCAGCGTTTGGCGGTTGTGCATCCTCTTCATGTATGACAGCCTGATGGTTAATAACAATATTAGACCGTAGAGTAGCGTCTTCATGAAAAATTATGTCGGCTGATTCGGCTGACAGAATACAACTAACAAAACCTTTAAAGAAAAATCGGTTTATTTTACTTTTAGAAGAACCAAAGAGAACTTTAATAATTAAAAAGACTCTGGTAAACATAAGATATGCCAGTTCACGAATTCAGTAAGCTTGCTTTCAGTTATCTTAAAGATACATTATGGGAGATTAAAAAAAGAGCTGGTAGTTAAAAACCAGATAATGTAAAGGGAATTTGCTGAAAATTTCAGTTAAATTGATGCACCCGGAACCGAGTATTTGGCGGGCCTAGCCTCGATTATCGGTACGATAAAAAAATGTAGTCTCGATTATCCATATTTTGATTTAATCAGAAGCAGCAGACCGAGTTCTAATACAGTAAATATCGCAGGCTAGCGTTGTCATCGAGGGTTGATTATGGTCTGGATAAGTTAATTAATGTCTAATGAATAATTTAGATAACATTTCAGGCCTAAATAAAGACCTGCAATTAGCAGATTTAGCTCTTGCATAATGTATGTTTAAGTGCGTGCACAGAACAGTCCATGACTGGTGTATAAATATATATACACATCAAGCTTTCTAAATAGACAATGTTTCAGGCAAAATATAGACAGAGCTGATTCTACGTTTCTGACGATAATGTACTAATTAATAAATGTATTATTCCATCCGTCGAATATACCACGACAGTCAAGACCAATTCTTGGACTGTTCGTCAGTAGTGAGGGGACAAAAATTCAATGTGATTCCGAATAAAGGTCATATTTGTCGTATTTTTCAACACCCGGTTTAAATTTATGTGTAACGGATTCGCGAAAAAAACAGTCTGCCAAAAGAATAGTTTTTGTTGGATAAACCAGGTGGACTTAACCGCCAAAATTACTACGGGGAGCCATGGTTTCGCAGTTGGTATAGACTTGACTCACTAAGCAGGAGGTCCTGGAATTGATCCTGGTGTTGGCCGAAGAAGTTCCCGCCAAAAGTTTCCTATAACACACTGCATGGCGTATGCCCGTCTTGATGTACACTCTTTCTATCGTCAATTCATATCAAAAGTTTACCTGCCAAAACCGAGAACTGTAAAAGACTACACAAAAACATGTTTTCTTCTACTTCATAGATGCAACACCTCAGATTGTGTCATATGTTCAACATTTTATCATATCAAAATAATCTCACACTCACTCCTGCTCTTATAGAAAAAAATTAAACGTTATCTTTAAAAATATATGGAGTGTCGCAGTGTTTTTTTTTGTGTACTCAGATGATTGGGATTTGTATATGACTGGGCTGACAGTCGGCTGGAGTAAATCGCCTGTCTCTTTATGACATTTAATTACTAGATAAACGCATTCCCCTCCACGAAATTTACTGGTCAGCGGAGAACAAAGACGAACGGGGAGGGTTTTAAGGAATAATAAGAGAAAGGATAGAAATAGTATTTAACGTCGATGCTGAAAACACGCTGCTATCATGTACGGTCACACGCTGCTATCATGTACGGTCACACGCTGCTATCATGTACGACCAAATTCGACGTGTACGTTTTTTTTGTTTTTTGATAGGTCTGAGAAGGAACGTCCCGACTGGACAGTTGTGGACTATGTCATCTTCTCCTATGATGGAATACATAATGGTCTCCTGAACATGGACACTGCCAAACTTTAAATGCCAATGAACACTTCTAATTGTTTCTTTGTACATAAACACTTGCGCAGGATATATATCACTAAGTTAGGCGAACCTAGCCGTACCAGTCTATAAAGTTATACGTGTGCCTGCTACTGACTATGATTAGAATATTACCTTGGTCTGATACTTCTGGAGGCAGATCACCATTAAATTTCACTATCTCGGTACCCACAAATTGTAGTTAGTCTATTTATAGAAATTCTCTCACTGTCTCTTTTCTCTCCTTTTTTGTTGATTTTTTGTTCTTGAATGGACGAAGAGGGTTTGAATTAACATTTTCTGCCAGGTTTTGGTACATATTCATAATTTTGAGGCGGAAGGATAACGGGGTTATCAGGTTGGCTACGGTGATATGTACGGCAACTAATTAAATGTTTTCAGTATGCTTCTTCAAGTGTGTGTATCTCAAAAGTTTGGTGGTCAGCCTCATACAAATTTCAGTGCAAAGACATGAACATTGGTTCCTCTGTCTGTAGTGAAAAGTATTCAGTCCAACGAAAATTTGGGGGAAAAGTTGGAGGTGGGCAAAGAGGCCAGAATTAACATTGAAGTCAATGGGGAAATTAATGGGGGTCTGCCTCCTGTATTCTAATTATACACGAGTTATGCCCCTTACCTTTTGCTGTCGTGGGAGTGTGAATGCGATAAAGCCAGATTGTATCACAAAAAACCGCTCTAATTTCAAACCACGATAACCTATTAACACTCAGCCTTATTTGCTGACGATATTAATACATTGCCGAGGTCCCTTTTTCTCAAGACTGAACTGGCCTGATGCTCACCCTTTCCTCAACACTGTACTTGCTTTGAGGGATTTGGAGACAAGACAATAGTCATTTTCATTTCTGTAGATATGTCCGTGAAAGATTGAAAATCCAACTATATTTAAAAATTACTTTAATACAAAAATAATTTGACCAAAAGGCGTCTTTACAAATATCAACAATGGTATTTTGGGGAAGATTTAACAGTTTCTACTTCTGTGCCATGATTCAATTCTTTATCCATCAAGCAAAATTTATACCTGAAATATTAAAGAAAAATAATAATTTATAAAGCTTCAACTTTTAAAATTATATTTATACTATGTGTTACTTCGTTCCAGCCCAGACCTAATTCATGTTGTTTTTTTTTCAAAAGAGGGCATTAAGAGATATTTGTGATCTAAGTGAATACACAATCTGATTAAAATACAGATCTATATTTCGTTTCGTTTTTTTATACTTTCGATGGCCTACACTACATGAAGATCTGACAAGTTATAGCGATAGGTCACGCCAGGGGTCAAAAGACCGACTTATGACCCTATGATGTCAGACATTTGATTAACCAATCAGCATTGATGTTACTAGTGAATTACCCACAGTTCCGCGCAGAACACGCCTAAAGCTCGCCGTAACAGACCGTTTCATTGGCTTATCCCTGACACCAATCAGAACACGAGTTAAATAACAACTCTTCCAGATCCAAGTGTAGTAAGGACAAGTAAAACGAAATTTTGAACTATAAAAACGAAACGAAATAGGATCTGTGGTTTAACCAGATTGGGTGAATACAATGTAATGTTGCTAGTAATGCCACTAAAAAAAGAGAGAGGGGGGGGGGCAGGAAGATAAACAAACTCGAGAGACCTGGAAACAGACCAATGCCATTAAAAGTATATATATCGTATGTGGTAATATGAATCTAATAGATCTATGTTATAGTAACATCTGTTTTGTCTATATCTTGCTATGCATTCTCCTTTATCATCAATTATTTATTACTTACGAGTAGCCATTTTCTCCCGATTTAACTTCTACGCTTTCTACAGAATATTTATCCTTGCCGCCTCCGAACCAAAATCCAGAATATTTTTCATATTTAATCGTAACAAATTCAACATCACCAACTTCTTGGGGAGAGACCATTACGTGAGAAAATGTTTGACCCTTTTTTAACGCTTGATCATTTCTGAAAAAAAAAGACAAAATATTGATTATTGTTCTAGCTTATTACGACAGTCCCAAATCCCTACTATTCTGGAGGGGGGGGGGGGTGGATGGCCGAATGGTTAGCACGTGCGTGCTGTATCATAAGGCCTGCCATTGAGTCAACTGGCGTGGTTTCGAATCCCCGGTTGTACGTGACAAGGAGTAGGGTCGCCTGTCCAACCTCGGGGGTTTTCTCCGGGTCCTCCGGTTTCCTCCCACTGCAAAAGACCCCTACGCGCGAGCGAATTATTGAAATTAACGAAATAACCTAGTTTGTGTCGAGTGGACGTTAAACCCCATCTCTCTCTCTCTCTCTCTCTCCCTCTCTCTCTCTCTCTTTCTCCTACTATTCTGTCACGTGATTATTTAGAACATGTTAAGTATTAGAAACCCTAGGGACTATTTTACTTAGCGTTTAACGACCTTTACTTAGCTTCATTTCGTCGTTTTTTCCCTTACCAGAGGTACCGGGCGGGTGGCCTGGGAAAGAAGAGAATCCAGTCGTTCTGATATTAAGACCAAGCGAGGTTCCGTGTTCACGTTGGTGTGTATTATAGCGTTTGTCCCGTCTCCATTAGCCCAGTTAGATAAAACATGTAATTCGTCTAACAAAATGTTCAATTTTAAAATTAAAATGTATAGGTAAAACACGAAATGAAATAGGGTTTAACGTCTTACTGTTCTGCTCCGACTGGGCTAATAAAGACGGGTATACGCAACACTGTGTGCTATGAGGGGAAATTTTGTCCGCACATCGGCACTACGTCCTACTCTTATATCGAATTCCAACTACCACGGGATCTTTTACGTGCACGCTGATTCCTTGATCCTATCCTAATCATGTATTAAAATTTGCTGATCCACCCCGATCAGTGTATATTATATTATTTTAGTCTGTCATTTAATTGTACTATACAATTGTCTACACATGGTAATTTGATCTGATGTATTAATAAGCCAATATTTAAAAAAAAATAGAAGGATGTTAAACTCATTCATTCATCATTCAACTTCGACAAACTTTCCTCTCCAAACGTTCTTAATACTAAACACGCATCACAATTTGGTGATCAATATTTTAAGAACACGTCCGAATTACGAATCCACACTGGGGGTTGTGGAATGGATGAGAATAACAAACTAACTTAGTCGCTGCAACAAATCCACTGTCGCCCCATTTGCCCTTCAACCTGAGTGAAATCTTTCCTTTAGTGTCTGGAGTTAAATCAGCCCCTTTGATTGTAACAGCATAATGATATCCTAGTAAAACAAATAAAACAAAGGCTAATTTATGGTTGAAAATTAGAGAAAACACTTTCAAAATTACTCTAAATAACCAATTAAAAATATTTGTGACGGCTGTCGTGTATGAGGTAAGGTATGACCATTTTTTCCTTAACATATGTAGCCTTATCTTTAGGTTCCCCTAGCCAAAATAATTTTTTATTATATATTAATATAGATATTTGAGTGAAATTTTAGTATTTAGTGCATTATCCCTCATTTAAAATATTTAAAAAGTCGCTATTTTGTTTTTTGTGCCCTATCCCGTGCTTCTGGACTGCTGTAGTAGAGGGGTAAGGGTATTCAACGCCGATCCAAGGACATTGTTGGCATTCGCATTGAAATTCGATGAAGATCAGGTAGAAACGCCGAAGTCCGCTCCCACCCCGACCCCCTGTGGTCCCGAAATGGCAGTTACATCCCCTTCTTATCCTATTTATTAAAAGGGGTGGTCAACCTATTTATATATCCTAAAACAGATAGATGACATTTACTCGAATCAACTTTTAAAATCTTTCTAGACACCTCAGTCACTTTATTTGTCATAAGGATTGAACATTACTTCCATTCAAGTAAGACTGGGTCATCGGTGCATTACTCGAATGAGTAAAGCCTATTTTACACAGATTAATTAACGACAAACTGAGTAATAATAAGTCCCTTTTTCTCAAGACTGAACTGGCCTGATGCTCACCCTTTCCTCAACACTGTACTTGCTTTGAGGGATTTGGAGACAAGACAATAGTCATTTTCATTTCTGTAGATATGTCCGTGAAAGATTGAAAATCCAACTATATTTAAAAATTACTTTAATACAAAAATAATTTGACCAAAAGGCGTCTTTACAAATATCAACAATGGTATTTTGGGGAAGATTTAACAGTTTCTACTTCTGTGCCATGATTCAATTCTTTATCCATCAAGCAAAATTTATACCTGAAATATTAAAGAAAAATAATAATTTATAAAGCTTCAACTTTTAAAATTATATTTATACTATGTGTAACTTCGTTCCAGCCCAGACCTAATTCATGTTGTTTTTTTTTCAAAAGAGGGCATTAAGAGATATTTGTGATCTAAGTGAATACACAATCTGATTAAAATACAGATCTATATTTCGTTTCGTTTTTTTATACTTTCGATGGCCTACACTACATGAAGATCTGACAAGTTATAGCGATAGGTCACGCCAGGGGTCAAAAGACCGACTTATGACCCTATGATGTCAGACATTTGATTAACCAATCAGCATTGATGTTACTAGTGAATTACCCACAGTTCCGCGCAGAACACGCCTAAAGCTCGCCGTAACAGACCGTTTCATTGGCTTATCCCTGACACCAATCAGAACACGAGTTAAATAACAACTCTTCCAGATCCAAGTGTAGTAAGGACAAGTAAAACGAAATTTTGAACTATAAAAACGAAACGAAATAGGATCTGTGGTTTAACCAGATTGGGTGAATACAATGTAATGTTGCTAGTAATGCCACTAAAAAAAGAGAGAGGGGGGGGGCAGGAAGATAAACAAACTCGAGAGACCTGGAAACAGACCAATGCCATTAAAAGTATATATATCGTATGTGGTAATATGAATCTAATAGATCTATGTTATAGTAACATCTGTTTTGTCTATATCTTGCTATACATTCTCCTTTATTATCAATTATTTATTACTTACGAGTAGCCATTTTCTCCCGATTTAACTTCTACACTTTCTACAGAATATTTATCCTTGCCGCCTCCGAACCAAAATCCAGAATATTTTTCATATTTAATCGTAACAAATTCAACATCACCAACTTCTTGGGGAGAGACCATTACGTGAGAAAATGTTTGACCCTTTTTTAACGCTTGATCATTTCTGAAAAAAAAGACAAAATATTGATTATTGTTCTAGCTTATTACGACAGTCCCAAATCCCTACTATTCTGGAGGGGGGGTGGGGGGTGGATGGCCGAATGGTTAGCACGTGCGTGCTGTATCATAAGGCCTGCCATTGAGTCAACTGGCGTGGTTTCGAATCCCCGGTTGTACGTAACAAGGAGTAGGGTCGCCTGTCCAACCTCGGGGGTTTTCTCCGGGTCCTCCGGTTTCCTCCCACTGCAAAAGACCCCTACGCGCGAGCGAATTATTGAAATTAACGAAATAACCTAGTTTGTGTCGAGTGGACGTTAAACCCCATCTCCCTCTCTCTCTCTCTCTCTCCCTCTCTCTCTCCCACTATTCTGTCACGTGATTATTTAGAACATGTTAAGTATTAGAAACCCTAGGGACTATTTTACTTAGCGTTTAACGACCTTTACTTAGCTTCATTTCGTCGTTTTTTTCCCTTACCAGAGGTACCGGGCGGGTGGCCTGGGAAAGAAGAGAATCCAGTCGTTCTGATATTAAGACCAAGCGAGGTTCCGTGTACACGTTGGTGTGTATTATAGCGTTTGTCCCGTCTCCATTAGCCCAGTTAGAATTCATAAAACATGTAATTCGTCTAACAAAATTTTCAATTTTAAAATTAAAATGTATAGGTAAAACACGAAATGAAATAGGGTTTAACGTCTTACTGTTCTGCTCCGACTGGGCTAATAAAGACGGGTATACGCAACACTGTGTGCTATGAGGGGAAATTTTGTCCGCACATCGGCACTACGTCCTACTCTTATATCGAATTCCAACTACCACGGGATCTTTTACGTGCACGCTGATTCCTTGATCCTATCCTAATCATGTATTAAAATTTGCTGATCCACCCCGATCAGTGTATATTATGTCTGTCATTTAATTGTACTATACAATTGTCTACACATGGTAATTTGATCTGATGTATTAATAAGCCAATATTTAAAAAAAAAATAGAAGGATGTTAAACTCATTCATTCATCATTCAACTTCGACAAACTTTCCTCTCCAAACGTTCTTAATACTAAACACGCATCACAATTTGGTGATCAATATTTTAAGAACACGTCCTAATTACGAATCCACACTGGGGGTTGTGGAATGGATGAGAATAACAAACTAACTTAGTCGCTGCAACAAATCCACTGTCGCCCCATTTGCCCTTCAACCTGAGTGAAATCTTTCCTTTAGTGTCTTGAGTTAAATCAGCCCCTTTGATTGTAACAGCATAATGATATCCTAGTAAAACAAATAAAACAAAGGCTAATTTATGGTTGAAAATTAGAGAAAACACTTTCAAAATTACTCTAAATAACCAATTAAAAATATTTGTGACGGCTGTCGTGTATGAGGTAAGGTATGACCATTTTTTCCTTAACATATGTAGCCTTATCTTTAGGTTCTCCTAGCCAAAATAATTTTTTATTATATATTAATATAGATATTTGAGTGAAATTTTAGTATTTAGTGCATTATCCCTCATTTAAAATATTTAAAAAGTCGCTATTTTGTTTTTTGTGCCCTATTCCGTGCTTTCTGGACTGCTGTAGTAGAGGGGTAAGGGTATTCAACGCCGATCCAAGGACATTGTTGGCATTCGCATTGAAATTCGATGAAGATCAGGTAGAAACGCCGAAGTCCGCTCCCACCCCGACCCCCTGTGGTCCCGAAATGGCAGTTACATCCCCTTCTTATCCTATTTATTAAAAGGGGTGGTCAACCTATTTATATATCCTAAAACAGATAGATGACATTTACTCGAATCAACTTTTTAAATCTTTCTAGACACCTCAGTCACTTTATTTGTCATAAGGATTGAACATTACTTCCATTCAAGTAAGACTGGGTCATCGGTGCATTACTCGAATGAGTAAAGCCTATTTTACACAGATTAATTAACGACAAACTGAATAATAATAAGTCTTCTTACCACAAAGTGGAGATTTTGATGTTGTATCTAGATACATTTTCCCTCTGGCATAATACTGATCTGAATAGTAACCTAGTACAGAACATCCAGTACTACCACAATCAAGACATTTTCCAGCCTCAAATGTATCCTACAAACCAAATTATTATACATGACATGCGTGTTTGTATCTTTGGGAGTATAATATTTGATATTTGGGAACAATAATTAAATCCTTTATCTCACCAAATCAAGAGTAATCCTGGTTTTTATTCACTTGATTAAAATTAAAACACCCTCAGAGATAGTGAATATTTTTTAAATATGTATCTGGTTTTTTTTTAACTTACATAATCAGAACAGGGGTAGGCTGTGAAAGGACATCTAGCATTAATGGATTCAATGAAAGCATCATGTGATCTACCGTGACTACAGGCTAGAGATTGGCTTATACCTGGAAGAGTGAGAGCAATATGGTTTACTTCGAGATACAAATTCGTAAACCTTCTTTAGTATTAATTCACTGAAATCCAATAGTGGGGTTGGACGGCCGAATGGTTAGCACGTGCGTGCTGTATCATAAAGCCTGTCATTGAGTCAACTGGCGTGGTTTCGAATCCCCGGTTGTACGTGGCAAGGAGTAGGGTCGCCTGTCCAACCTCGTGGGTTTTCTCCGGGTCCTCCGGTTTCCTCCCACTGCTAAAGACCCCTACGCGCAAGCGAATTATTGAAATAAAATTAAACCATATGTTAGTCCCGTAATGACCTAGTTTGTGTCAAGTGGACGTTAAACCCCATTTCTCTCTCTCTGAAATCCAATAACCAGGTTAGATACCGGAAGCCCTGATTACAATACCTAGATTCTCTCATGCAGGTAATAGACAATGCAGGATAACTGCACACCGAAACCAGGAAAAAACAAACAATAAAGGAAAGATACAGAGGTCGGGATTTTGGCATCCAGGGATTAAGTGAAAAGGGGTTTTAATTTTGAATCCTAAACCGTTTATATGTTTAGGATGACTTGACAATTCTGCCCCACCCCACCCCCAGTAAAAGAAACAAATAAAAATACCCTTTCGCCCCAAACAAAATCCTTACTTAAAATAGGTCAATTGACACTTTCTGAGTTCTGGAGTTTGCAAAGTCACACAAAATAATTAGCTCGACATTCGTATTTCCAGCTTTGAAATCGATACACATTAAAAGTTGAAAATGCATTTAATAAAATACGGATGTTGCAGAAAGACAACCCCTAGAGGAAACCGAGGATATGTGTGTTGTTATTAACTTATGCATCTTCCTAATATGAAAACTGTTTGCTCTTTTACCTTGTCCGTGTAAAATGTCACCAATAGCAGCTAGTCCATCATCACATCCTGGTTGATGTTTTCCTCCATTTAAATAAAAATCAATATGACCAGACTGATTATACAATCCAGCTCCACCCTGACTTAAAGGGGCACCATTAGAATGAATTATGTCCACGTATTTAGCATCTGTGGGATCCAACACTACCAAAGGTGGAGACTGTTCATAATCTGGATCTGCTGGGTCCAACCCTGCAACACAATAGTGTCTCTGAATTAAGTGGATTTAATCGCCCATCTGCAACACAATAGTGTCTCTGAATTAAGTGTATTTAGTCGCCCATCTGCAACACAATAGTGTCTCTGAATTAAATGGATTTAATCGCCTATCTGCAAAGTACTAATTATTAAACATACAAATGTCTATATTATATGTTTAAAACCCCCTTCTCGCCAATTCCTTTAAACAGAGACAATATAACTGATCATTTCAAAATATACTTTTTTTTATTCTGAACACACTTCAGTCCTACTACTAATCTATTGGTTTATTGCCCTTCACGTTGTCATTTTATTGCTACATTCATGTACTGTTTATTCTTGGGGGCGATTCTATTTTTAAAGTCTATTGGTATGTAATTATAAAAACATGGCGATAGTACCTGTTATTCTTTGTATTGCACCATTTAATAAATGTCCAACAAATCCAGATGTATGGGCTCCAAGACTGTGACCAATTAGATGTAAATCTTCCATCTTAACTCCAAATTTGACTAAACTGAGAATTGTTCTGTGTACCACAGTAGCGACCACTCTTGTATTTGCAACTGCCTGTGCATAATCTGGGAACTTGGCACCGTTACCCCAACCAACAATTATGACATTAAAGTCATCCTTAAAATATTTACATGTTAGTATCAGTAAACTAGCAATTTACCCGAACATGTGATTCACATTGCCTCAGTGAGTAGGACACTGACTCACTAATCAGGAGGTCTCAGGTTCGAGCCCGGTACTAACCGGTAAAGTTCTTCGGGATTTTCTAGCCTGGTTTCCCCTTGTCAGGAGGACCTGGTCAGAATATCGCGTATAGTGGGTCGTATGGAGTGAACATCAAGAAGGTCCAAACGTGAACGCAAAAGAACCGTTGACAATTGGAATTACATGAGGAATAGGCGGAAAAGCAACCGGGCAAATCCCCCCCCCCCCATAGCACAACGTATGGCGTATGCCCGTTTCGTATTAACCCGGTTGATGCAAAAAAAAAGGCAGAAGGTTAAATACAATTTCACTTTTCCTTTTACAGCAGTAGTACTGTTTCTTTAAACGAAATGAAATGGGGTTTAACGTCCTACTGTTCTGCTCCTAAACTGGGCTAATGAAGACGGTCATACGCCATACAGTGTGCTATGAGGGAAATTTTGCCCGGACAGGGGCACTACGGCCTACTCTTATATCGAATTCCAACTGTTAAGTCTTTTACGTGCACAACAATGTGTACACGGGACCTCGGTTTTCGTCCAATCCGAACGACTAGATAGCTGACAAGTGGGAACCACGCCAAGTGTAACAAAAACTCCCAGATGTACATAAAACATCTTTAAGTAAATAATTGTTTGAAATCATCATTTTTTAAAGAAATCCGAAGATATACTCGAAATAACAAACTGTTAAAATAGGGGACTATACTTACATTTATAAGAAACTCATCTTTCATCGCATGAAGCCAGTCAGTATTTAAATCATTAGAAAATCCATGAATGATGATTTTTGTTGGTTTTTTGGCATCAAAATCGGAATTTTGAATAGTATTGGGGTCGTTAAACTTGATAAGTTGACCCTTATCATGTTCTCGATTTTGACGAGTATAGAGAGTTACAGAGATTCCAATTACATCTGGGCTATCCGGTAGATCTAAAATAGCATTGTTAAAGGGATAAAAGTTGTCGAAACATCCAAGATCTTTATAGCAAATACTTTTATTCGCTCGTGGATCAGGTGTGCTTGGTGTGGGTGTTGCGGTAGTGGGTTTTTCCGTTGTTGGTTTTGGTGTTACTTTCACAGTTGTAGGCTTTGGTGTCACAGTTGTTGGCTTTGGAGTCACAGTTGTTGGTTTTGGTGTCACAGTTGTTGGCTTTGGTGTCACAGTTGTTGGCTTTGGAGTTGTTGGCGTTGGTGTCACAGTTGTTGGCTTTGGTGTCACAGTTGTTGGCGTTGGTGTCACAGTTGTTGGCTTTGGTGTCACAGTTGTTGGCTTTGGTGTCACAGTTGTTGGCTTTGGTGTCACAGTTGGCTTTGGTGTCACAGTTGTTGGCTTTGGTGTCACAGTTGTTGGTTTTGGTGTTACTTTTACAGTTGTTGGCTTTGGTGTCACAGTTGTTGGCTTTGGTGTTACTTTTACAGTTGTTGGCTTTGGTGTTACTTTTACAGTTGTTGGCTTTGGTGTTACTTTTACAGTTGTTGGCTTTGGTGTCACAGTTGTTGGCTTTGGTGTCACAGTTGTTGGTTTTGGTGTCACTTTTACAGTTGTTGGCTCTGGGGTCACAGTTGTTGGCTTTCGGGTCACAGTTGTTGGCTTTGGTGTCACTTTTACTGTTGTTGGTTTTGGTGTCACTTTTACAGTGGTTGGCTTTGGTGTTACTTTTACAGTTGTTGGCTTTGGTGTCACCGTTACCGTTGTTGGCTTTTGTGTTACTTTCAAAGTTGTTGGATTTGGTGTCACTTTTACTGTTGTTGGCGTTGGTGTCACTTTTACAGTTGTTGGTTTTGGTGTCACTTTTACCGTTGTAGGCTTTGGTGTCACTTTTACGGTTGTTGGCTTTGCAGTTGTTGGCTGCGGTGTTGCCTTTACAGTTATTGGGGTAACTGTTATATCCGCATCTACCGTGGCTATTTGTGGGTTGGTATCTATCTCATGTGATTCAGCAGAATCCTCATTGTAAATATTATTCAGTATCTCAACTGAGTCAGCAGACAGAACACCACAAACAAAACCTTTAAATAAAATACATAGGCATAAAAAATATCGCAAGTTGCATCTCAGCAAGTAAGACAATGGCGTAGATTTAATTAGCACTTAATGCGTTAAACATTCAACTGTAGTAAATATAGTTAATTGGGGCGATGGTTTGGACCTGGATATTAGAAGCTGAGTACTACAGGGTATGAGATAACCTACTAATTGTATCAATATTACCACAACACCCCCTCCCTCCGCGAATTTCGAAACAGCGTGAGAGAGAAATGGGGTTTAACGTCCACTCGGCGCAAAGTAGGTAATTTCGGGACCAATATATGGTTTAATTTTAATTCAATAATTCGCTTGCACGTAGGGGTCTTTAGCTGTGGGGGGAAACCCACGAGATTTGACAGGAGACACTACTATTTGTCACGTACAAGCAGGGAAACGAAACCACACCACTTAACTCAATGACAGACTTTCGAAACACAATGTTTTAGGACATAGGATATTAAAATATTATCTGCTGTTCCATAGGACGCCCACATATTCCCCTATGTATCTTATTTTAATTCACCTATACTTAGTGGTGGACACAATGACCGAAAAAGGACATGAATTCGTTCTTTAGGGCACAAACTGTGCTATTTTTTTGAAAGCTATGATTGTATCCCCACCGCTCGACCCCCTCCCACCTCCTCGAATAAGGTTTTAGGGCATAGAATTTCAGAATATCATCTACAGTTCCACGGAAAGTCCACATATTCTCCCTGTATTTAATTTTCTTCAATTCACCTATACATGAATGTATGGCGGACCCAATGACCGGGACAGGACATGATTTCCTTCTTTAGAGCACAGACTGGGCTGTTTTGTTGAGCGTTTCCTAATTTGTTTCTAAGAAAAGGTGATTAATGCGTAATGTAGCACAATCAGACCATTACGTCCTTTCTGATTGGTCGGAAACCATGTTTCAATAGTATTCGGCATCTGTCGCCATGTCCTGAATTTAATTGTTGTTACACTATATCCAATTCTCCAGATTTAAACTTTCTATCAACTAATTATAATAAAGTTAAATGTTACCTGTCAAAACCAAGATTTGTAAATTTGTCAACAACAACATCATTTATTCTTCAACTGCACAGACGCAGCTTTTTTTTCGAGAACTACAAACTACCATATGGCGAGAATTTTTATCTACATAAAAGCAGTGTCACGCACGCCTTTCTTTTCAAGATAACCGTCTTGTTCTAGTTTACATAACGTTATCTTTCGTTTAGTATGTTTATTAGTTCCAATTTTTTCTTAGCCTTTTGTAAATGAAACGAAATGAAATAAAATGGGGTTTAACGTCATAATATTCTATTCCGCCTGGGGTAATGAAGATGGGCTATAGCGTACTCTTATATTGAATTCCAACTGAAAAGGGATCTTTTACGTGCACGCCAATGTGTTCACGGGACCTCGGTTTTTCGTTCCATCCGAACGACTAGACAGCTGTCCTTGTCAAGCCCTCCATCCTGGACCACTGACAAAAAGGAAATCACGTCGAAAAAACCCCAATGAACTTCTCGGCCAACACCAGGAGCGAACCTTTCAGACTAGTGAGCCATCGTCTTACTCACTTAGCATCCGTGGCTCCATAAATGATTGTATTTAGTTAATCTGATAAAATAGATCCTATATGTATTTCGTTTTGATTTGTATGGCTCAAAATATAATTTTACTCGTGTTCACTATGATTCACTATAATTCATGACACCGAAAGGATTAATAAAAAAATGAAAAAAAAAAACACGAAACGAAATATAGATCTGTATTTAGTTGAAGGCATTTGAATCTGGCTGGACTGTAATGAGTTGACAAGCTACATGAAAACAACTTCTATAGTTCTTTTCTTTTTACGTCATGCGTCATTTTGATCGAGATTGGAGGCTTCGTCAATTGGAACGAAATAGAATCTACTTATTTGAGAAAATATTACTGTGCTTATCATAAGGTAATACTAATCAGTAATAGATATGCCTAAAACAGCAAACTGCTACATTACAGTCTTATCTGTCTAAACAAGCAAAATAGGCTAATCGAACAAAATAATATAAAATCAAGAATATTTTCCATCAACATTTTTATTTAACAGCTACGTTTTGAACAGTATTGCTGATTTTATTTTTCAATTATAAAGTCTGTCATTGAGTCAACTGGCGTGCTTTCGAATCCCCGGTTGTACGTGACAAGGAGTAGGGTCGCCTGTCCAACCTCGTGGGTTTTCTCCGGGTCCTCCGGTTTCCTCCCACTGCTAAAGACCCCTACGCGCAAGCGAATTATTGAAATAAAATTAAACCATATGTTAGTCCCGAAATGACCTAGTCTGTGTCGAGTGGACGTTAAACTCCATTTCTCTGCAACCATGTAATATGAAATTTACCACCCATGAGCTTGAAATCATAATTATTAACTGTGTGTGTTTCTATTATATTAAATGTTTTACACGTCTATGTTTTAAGAATTATTTGTTAAAATCATACGGGATTTAGCGGTTTTCTTAAAATTCGCCAGGGGCCTTAACAGTTGAAATTTTTGTTATAACTTCTCACGATGTCCTTAAGTGTGACGGATGGCGTGATTTATTTATTATTTACCTATCGTTGATTTCCCCCAGGTATACGTACAGTCTCCTATCACGCTATATTTTAATCATAGCTTTCTGGCTACCTGTTTATGTGATTATCAATAAATATTAACATTCTCGCAAGAGCGTATTATAGAAGACGTAAGCTGTAGGGTTATGTCATTTTTGGATTTGCATCCTATGTGTGGCTAACTACTTGAAATGGTCTGGGGGTCTCTTCCTTATGTGTAAGCCTAGTTCGCTTAATGGTAGTACTGGGAATATTTGGATAATTTGATGTCGCAATCATTATTTATTGGCTTGAAACAAAACGGAAAATAATCTAATTTTAAAGGTCATAGGGCAATTCGGGACAAGCACATACGAAATTCTCTTGCGCGCATGGGATTTTAGAAGCAGGATGAAAACGTAGAAAACGGAGAAAACTCGCAAGGTGAAGCAGAAGACCAAACTCCCTTTCGCGTATATGGATGGGATAGAAACTCCAACCACCCAATATAATAATGTTTTATTCATCTATTATTATTATTTTTTGGGATTCTCGCCAACCAGCGATCGACCTTAAGTGAAAACTTAACTTTCGAAGCCCCGTCCACCCCCACCCCCACTCCCTACAACCTTCTCCATTTTGACGTTCTCGGTGTGGTAAATGATTGCTATGGAATACACAGGTTACACTTCTATGGAATAAAATTACTGCGTACTACTGAGCGAAGTTTCGACTAGGCTTCTCTAGTCTTTATCAAACAATGATAATAAGTTCAGTAATAAACAGTAATTGCATTCCATAGAGAATCCCGATCTGTGTTAGTTAAATTACTAAATTGTAATGTCATTGGAAAATGATAACTATCGAGATAGGTAGTTTGGACGTTCTCAGCGTTGTAGACGACAAATGGAGACATATGTGGTTTGGTGCAAGACGATGGCTGGGATTTAAGGCATTGACTGGCAATTAACGGTTAACTATATATACCACTGGCTTACGATTTCTCGTCATATGAATAAAACAGCAGCCATTGTTCAGGTTAATTACAGGTATAATGAGATTTACCTGTGAAAAATCAAATAAATAATAAACAAGCTCACTTCATCTTTTATTCATAATTAATTGGAGTGTACGGTTATATGTCTTGATTGCGTCGAATCCAAATCCAATTATCACACTAGCGTTTAAAAAAGAAATATAGAACTGACTATGTAGCAGACGACTCAGAACACCGACAGACGTCGCGTAAAGGATCTTTGGACATGGAAATGTCGCGAAGAATCTGTCTTTTGATGTTAATAATAACCACGATTGAAGCGTCCATATACACCAACAAAATTTACAAATGGACGAAAAATCCGGAAAGCCATGCGACAACTGGAAAGAATTTGTTGAATCATAAATACAAAACTATTTATATGAAATTCTCTCCCGTTCAGTGTGCTTACGAATGTTTAAAGGATTCAAAGTGTAAATCTTTCAGTCATGAAAAGGTCATTAAGTTTTGCGAGTTACATAATTCTACTCATGTGGATGCTCCAGCATCGTTTGTTGATGATATTGAAAGGGATTATCATACCCGGAGTGCTTATTCCATTGATCCGGTAAGTTCTCTTTTCTATCTTTCATTTTATAATGAAGTAGGAAGGGTTGGGGTCGTAAAGGCCATAAACCAAAAACGGCCAAAAATTGGTCAACTCGGCCAAAAGTGTGGTCAAAATGGCCATATGTTGGCCAAACGGCCAATAAAATACTAATATATTGCAAAAAGTATATATTGGTGTTGTTCTGAGGGTGCAGGGGAGTCGAGTCCGCTTTAGATCATAAGGTCTGTCAAGTGGCGTGGTTTTATTCTCAAGCTTGTACATGTGACATGGAGTTTGGATCCTCTGATCAATCTCGTGGGCTTCTCCGTGTCCTCCGTTTTCTTGCCACTGCAAAAGACCCCTACGCGAAAACGAATTATTGAAATAAAAATTGTATGTTAGTCCCGAAATTATCTAGTTTGTGTCGAGTGGACGTTAAACCCTATATCTCCCTCTCTTGTTGTTCCGAAATTAGGTGTGTTATGTAACAATAAACTATTATACCTGCCAAATCATTCCGTGTCTTCGCCGGGTTATTCCTCGCTTAAAACTGGGATTTTTATCCAAATGGGAGATTTATAAAAAAATATTTCTGTAATTAAAGTGATAAGAGACATTTTATAGAGAATTTTTTAAATTCGTCTTTTTGGAATAATCACACTTGAAATGTCAAAGTTATCTAGATTCTACATTAGATTCTAAGTTATAATTGGAGTTAAGTTCGACGTCCTATATTTCGTAGCCATTCTTAATTACTAAGTCATAAACAGAGCTTAATCACTCTGTCTTTCGAGATCGTTTCTTTATTGCGTCTATAAGACTATTGAAAGAAACTCTGATTACAGAAAAATTATATCATTTGAACCCATTGAGTATGATCTTTGATCGGATATTTCTGGAATGAACTGTCAGTTACAAATTTGTTTTATTTTTATAGAAACACCAAATTTACGGTCGGCTTTACAAAACGTTGTATCAAAAAGCCACAAGATTTGTTCTGGTGTGTTATGTCGGTCAGTGATCGGACTTGGTCTGTACGATAGAGCCTTCATTCATTTTGGCGGATAAATCGTAACTCACTGGTTTCATCTCAACTTAAACATACATTATGCAAGAGCTAAATCTGCCTATTGCAGGCCTTTCTTTAGGCCTGAAATGTTATATAAACTATTAATTAGACATTTATTAAAAAAACCAGACCATAATCGACTCTTGATGGCATCGGATAATCGATATTTTAACTAGATTAAAATGGTTCGCCATTTAAAAATTTAATTTAAAAATGGGAAAGCGAGGCTAAGTTCCGATTATACCAGTGCCCTGGTTACCACTGTGCACACATCTTGTCAAAACTACAAGCAGTGATAACTTAGCTGAGAATGAAGTAATTTCAATGAAATTTTTAATATTTTCTTTTTATATCATCTATTTTTGAATTATTATAGCAAGAATGACCAACTCTTTATTAAACTCTTAACTAATGTATCTTTAATATATGGAATTTTACTGTAGAACAATTTATATCTCTCATTAAACCACAGAAAATGAACTAGGGTTTAACGCCCTGCTTTTCTTAATGAAGACGGGTTTAAATCGGAGAACTGCAGACAATTTCTTTATTAAGTTGATAAGTTAAATGAATATTTGATTCCGAAGTGATGCGGGTTTTGTATGGTTAAATGATCAACCTAAAAGTTCCGAGACTACACATGTAATTAAACCAGAGGATTCTAAGCTGATCTGTTAAAATATAATCTTCTTCTAAACCCGTATCAACATTAGTCTGTTTTAGATCGCATATTTCCCACGTACTGATGTCATCAACAATACCGCCATAACTAAACGGCACGTCTACGGACGATTCCTTGAACACAATCGCCGAAGAATTGCGATTGGCATAGAAGGAGAATTTGGCAAAACCACTAATTTGATCCTTTTCTATTTTAGCGATTATCTTCTTAGATTTTAATTTAGTCAGTACTTTGTCGGGTAGCTTAGCATGTTCTTTCGTGGTTTTGATTTGGGGGAAGTCAGCGTAATATTCCATGGCACCAGTCGGCAGTTTCTTGATAGTTTTGTTGAGACAAAGTTTAAAAAGTAACATTTTCTTGGCGTCCAGTAAAGATTTTGTTAACATTGATCCTTCGTCTGAAATATAAACAATAGAAAGTTCAAACAGCTAACAATTTCTATGCACCACCATCCAAACATTGTTAAAGTTACAATTGCATATTTTCTAAGAAAGTCAAAACATTGCGACTTTAATGACTTATATTGTAATTGATATCTACCTTTGTTATAGCGGGAAGTATCTTCTTCTATTTTTTGGACAACTCGTTTTTTCTGTCTGCCTTCTAGAATTTCAGACATCAACAGGCAGTTATCATAGTATGGTGCTCCAACAGAGCAAAATAAAACATCACTCTCATCTGGCCTAAATCTATCGTTTGGTTCGATATGTATTGAAATGTTACCGTCTTTGTCTTCCGTAACAATAAAGGGAATAGCAACATCTTCATCAATGTGGTAGCCCGTAACATCCGCAAAATGTAGATCTCCATTTAACAAATGGCCAGTCCCTAGTTTATCAGACATTGTTGCGGATTTATCAGATGTTTTGATCGGTTTCTTGTCGAATTTATGTGTAGTGTAACGGTATTCGTGTGGTAGTTTGGAGTCAAGGATAGTTTCAAACAGATTACTTATTATGTCCGAACATGGCGAATCTTTCTGCCGGTTCTTCTTGACTAGAAAACATATTTAAGAATTTATAGTTATAGATATAAGCAGGAAGTTTCAACACTGTGTGGGTTTAAAACTTACACTTGGACAAAATGTATATCATCATTCTGTTGAACATGGGATAGTCATATTTAGAGGCGCTAGATCTCTGTGATTAGTAATGAATTGGGTTGACCTGCTGTGTTATGTTGAAAAGTGAAGGGTTGAGCTCTCGGTCACATAACAACGTTAATACACCCGATTAGATTTTATTACATACTTCGAGAAGGTATTTGTTGAGTAATAAAACCTTCTAGTAGTTTATCGAGGGGTGGCCGTCCTTACCGCACGGTACAAATATTATCACCACCAGAAGCAACAAATTCCAGAATAAGCCAGAACTCATACCAAAATGGCCGCTTTATACAAATGAGTATTTAGGGGAATACTAACCCGAACCCTAACCCTAACCCTTTGAAGAGAAGTAAAAACTAAATTAGACCCAAGTTCAGTCTTTTAAAAGGGTTAGGGTTAGGGTCTCATTTATATAAATCGGCCATTTTGGACTCCGGAAGCACCCGAACCTCGATAAACTACTAGAAGGTTTTATTTGTACCGTGCGGTAAGGACGGCCAGCCCTCGATAAACTACTAGAAGGTTTTATTACTCAACAAATACCTTCTCGAAGTATGTAATAAAATCTAATCGGGTGGTTAATAAACCCATTCAAGAGAAATCGGCTTTTTTTTTATATTTTTCTTTCGTTTTATAGTTAAACTATTGGCCATTAAAACGAAACTGGCCATATCTCCAAACTAGCTTATTACAGGAGCAAAACCTCTTCGACATAGGTGTGTGTGGGGTGGAGGTGGTGACCGAATGGTTAGCACGTGCGTGCTGTATCATAAGGTGTACGTGACAAGGAGTAGGGTCACCCGTCCAACCTCATGGGTTTTCTCCCGGATCCTCCGGTTTCTTCCCACTGCTAAAGACCCCAACGCGCAAGCGAATTATTGAAATAAAATTAAACCATATGTTAGTCCCGAGATGACCTAGTCTATGTCGAGTGGACGTTAAACCCCATCTCTCTCTCTCTCTCTCTCTCTCTCTCTCTCTCTCTCTCTCTCTGATATAGGGGTAAACAAAGTTTACAATTAGACTGATCTAATGTGTTAATTTGATCAGTACCATTCGATGAATTTTGATTTTATAGAACACGCGATAGTTGGGCTTATTTAAACTATAGACAGTTGAACACAGACTCAATTATAATCCAAGTCAAACGACGAGGACTTTTAATGTATAATAATATTAAGTGAGATTTTAGTCACCCCTTTGTCTAAGTTTTTTTAAAAAAAAAAATAGCGATTTATAATGGGGTGGAAAGAACAAATAAAAAATGACTAGAAGATTGCTTACATGGATTAACGGGTTCAACTAGACAATCTCTAGGAAAAGGATAAGGATGATAAAACAGATAGTCAGTATATGGATCTTCTGTACTTAGTATCTGAGCTTCTTCGGGTGAGTTCCACGGTGCTTCAACTAGAACGTAGTCTGTACCCACAAATAATATTCTGTTACGTCTTTCTTCCCATCGAATTATTTCATACGTTTTGACGTTTACTACGATCCATTTCCATGAAATAGACACCCTTTTCGGCACCTGTGAATGATTATAAACACAAGTCACTTACTTAGTTGAATATCATAACTGTTTGGCAATATATCAAAGTAATGTCAGTTATTAACGTTATAGACAAATTGAGGTAAAATACTGACGTCGATGTAATCAAGTCATAGAGCTATATTTAGAAACTATAAATATAACTGTTTCATAAAGGAACTCTGAGAATCAGACCTGTTAGATGGCAGCTATTCCTGCACTGTCCCGCCGAAATCCCGAAATAAATAGATGACACATATTAATTAATTGTACATTGATCTTTTTTTCTAAAGTATCGTGCAATCAAACTCAAACTGATTATCAATTATACACTTAGTTTCATTATTCTCTATCCGACAGAATCAAAGTCAAAGAATTTTTTTTAATCATTGAACTCAGTCACGACATTCACCTAATGAACATCTAAATCAAGTTTAAACATTCTATCTCAATTAAAAGCAGAGTTGTTATGTTCCAAAGTCTTGAACAATCAAATTGCTTATCGCTCCTTAGCCTAAGCAGAAAATTCTCATCATCGAACTTAGTCAAGGTAATGATAATCTATACTCGGCATTTCATCGCTCTCACTTAATTATAACCAAAGTTATCGTGCCCAAAAGCTTCAGCCAATCAAATTGCTTATCTCTGCTTACCGTAAGCAGAAAGACAGACAGACAGACGGACGGACAAACCCATTTTAATAGTCCCCTTCGAAAGGCGGAGGACAAAAAATCGACTGGATCTGCTCCAATCTGTTTCCCAGAGGATTGCGAAAGTCTTCTAAAAGATGATTACCTTCAACACATGACGGCTCATCGCGCGGCGTCAATCATTGGCTCACTCATTGTTTACATAAGACGTTGCTGGTTCGGGCACAATGGAGTCTTTTACTCATTTTAATACCCATTTACACGAATACGTCAAACGTCTTTATTTATTTTTCTAATACATAAAAAAAAATGTTTTAGAATTTAATTTGTCGGAGGAAACAGTGTTAGTGTCATTTTTATTTTCTACATTAATATTTATCTAGTGAAGGACACATCCGTATCGGATCCTTCGTTCCATTGTTCTCATATTCCTGTTGGACACGGATTCTACACAAGTTTTGCTCTAGTCACACCTTTGCATAACCTTATACGTATCAGCCCCGGTTATGCCAGGTCAGGGGTAGCAACTCTAGAGCTGATATGGACCCCGGAACGCACCGCCTAGTGGTTCGGATGGAACGAATAGCCACAGATTGGCATGCAGGTAAACGAAACAGTAGTCGCTTGTTCTGAAAATGACCGAAGTATTGTGTTGACGAGACTTTATTAAACACATTTAATTCCAAATTTTGTATTAAATATATATGACAATTCCTGAATAATCTTTAGAGTGCCGAGTGTACATTACACCCTCTCTCCCACTTACCATTAAATCTACCTGCCAGCTACCAGATTTCCTTGGAAATTGTTTTCCTGGAATATACTTTTCTGGTGTCCAGCAACCGAGTGCAGGATGGGAACCAATAACAGCTAATTTGTGATTTCTGTCTTCTGTATGATATTTAGTTTTTATGGTGATTTTCGACATTTTTATAGTAGAAAAATCGTGGTCATCCTGGTCCCAAGACTGAGAATAGAACTTGTCGAAATAACCGGCATTGTATCTTTTATGGATATTTTCTTCAATGGCTATGAATTTGTTATCAGCGGAAACTACCGCCCAGTTCCAATCATATTGAATATTGGCGGGAATCATTGTCTTAGCAATCCATGTGCGATTGAGAGGCATTCCATCTAGTTTCTGAAACCTGACGTATTCGGCTTTCACAGCGCAATCGGGCTTCCACTCGCCTAATTCCACAATATTTCCAGTAATCACAGGAATACAGCCGTCGATGGGTTTGAAGTCTTTTAACTCGAATGTGATTTCCACAAGTCCTTGGTCCATTTTGTCACAGTGCAGCGGTAACTTTTAGTTTTTCATTATGAAATGTTGCTATGACGCGATTCCTTGCTGTTACGTCAGTGAACAGTTATGACGTAGACCACAAATCGCTATCCAGCATTCTTGGAAGGTAGTCAACTCTGCTTGGGAGATTGGGTCAATGAGCTTCACATCCACTCAGCTGATCACCGCGCAAACCCCGGGGACTGTAAAGGACAGAAATTAGCCATGGTACAGAATTTCCTCTTGCTATCAGAAATATTAGTTAATATTCATGGTACCAGGACTGAGAGCAAGTTAAAATTCCCTTTACCTGGTTAACGTGTTAAAATTTTCCATTTAACGAGTCAATATGAGTTAATTATCAAAGCTCCTAAATCATGGCAATTTTCGCATTTAACCCATTTCAGAGTAAAAAAGAACAACTTATTCTTATCATTATTTTTTTTTCTGGACTCCAGATCTAGGATTTAGGTGGCATTTTAACGGGAAATCGTTTTTAAAACAAATCGAATTTGGTGCCTTCAACCTTGACCCTTGATTCCGAATGCGAGACTGGAGAGTGGAGACCCAAGTTATTTCGACAGTGGCAATGTGGTCTTTGAATGACATATGTCATGAATTAGACCCTTTCACTGGTCTGTATAACTATTATTTTCCAGTCGAATATGCCTATAATGATGTCACAGAGTGTTAACGCCTTAATTCATTTCTAGTAACGCGTTAATCTCATTTATACGTTAAAGTTATTTTCCCACAAATTATTTATCGCGTGGTTATTTCCAATAAAAGTATGGCAATTTTGGTATATATGGAAAGTAGAAACATCCAAACTTACTAGAAAAGATGTGGGCAGTGGATAATCCGAGAATTTAATTCTAGGCTTCAATATTTATGATAAATGGACAGCGATTAAAGACAACATTGTCTTGTATATGCAACGAATTCTCCACCGGGCTCGCACCCGTTGCTAGGTACCGCGACAGCTAAGTCACGTGACATAAACATGGCTTCCTTTATGAAGAATTTGTATATCAGGGGTATTCCCTGGCGAATGCAAAGTTTTGAGAAGGATTTGAAGCAAAATTTTGATAGATTAATAATATGTTTTTAGTCCAAATATATCATCAAATCACCCAGTTTGTACACGGGAATGTACCTTTAACCAGTTAACAAGTTAACTGCTCTCAGCCCTACAGGGAACATATATAATAAGGTTCGCAGAGGAGAAACCGTATGCTATTCACTATCAGTCATGATGAGAGATGGTTTCTCCGACAAAAGTCAAGTGTGGCTTGAGCAAAATGTAATTAAACAATTATATTATTGGGGTTTTGCAGGAAGCATTAGGACCGTGCGGTATGGACGCTTGCAGTAACCATGGTAAATGTCTAGAAACCCGAACAACAGATGACAATTTAGTTGCGATATGTGTTTGTGATGCTGGATGGTCAGGCGTTGATTGTGAAACAGAAGGTAAGCAATCTATACCATCTCCTCGTACTGTCATTAGGGGTGTTGGAAAGCAAGTTAAATATTGATTAATGGAAACCGGTTTTGAAAGTGCCTAAAGTTTGTGGAGTTGATCTTGCAAGACATCGCCTATCTAAAGTTTGATGATAAGGGCTTACTATAGCTCAGCAATCATCATAATAGAAATTTGTTGTTTTGTAAGGTTTGTTTTTATCAAACAAAAAAATACAGTAGGTTCTGAGGCCTTATAAACGAAAAATATTTTCAGTATGTGTCCCTTTCCTTGTGCAAAGTTTAGTTTTTAGTCTTTAAAAAAGATGCATAGTTTGGTTAAAATTTGTGTAAATAAGGCCCGAGTTTTATATTTGTTATTGACATTCACCACTGACAGCAGTGTGTAAGGTCGCCGTAGATCATAACGTGGGTTATCTATACAAGTCACGGGTTCGGTAGGGTCGACTGCTATAAACCTCGGGGGGGGGGGGTCATTCAGTTGCTGCCAATTGTAAAGACACATGATGTGCAAGCCAATTGGCAGTCCCTGATGTACGTTAACCCTCCCAAACCCCTCCACTCTATCTTTCTGTCTTTCAGATTCAATAAACATAGTTTGTATATTAAGTATGATCGAATTTTTTGTTAACTTATATATACATTATTATTTCCTGTTTCGAAGATCCTGTACCAACTTGGGGTCCATGGAAATCATGGGAAGCATGTTCGGTTACTTGTGGAAAAGGCTGGAAGAAAAGAACTAGAAACTGTGAAGATGCCGTGCTAAAGACATCGTTGCCGGTGGATCAATGTTTTGGTGATTTAGCGGACACAGAATACCAGGGTTGTACTATGACGGACTGTCCACGTAAGTAAAATATACAATGTATTATAGAGCCTTGCATAGTTGAATGGCTGAGGGTCGTATAGTTGTTTAAAAAGAGCGTCGTGTCTAAAAGTTACCGCCCATGGAATACCACAGTGTACCACAGAGCGTCGTATTGTTGTCTACAGAGTACCACAAAGCGTCGCATAGTTGTCTACAAAGTACCATAGAGCATCGTATAGTTGTCTACAGGAGTACCATTATAAAGTTGTCCAACTAAAGCGTTTGGCAAAGCGTCGTATAGAACACAGAGCGTTTATAGTTAGACAGAATTGTTATCTTTTATTCCCTAAAAATCATCTTGGACGTCGACTTTAAATATTTTAAGCAACAGTTTATAATATACGACTGCAGGCCCTTGCAAGAATACAATCCACATTTTCCGGAATATTTAAGCTGTATAAATCAGACTCACCAATTATATATTCTACGAGCTTTCTGCTGGTGAAATCCAATTTACAGAATATTAACAACGATTACGTAACGCTTATCCCTAATTCCGATATCGGGATTGTCGTGCGCGGACGCAATGATCGTCCTTCTAGATCATCTTGCACCACTTTTAATTTAAACCTTTTTTCATTAGCCCAGTATAGGAGCAGAACAGTAGGACGTTTAACTCCATTTCATTTCATTTCATTTCGTTTTACATACCTGGCCATTTTTTGTATTAAAGTATTGGACATGTAAACCTATTTAATTTTGTTGTCACAGGTTGGGAAGAATGGGGTGACTGGGGAGAATGTTCTACACAGACATCTTGTGGGCGTGGTTTTAAAGTCCGGAACAGAACTTGTAGTAATGGCGGCACTGCTGGTATAGATAGGTACTGTTTGGGTGATTTTACCCAATCTGCACCATGTATGGATATGAACTGTAAAAGTTAGTGTTTTATTTTTTAAAAATATTTGATCTTATTATCCCAAAATAATTGAATTTCAAAATATTTATTTACACCCTGGCCTGTTAACATATTCATTCCCTTATTTTGAGACCAACCCGGAAAGACCGGAAGTTTGTCATGATCGGTCTAGCGGCCCAGTAAGTCCACTGTATTCCTCTCCATTGCATTATACCAAATTTCTGGATGTTGAGATAGCTCAAACAATAAGTTGATGTATTTGTTTGTTCAGGTGCTTTAAGAATTCGTGGTGGAAGTGAACATGGTGAAGGACGAGTGGAGATATATAACGATATAAAGAAAGAATGGGGATTAATTTGTGCCAACCAGTGGGATCAATCCAAAGCTGATCTCATATGTAAACAAGTTGGATTACCAGCAGCACATTTAGGTATTGTATCTGTATGGGTTATGTAATAACTAGATATGATATCACTTCTTTTTGATTGCCAGAAGTTAACACAACTATTTATTTTCGGTATGGGATCTATGATCATGTCAATTTATTCTCAAATCATGACCTTTTCCCACGTAGGCTAAAATTCTTTAACTGAAAAATACACGTATTAAATGACGCTGCGGTCTGTTCTTATATCGAATTCCGACTGCCAAGGGTTTTTTTACGTTCACGCCAATGTATACAGGGGACCTCGGTTTTTCGTAGCATCAAAACGACTATACAGAGTCCCTAGCCGTCCTGCAATACTGACAAGGGGAAACCACCCCGTTAAATACATTCAATTAAACATTGTGCGAACGCTAGTTTGTATACTTAAAAGTATGACAGAAATATCCCGATGAACATTCTCGGCCAACACTAGGCTTGAACTCGGGACCTCCTGGTTAGCGAGCCTATGTAGTGCTACTCACTGAGTGTCCCTTAAACATACATTATGTAAGAGCTAAATCTGCCTATTGCAGGTCTTTCTTAATGCCTGAAATGTTATGTAAACTATAAATTAGACTTTTATTAACATGGCAAAACCATAACCAACCCTCGATGTCATCGAATATCTCCGATATTAGGTAGATTAGAACGTTTCAGTCATATTTTGATTTAATCTAAAAATGGTGAAGCGAGTCTAAGCTTCGAACAACCAGTGCGGTGGTTTCAATTAATGCACACATCTTGTTAAACCTTCAAAAGCTAATATCTTCGCTCGTAATGGAGCAATTTAAATGAAATTTTCAATTAATTCATTTTGCATTATCTATTATAGTACGAATGGCCAGCTCTATATCTAAATCTTACATAATGTATCTTTAAGTAAAGTTCAGTTAAATACACAGCAAATATTTAGAAATAACAACCATAGAAGTTGCATTTTATGTATGTCAGATATTATATTTATCTTGTTGATATGGTCTTAATGGGCGCCGTTTTCTGTTCCAGCTATAACTGATGGTAGATTTGGTAATGGAGATGGTCAGTATGGTATCACGGATATCAACTGTGAAGGTGATGAAAGAACTCTTCAGATGTGTCAACGAAATCTATGGTCCTTGACCTCTACATGTACCGGAGATAAGGCGGCTGGGGTCCAGTGTCAAGGTATCTTTAATTGGTTATCTAATTAGTCAAAATTCTATTTCGATATACAAAAGTTTTCTTCCAACAACCCAACAAACTAAGAAAATATTATGACCATATTCAGCATTAATTCTTTGAAAAGCCCCAAAAATGTTACACTTATATTAGAGTGTGCATTATGAGTAGCCGTAACAATATGCAATATTATTATAGTCAATGGTGTTTGGAGTCTATGGGGTGAATGGAGCGAGTGTTCGGTGACGTGTGAAGACGGTACTAGAACACGAACACGGCTATGTAACCATCCACCAGCATTACATGGCGGTCGTGCATGTATAGGAGATGATTTACAAACGAAACCTTGTACGCTACCAGCTTGTCCAAGTAAGTTTATTTTCTATTTTACTTTGAATATAATTTTTCATTCAGTATTCACAATATCAAGGTATACCTAGACTGCACTGGCCGACGTCATGGTACACCATATTTCCGAAGCAATGGTTACGAGCATTATAAGCTCATGAACCATGGCTTCGCTTGTTGTGGTAAAGTGGCTTCAACTACAAATTTGCCTGATTAAAATACCGCTCGCAATGGAATAAACTATACATTTACGAAAGGCTTAAAGATGCTCCTTTGAGTTATGTATACCATTAAAAACAAGTTTGTATCAACAATGGCCCCTAATGGCGGTCAGCTGTTGCAGTGGTTAAAGGGCATATCTTGCTTATTACCAATGCTTCGGAACACGATGGTACATCTGAAGGTATTCATGTATAGCGGAAAAAAGTTGCTCAAGTACATTAATTTGATTTAAGCATTGTGATAGGCGCGATTAGTAAGCTTCGGGTTTCTCTAACATGATGTGTTAATGTTGCCTCGGTCGTACAATGAATTCGACTAAAGCAGTCAAGGTATGAGATGATGTATGCTGGAACATCTTGATATTGTGAAGATCATCCTGAAAAATAACTGCATAAGCTAGGATATGATGACAAAAATAACAACATTATCACAAGATAGAAATAAAAATAATTGTTTGATAACCGAATTCAATAAATTCCAACTAGTAGAGCAATTTAAGTTATGATAATATTTCAATATTACTTAATAATAAATCTTTATATAAGATAAATATGTATTTAAAATGTACATAATATGTATGTCATTCATCATAATATATATCGCATCTTATCCTTCTTGCCCGTGTCCAAGTTGCATGTACAATATGTCTATAGTAGCTTTAGTTGTAGAAAATGACATCTCTTAAAAGACCTTTTTTAAAATCTGAATAAAATACAGATCCGTTTCTTTATACTTTTGATGGTCATCATTACGTACTAATGAAGACCAATAAAACAAAATTTGACCAATAAAAAAGATCGAAACGAAGCGAGATCTGTGTTTTAATTGTTTTATTTTTAAATATCCTAACCCTTTTCGACATTTGATTTTTATCCCTGTCATGTAAAACCCCTTTCTATATTAATCCTCATCATTTAATATCACTGATTTGGGGGAGCTTTTATTTATATTTTACTAACTTATATATTTTAACCATTCCCTGTATTCCTACCAACAAAGCTTGTTAAAATCCCTACTAAAATTCCAAACACTTGTACTACCTATACCCCTTCCTGTTCAATAACCCCGATACTTCTCTGTATTCTAACCGACTTTAAAACAAATCCCTACTCTCGAATAATGTTATCTTTATCTTAGATTGACCATTAGTGCATGTCTATTAATTAAAAGCATGTTACATTAGCTGCATGTTGCTTGGATGTATTTCTTCAAATATTTAAAGATCCGGGCATTTCAATGATTTGGTGAGTGACATCTATAAAAGCTTAAGCTTTGAAATTCGGCCAATATTTTATATCTTAAACGATTTTCATTTGGTTGACAGTTAAATTCCCAATTCAAATTCTTAGCTTTAAAAGGGACACCCTCAATATATCTTATATTAATTTAAGAAGGATTCGCCATTTTCATTGGTTGATAGTTAAATTCAGAGTTGAAATTTTTAGCCCTTGAAAGGTACACCCTTAATATATCTTAGTTTAAGTTTTGTTGTGGATAAGGCGCAGGTATGAACTTGATTCGATTTAAAGACGCCAACACTATTCCACCATATATCATAAAATATATGCTACAAATAGGTTCTGGTTTTGTGTTTGAAAACACGTGTGAACTGTTTAACATAAAGGACTACAAGGTGTTCAATAATAATGTTCGTACCCCGCTCATGGGCCTTCTTCACGAAAACTTAATCTGAAATATATTAAGGATGATGCGGTCTTGTAATTTGTTTGGAATCATTACTTGTGGATAAGGTGTTCAAGAATAGTAATGGTACCCAGTCAGGGTCACTACTAGCGACCAAATCAGTGCCTTTACCTTTAATCGCATGTTATTATGACGCATTACATAGTGGTATGAAGTCTTATTCTGGGAAACATCCTGTGATATCCCCGCATGTATGTAATCTACCCCTGGGCTATGGCTGCACCTTTTCATCTAGTTACATATATATATGTAATTTTTGATTATGTAACCATGTCAACAAGCATAATTGTTTCTAGGCAACGGCACCTGGTACGAGTGGTCGTCATGGACAGACTGTGACGCTTCTTGCGGCTATGGCACGCAGGGACGCAATAGGACATGCGATATGACAATTGCAACGGAGCTATGTATTGGCGACAACAAGGACACGAGGAGTTGTTACGCAGGCAGTTGTGCTGGTATGACGTCATTAGATGATACATCTACATTTTATTCTATGTCACATACACCAATATAATTTTAGATATATTGCAAAAATACGTTTTTACTTTTTTAATTTTAGCTGTTTAGGAAAAGACCCGTGGTGGATTTATTCATTTTGTAGTGTATATCTTCGATAATTTTGTTTTTGTTAAAAATAGTAACTTTTTCCCGTGAAAATGATTTTTGCAATCTATCTAAATAATTACTGTTCAATTAATGAAATTATCACTGACACTGTTATTAGAGTAGAAATAAAAGAAAGTGAAAAATAATAATAACAATAATATAATGTGCACAAAATATTTAAATATCGAAATAACGGCACTTATGTAATACTGACACTACAACCAATCACAATGCATGGCATGTTCACGAAAAATTTAGTAAGACTGAATCAAAATACAGCACGTGGCACCTGATTGGTGGGCGGGATTATCTCCAATTCAACCAATCATGCTGATCTTTGTGTGACCTTTTGCACAGTCGACGGTGTATGGAACCTGTGGTCCGATTGGTCATCATGTTCAGTGACGTGTGCTAATGGCACCCACTACCGAAACAGAACTTGTCATGGTCCCTTTCATGGCGGCAGTGATTGCGGAACAGAAGACAGTCAAATGGAATGGTGCAAAGACAGGGAATGTCCAAGTAAGTGCACAATGAATCATCGACCATAAAACTTTTTCTAAGATCAACTGTTTTCACACTGTATCCACAAACTCTACTCTTCTCCTTCTCTAAAATTCCTGTTAAGTTATTACATTTATATATCTTGGGCCTCTTTCGGTTTTCTCCCTTTGGAAAATGGAAGGCTTCGAGCTAAAGGCATGTGTCCACTTCAATAGCTGTCATTATCGATAACTACTATATTTGTGGTTAAACTGGTTTACAAAACGTTGTAGTTATCAAGAATGACAGTACCCCGGAACTATTATAGTTACTGTTAGGACTGCCTCGACATCCTCCCATGCAAGTCTAGCTATTCAGTGTGAAATGCAAGGGAAGACATGTACCTCGATAGGAAGAGAGAAAACGAAAAAGACCTTGGTTAAATAATTCATTAAATGTATATCAGATGAATTGTCTTTTGGAAATAAGAGTTATCTACCCTTGTAAATGACCTTATAAAAGCAGCACACATCTGTAAAGGGTTAATTATTATCTAGTTGACGGCGTATGGAATCCATGGGCAGAATGGGGTGAATGCTCTCATACATGTGGTGGAGGAACTCAGCAACGATCCAGAACTTGTGAAGGGCCATATTATAATGGAGCTGAATGTTCTGGTAGTCTAACAGATACCGGATCTTGTAATACTTTCTCTTGTCCAGGTAAATAACTTTAGTTGTCATGCTGTTATATTAGAGTGAGCAAATCTCGGGAGGACGGAACCCCTGATGGAGAGTTTGTGAAAAGTCGTCAATCAGTACCTTCAAAATATCAACCCAAAAGCATGCACTTCCGGACACCTGTTACCACTGTTTGTCGTGTATTTTGTACACGGTGAATAGTCAATTTGCTGATTACACTATTTTGCCTATACCGTTTTTTTAGGACTTCGAATTTTGTCTAATGTTTTGGATTGTTCGTACCTGGTTTTATTTTATTCAGAGGTTTTGCGAGAAAAGTTTCTGAAATTCGGGAATGAATTAGCACCTTCAAGCTTTACATATGTGAATTACAGGGTACTTCGATTTATAGTCACTTTATTCCTACACGTTAAATAAGGCCATTCTTTAAACATACTGAAATTGTCATTTATTACAAACCCATAGACGACCATGATTTATATTAAATTATACAATATTAAGAAAATTATAACATGTAAGCAAAAATAACTTTGTTAATTATGACCAATCACAGATACGTCACTAATTAACTTGAAGGTTACCTAGATTTAAGTAATGTAAAATAGACAAGATATATTATGATTATGGAGTTGATCAAGGTTGCTTACGGCAATGACGAACATTTAGAAATATATAAATATTATGATTATGGAAGTTGATCAAGGTTGATTACTGTAATGACAAACATTTAGAAATATATAAATATTATGATTATGGAAGTTGATCAAGGTTGATTACTTTAATGACAAACATTTGATAATACCAACCTTTTAAGCGGCAATAATAATGATCAATTATAAATAATAACATTCAATATAATACACACCCCTTTTACCTGGAAAGTAGAAACATTAATAGGTAATAACAATTATGAAGCAGTGATAGTGAACATATCATGTTTGAATGATGAAAACAACTTGAAAGAACGACATAATTTAATTGATATAAATTAATTAAAATGTCGATAATGATTTAATTCTTCGTATAACAATGAGGTAAAAAAACCGCATTGCATTCTATAATATTGTGTCAGGTGTATTTCCAGTTACTAACCTGCCTTATCAGATATTCCTCATCTTCATTAGCACAGTCGGTGCAGAACAGTAGGACGTTAAACGCCATTCTATTTTATTTAATACCGGACACTCATGAAGAACTATTTTCATAACAACCTCAAACAAGGAAGGAATTTAATTGGTACTATCAGTAAAAATTTTAATGAAGGCATACGCAAGTAACAGTGTTTAATTTAAAAATCTGCATTGTATTCCATAAAATTGTATCCTATGTATTTCCGGTTACTGAATGTACGAAGAACATTTAGTTAAGATACTAGATGATATCTGAAGATCTGGAGTTTCCTCAACTTAGTATCCTATTATTATTTTATCTTCTACAGTTGATGGGTTATGGATGTCCTGGCAGGAATGGCAGCAATGTAACGTCACATGTGGTGGCGGAATGCAAATCAGAGAACGCGTGTGTGATGAACCCAAATTTGGGGGTGCATCATGTCACGGACCAGCTGTTGAACCCCGGGAATGCAACACAAATAATTGTCCAAGTATGGCAATATGCAAACTAAACACTGGAATATTGCATTTATTAATTATTATTCACGTGGTTTATGCGGGGATCATGACCACATGGAAAAAACTAATGAAGACATCAGAAAGTCTTTTTTTTAATTAAATTTTGCTTTTTACTTTCTCTTGCCACTTCCATGTTTTTACACATTTTATATAATCACAATTTTTCATCACGGAGTTTTTCAAAAGCATCATTACCTTTCATTAATATCTATTTACTAATTATTGAAGAACTTCTTTTTAAATACTGTTAATAATATATATGTAGAAACACAGAAAATGCCAGACACTATGCTGAGAGCTAAGTTACTCGGCGAAACGTTGATTCCAGCAAATTTGCCAACTCCCAAGTTGTCGCAGAGCAGGCTGTATCTGACGACTCCGTAACAGCTACCAGTGCTCTAATAGATGCGCAAAACGTCGCCATCACGTATCACCTTCTGTAATACCGATTCTTAAATAGCACAGCGACCCACACTTCCCTTTAGAGATTAACCCCCTTTCCTAATTCAATCTCGAATAAGTCCAATTGAGAGTATACCTAAATCACCTCATTAAGTCTAAAGCCGTCCATCTTCCGCAGTAATTTCAGTCAGAGTTATCCTCGGTACAAACCACATAGTTTACCACAAAGGAAGAGTGGCCCTAGCAAGGGGAGATACGTAGCATTTTGAAGACTAAACATTACTTGGTTCCGTTACACAATTTTGCTTATTTTGCCAGTAAGCTTTTTTGACCACTGATTAGGATCGACTTTATCAATACTATTTTCTTTTTTAGTCGATGGAGTTTGGATGACCTGGGGTGATTGGGGTGACTGCACCCTATCCTGTGGCAATGGCACTCAAGTACGCACGCGCACTTGCGATGGACCATTTTATGGCGGCAAAGACTGCGATCCTCCTGCTGACGAAACCCAGTCTTGCAATACACAACCCTGTCCAGGTATATGGATAGCTTTAGCATCCCTGAAAACTTCTTTTATACTTCTTCTTATTTCGGTCTTGCATTACCCTTTCTTTCTTTAGATTTATCAGTATTTTCTGTCCTTAGATGTATACCAATATATGTAGTCTTCACTTTGTCTTCTATATCTTAACACGTCATCACTTGCAGGGCAAGGATAATCTTAAAAGGGATAATTGTGCCTCTAATTCTTGTGATTTGTAAAATGATTATGCGCTCTCTTCGTATTAAGTTACCGCCAATTTCGTGTTTTGTATAACAAATATTCCGGATATTTTTTGAGAGCCCGATAAAGAAGCTGTCCAAGAATCTTGCGAGGTAAGAGACCTGGTACTGGTCTCTCCCCAGTCAACAACTACAGGATAAGGGATTTCTGTTATTAATGCTGCCTTTGAATCATGCCGTATTTACGGTAATTACGAGTTCCGACTTGAAAATAGCGATCTCATCACGCTATAAACAATTTTCTGTGATTGTAAACTTAAACAGAATCTGATTTCTAGCGTGGAAATGGGTGCTATTTTCAAGACAAAGCTAGTAACTATGGACCATAATTCGAAGGCAGTATCAGTCAGTTGGTAAATCGGAGTATCAGTTAAAAATACTAAGATAATCTTAAACTATATGGATTTCTTTCGAAATTTTCTTACTTTTCAGCATCCATGTGCTTTTACCTAATATTTAACCCACACAATGCCTTTACTTGGCCAAATGTTTACATTTTAATAAGATAGTGAAGGCACGTGAATAATAGTTTTGAACTCAAACTTTTTTCAATAAAAGCTATAACCATCATATTTCGTGGTATTAACCTTACTGTCCTTGAATATCATATTGTGGTACTAAATTCAAATACACAGCAGCATCTGTTCTTTACTTGAATTACTGGAATTCATGGATATTACAAATACCAGTTTCATATTTGTTTTAGTTTGAACTTTCCACAGAATAACCGAAGCTATACATAACCATTAAAATAAGGCAATTATAGTTTTTTAAACTGAAATTTCTCTACTGTCGACCGAATTTTTCGCAATAGAAATCCACTTATGCTATCCGAATGTTTAAATTCATTGCTGCCTGGAGGGATCGACATACAGATGAATGAAATTACATTTATTATTTATGTATCTTGTCAAAATACATATTAAAATTACAGCAAAAATGAGGAGTAGAATTTATAAAATCAGTTTTATTCAATTTATGTAATACCGTCTTTCACGCCTAGCATGACAGAATGGCTTCGTTTTCTCCCTGTGTGTTCAATAACAGAAGCTTATTTCCAGTTGATGGTGTGGAAAGCAAATGGAGCAACTGGGGAACATGTTCGGTTTCCTGTGGGGACGGCGTTAATGGTCGCCAGCGAGTGTGTATTGGTCCATTCCATGGAGGCCTCGACTGTCAAAATCCATTAGAAGAAAGAGGTACCTGCAATGAAAGACCTTGTCCAGGTAATTTATAGTTAATCTTGTTACAATACAGACACTTATTGTACATACTATCCATGCAGACTTCCCATACTCTGCCCTGTACACGGTACCATAAGCTTCAGATTGGACCAAGATTCCCATGACTACAATTACTGGGCCGGCATTAATCACTATCACGGGTCATGGATGTTGATTAATTAAGACGTTTCGGTGAAATATAACTGGCATACTCATACGCCAGTGTGTATAAGGACAACAGTTTACCATCTCGCTGGAAAGTCCCTAGGATCATTCTCGACCAACACTAAGGAGAGGGTGTTGCTAATAATAATATAAAAAGTATAGATCTTTTATGGGAATAATTAATTACCACTAATTAATCACTTTGTATTAATGGACTTTGTTACTTTTAGTTGATGGAGAATGGGGGCCATGGGCGGACTGGGAGTCTTGTGACGTATCTTGTGGCGGAGGAAAACAAAACAGAAAAAGGACCTGTAACACACCGCTTCATGGCGGATTGAGTTGTATAGGAGTTCCTATAGATACCAGAACATGTAACGAAGATGAATGTCCAAGTATGTTATACCAATTCTGTTACATGATTTTTACTATTAAAGCTAATTTTAAGCCCATATTATTTAAAATTGCATCCACGCTTCAGAGTGGATCGATCGAAACTAAAATTGTTGAATTTACTGGAAATGAAACCTCTTGCCTTTCTGCACTAGCTCGTTTGATTTTACCTTCTGGTTCCTTTTTTGAGCTGCTAGTCTATCATCAATATAACCGATCGTGTGTTACTTTGACTTCCGGTTAATCTCTCGGTACATATTTACTGGATGTCGATTTGATCATATTGCTTAAACGTTGCACCTTAAAGATACATTATGGGAGATTAGATAAAGAGTTGGTAGTTCTCACAATAATAATTAAAAACTAGATAATGTAAAGGGAATTTCTTGAAAATTTCAGTCAAATTGATCCACTGTGAACCGAGAACTAAGCGATTAAATTATCGGCCTAGACTCGATCATCATTACTAAAGTCGGTACGATAAAAACAGTCTTGATTATCCATTTCATGATTAAATCATGAATGAAAGTTGAGCAGCAAATCGGATCCTAATCCAATGAATATCACGGGCTAGCAATGACATCGAGGGTTTATTATGGCCTGGATAAGTTAAAGATACATTACGGGAGATTCGATAACAAGTTGGCAGTTCTCACTATAATAGTTAAAAACAAGATAATGTAAAGGCAATTTGCTGAAAATTTCATTCAAATTTCCGCCTAGCCTCGATCATCATTACTAAAGTCAGTACGTTAAACAGCATAGTCTCGATTATCCATTTAGTCGTTAAATCGTGAAGGAAAGTTATGCAGTAAATCGGCTCATAGTCCGCTAAAGATCGAAGGCTAGCGATGCCATCTAGAGTTGATTATGGTCTTGATAGGATAATTAATGTCTAATTAATAATTTAGATAACATTTCAGGCCTATAGAAAGACCTGCAATAGACAGATATAGCTCTTAACGTAGGTTTATTTAATGTATAATTAATAATTTAGATAACATTTCAGGCCTAAAGATATACCTGAAATAGGCAGATTTAGCTCCTGCATTATGTATGTTTAATGGCCCGAGAGTAACAGAAAACATAAATGTGTGTTTTCTTTTCCCTTTCAGTTGATGGAGTTTGGAGTGAATGGGGAATGTGGGAAGACTGCAGCGTTACCTGCGATTTCGGCTTGCAAAATAGATATCGCAATTGTACAGGTCCATTTTTTGGCGGGAAAGAATGCCTAGGTTTCAATAGTGATAGTCAGTCATGTAGTCGGCCTCCATGTCCAGGTGAATTTAATTTTCGTGTTCCAATACTTAGTGTTTGAACTAGCGAATGTTATGGTGCCTATTCTATATCTGTTTACATTTCAATTTCAGCCCAAACAAAACCATATTTGGTTTCACGGACATGTTCGCGTTATTTGCTCAAATATGATTTGAGGGTAAGAAAAGTTGTTTTCCTCCAGCCTTAACCAATAGATCTGCATATTTGCGCATATTTTGTTGCTTCAATAGTTCATTTTCTAACCAGTAGTTGTATTTACAGTAGTCTTCTTTTTCAGATACCTCTTTTTTATATTGTTGGTCATAAACCTATTAAAATATTGACCCGCTTTCTTAGATTCCAGAACTTCACCCAGAATCCATTTAACCCAAACTTAGTATTTATGGGGCCAGCACACCAAATTATTATTTGTCGGACAGATTCTGGTAGACAGATATTTATAAAGCTCGTTTAGAATGCACATTTTTAGTCCATCTTTTTGGAAAGAAATTGGGCTTATGTTGTGCACATTAGTTAGACAATACGGCAATGAAAACATCAGTTGCGTCAAACGTTCTGCGACAAATAATCGTAGGTGCTCGCTGGCCTTGTAAGCTTTATCCATTTATTTTATTCCAGATATAAAGATGCTTTCCTCGTTGCCTTCCATATTTTAGTATATATGTTGTTAGCCGCAGCCCCTACCCACCCCGTGTCCGCGCTGAATCTTATTTCGCCATTTGCAATCTGTATCAGTACTGTTTTACAAGTCGTTGTTCATGGCATAATCTGTATCGTTACAGATAAGTTTGGTTGGTATTTTTCCCCATTCCAATTATTGGCTTTTTTGATTAAAACGTGATAGTTCTTGTTGAATCGATAGAAAAAAAACCCAAAACCCCCAAACAATCAGTAAATTATAGCAAAATCTTTGACATAAAGACATACAAATCAGTAAAAATTGCTCTTTTAAAAACGCCGTTTAATTGCTACTAATTTCTGATATATTCTCAGAAATATTTTAGTGTAGTGTAAAATTGTAGATACAGAATGTAGATACAAATAGGATCCCCCCCCCCCGTCGTTCTGACAGATTCATACATTCCTACAAAACTTAAAGGAGCTAAACCTCTTTTATATCGGTTGAAGTACTTTTGGTTCAAACTTTCGAAAGTGGAAGTCAAAATCACTTGTCTCAAAATTTAAAATGTAGACAAATACTTAAATGGCAATACAAAAAGCAAACCGACATAGTCCCTTAACCAACTATACACTTTTAGTTCTGATCCAGATCAAAGAGGTCTAGTCATTTTATCAATAAAGCATTTGTACCAAATAGTAACAGTAATATACTCTTCAAAAAAAGTAGGGGATATTGAAATGCAAATACCTATGCAGGTTGTGATGTGATAAATAGTCATAGACTATTTGAGAGTATGTTCACAGATGAAGAACGTATCGCCCAAACAGAACCGCCGAGCTGCACATACTCTCAATAGCGCCACAAACGTGGGAGGAGTTCATTGTCAACTTTGACACTCCAAGGAAGGGTTGATGAAAACTGCCGCGAGCTGGTTTATTATATCCATGTTTGCTTTTCGGTCAACGTCAACCGACAATACTGCAAGAATTGGCCGTGGCACTGCAAGAGGAGTGGGTCAGATTGCCCAAAATCCTGATTGGACGGTTGATAGGGAGCATGCCGCGACGAGTTGCTGAATGTCTGAGGATTGGTCTGGAGCAATTACTCATTATTAAGACAAAACTCAAAAACGTCCATTGTCACTTTTGACAGTGTATCTCTTTGCGAGTGAAATGGGGCAATCAGATAAGCCACCCATATGAACCGTTTATGTTCATGTGTAGGCAATTGGCCTGTTATTAACATACACTGGTTATCTCTAATAAAAACAGCAGTGCATTTCCGCAGTTTTGTATTGTTTCTGAATATATCCCCTACTTTTTTAAAGAGTATAGTATGTCATAGCAAGAGTAATAGTAGTACTTAGTATGTCATAGATGTTAAAGTTACCAATTTTTTTTATAGGATTCAATAGAAATACATGTCTAACATGAATGAATAGATAAACATTTTTTGGATTATAGAACTGTAGAATTTATTGAATTTAGTTTATAGACATAGTTGATCCTTGCTCTGTTTGTCACTGCTTTTGTGTTCACCACTGAAATTTTGCCTAGTCACATTGCTTTGTTTTAGACAAGTCAATTTTGAATAGACAAAACCGCATCTTGTATTTGTTTTTTTTACAATTTTTAATTCTTGTACACTGTATATTTAACTATTAATGTCAGTAGAGATATAGATATGGTTTTTATCTTAATCTGCTTGAAGAATGTTTTGCCAAAAGATAAAATAGTGCTATTCAAAGAAATGCTTTAGTGTAGTCAGAATTTAATTTTATCAAGTAATATAGTAAATAATCAATAGTTTTATCAGAACATTAGTACATTTAGTACAAATTGTAGTAAATATTTATAGAGTAGATAATGTCTGTTATCAGTAACACACCCAAATGAATTGAAAAAAAAATCTCACTGCTTTCACTTGTTGATTGTTTAGAAGATTATTTTATATAATTCTTATTAAATCAAACAGAGTTATACAGAAAAATTGAATTGCAATTGAATGCGGCGAGAAAAATGCGCTTTTAATGCATAAAATTACACATGCAACCCAACAAGAGTACGCTATCTTAAATAAAGGTCATAATGTTACTGATAACGGAGAAATGACATGTTAGTATGAATATGGAGAAATAAATAGCAAACCATAATACCTTTATTCTACTACTATCACAGTCGATGGCTACCTTAACCAATGGTCTGATTGGTCAGAGTGTGACGTCACATGTGGGGGCGGAATTTCATGGAGAAACAGAACATGCATCGGACCATATCATGGAGGAGCGGATTGTATTGGAGCCCTCAAGGATACCAAAGAATGTAATATGCATAACTGTCCCAGTAAGTTTTATACAGTTTTGCTCCGTTATTTGATGGCTTACTCGATTCCTGTTTAAAAATCAATAAATGAAAGCTGAACGAAAGATAAAATCGATTTCAATTACATTATAGATACATTTTATCGGATTAATGTGTTTTTTTGAGAGTTAAATATTTTTATTATTGCTTACATGTGTTTAATTTTCCCCAAACATTCCACTATAAGTAATCTGGGGAAGATTATGATTTGTGTTTGGAATTCCATCCGAAAAACTAGGCGCTGTTCCTTTCAAAATGCCCTAGTTCCGATAATAAGAAAGCTTTATAATATTATTCTTCCAGATGGCTTGGACTCAGTTTCATATTTTTATTTTTAGTTGATGGTATCTTTGAGCCTTGGTCTCCATGGGAACCATGTACTCTGACATGTGGGGGAGGTACCAAATACCGAGAGAGGAATTGTACAGGACCTTATTTTGGTGGTGCGGAATGTCCAGGATCGTTTAATGAAACTGTAGCTTGCAATGAACAACCCTGTCCAAGTAAGGCAAAAGAGACCACAACTCAAGCTAAACGAAACCCCTTTCTTTCTGTTATAGCTATTCTATTTTATACCCTAACTATGCAATCTGAAAAGAATCCCTTTAAAGCTTTATCTTCAAATATTTAATTTTATGAGTACATTAAATGAGTATGTATGACAAAAATATTTTTCTGTACATATCCTTTAATTTATTATCAACCATATTCCTTTTTTCAATGATACCCTTAGTTCTAATTATCTTTCGTTTCTTGTAAAGTTGATGGCGCTTGGGAATTATGGACGCAGTGGAGCGAATGCACAGTAACTTGCGGCGGTGGAAAGCAGCAAAGAGACAGGAAATGCAACGAAGCGCAACATGGCGGACTTAAATGTATAGGGGCGCGCAATGAGTCCCGAGTTTGTAATGAATTCCATTGCCCTGGTCAGTCTATCAACTCAAGCATGCGTGTGAAGTGTTTATACCATAGAAATATAATTCTAGAATAGTAATCACGTGAGTTTTGATGCTGGTGACGCGGTTCTTAGGCACCATTTTGGATAGCGTAATCAGTGTAAACAATATGGCGGTTCACTGGTATTGCTATTCTCGTCTGTATTTCTGTGGTTTATTCCCTAAAATTTGCCTGCTAATGTTATATTGTTTTGAACAAGTCAGTGTGATAGAAAATCCATAACAGTCTACCAGTTCCCCGATTCATCAGACTTACATTCGGGTTTTATTACTCCTTTTTCTGAGGCTCTATAAAATATTCGGAAAAGCATAAAACCCTCTATCTCCATGCGTATATTTGTTTCGACATGCTTACCGAACTACAAAATAATAAAATCAATAACAGTCTTTCCCGATACTCATTACTCACTTTTCTGGTAATAGAGTTAAATCTATGTCCATGAGATTGCAAATAAACTTCATTTTCTTTAAATAAAAACTCGATATCTAACTTATCTCTTAAGTAAATCCTAGACTAGGAAAGTTCCGAATATCAATGTTTTCATGTCCGGGAATAACTGAAATTTATCAGCATAACCGTCATTGCCTGTGTATAAAATTTTATAATAGCGAAAAAATAAATGGAGAAACTATAAACTATAAACAAATATAGTTGACTGACTTTTTCAAATGACAAATTGGTCAAGGCAGCGTAATTGAAGCGCAAAACCACAATGCGCCACTTAACTTGATGCTCTATCATGCGCATAAAAGAATGTGCGATTTTAAATAAGGTTGTCGCGCTTGTTCAAAAGAATATAATCATCCTTTCTCTCTTTTCTTTAGGATATATTATGTGGGAATGGTCACCGATTGGACAGGTTATCACCACGAGACTGTGGACACTATTCTACCCTTTCATTACATCTCCCTTTCTACACCCTTAATAATCTACACAGCTTCTCCCCAGCACTTCAATATATAACAACATTTACCCCTCATACTCAATATTTCAGAATAATGTCGCACACTTTTTATAATAAATAATTCAAATTTTACTATGATAAATTTTCTAAATTCATATCCAATTTAAAATTTAATTAAAATTATCTATTAATTATATCAAAAAGATCAATAATTATGAAAAAAGGGATTTTTAAAGCAAAGTATAGTTCGCTGCTAATATTGTAGATTAATTTTCAGTTAACGGTATGTATGAGCAATGGTCGCCATGGAGTGTATGTACCCTTACGTGTGGTGGAGGCACTCAAGTGAGGGATCGGGTTTGCATTGCCCCTCAGTACGGTGGTGCCGATTGCCAGGGACCTCAAGATGAAACCCAAGATTGTAACAACCAACATTGTCCCAGTGAGTATAGAACGATTATCAGTGTTGTCATAGTGTATCTGTTCAAATTACTTTTCAATCTTTGTAAAACTTTGCTACAAAAACACAAATTCTGTCTTCTTGGTCTCTCTATTGTAAATCTTTATAGACGCTTTTACATGTAATATAAATAGTCTTTACTGGGTATCATATATTTGTTTCTAACTTGCTTTAAAGATGCAATCTATTTCTTTCGTGGTCGCCGAATCGAGTTGATTTTAACAGCTATAATATCGCCAATCAAATTCATTACAGTACCCTTTTCTGTACGGATACCACGCTTCCTAACAATCACATAATCACCGCTAATTAAATCGAAGGTCAACCACTTATGCGAATAACTGTCCACGATAATGGCTACGCGAAACTAACTTATCACCACAATAATACGCTAACCATTTTAGGGACATGGGCATGCGCAGGAAGTTCTAGGGACTATTTCACTAAACGTTTTTCAAAGCGAAACCGCATTACAATTGTTGACCAATAAAATATATATACAGGTAATGGCCGTGTGACCGTTTATAACGCCAATGTAATGGAACCTACCGAGTAATTCAAAATGATTATTTTATAGCGATCTTCGTTGTCTGTAAAAGTAGTACTTCCTCTTTAATGTACATTCTTTTAATTTGCTTATCAAAGTTTCTTTAATGTGAATCTATCTGTTTGTTATCTTTGTAAAATAGTGAACACCTTCCTTTCTCTGATGTATCTATATCACATATCTTTCTTCTCGCTTTCTTTAAAGTTGACGCAGTTATCAGCGCTTGGACGCAATGGGGTCCGTGCAGCGTATCTTGCAGCGGCGGTACGCAGCATCGGTCTAGGAATTGCACAAAAGCGCAATATGGCGGTAAGGAATGTGGCGTTGAGTTACAGGAAACGAAAGAGTGTAACACTCATCACTGTCCAGGTTGGTTTCAAAAATTTTCATTACAAAAATGTATTTCAATCTTAATTTGTATACTAGTAGCAGACTCATCTTTCTTCTAACTAAATGTAAAATGTAAAAATTCACTCATAATATTGTATTTTTTTTTACGGTATTCTATAATTACATGATTACGAAACTAATTTTTAACTGAAATGATAAAAAACGAATATTGATTACTTTCCTGTTATTTGACTACTAGTTGACGGTGTGTACACCCTATGGTCAGAATGGAGCGGTTGTTCGGCGTCATGCGAAGGTGGAAGACAGCAGCGTGCACGTACATGCGCATTACCCAGATATGGCGGGAAACCTTGCGATGAGATTCTGGAACAGGAGAGAGATTGCAACAAACAGCCTTGTCCGAGTAACGATTTCATGGCTATTTGTACTCCTTTCAATTTTTTTTCCTACAGTGATCCCATAGCACAGATATTTCTATTTTTCATGAGTGACCCCATAACACTAATATTTCCATTTTTATGAGTGACCCTCCCTATAACACTAATGTTTCCGTTTATCATGATTCCACTTTAATGGTCGTGCTATCGTATGTATATGCATTTCTAATTTCCCACTATTTTAATGTGATCCCCGTTGTTTATTGTCAGTCACAGTTCTTTATCAGTTTGAAGCACACCATTCTATGCTATATTTTGTATAACAAAAACAACCCAACGTTTGTTTCAGTAAACGGTGTATGGAAGCCTTGTGTAGCGTGGGCCGAATGCAATAAAACGTGTAACGGTGGGGGGGGGCACAAACTCGTCAGCGCGATTGCTACGGCCCTTTTCACGGGGATCGGAATAGCACCAGCCCCAATATAACCACATAGAGTTGTAATGATTAAACTTGCCCAGCAATAATTAAGACCACTATTAAAGCAATCCGGATAGATTCTTAGTTTAATATAAAAAGTTAAACTGTTATAACCTGTGTTTGAAATTATAAATTATTGGGAACAGTGTCTGCATGACATCTAATATAAAACGAATATGGATAAATATTTTTTGAAATTATTAATTATTAGGAAGATTAAAGGGGACAAATCAAGATTAATTTAACTTACAAAATTTGAATTGTGTCCTGCTTTGAGTACTTATCCTAATTTCAACCTATTTCTCCATGATATCCCTTAGTAAACGGTGTTTGGCAACAGTGGAGCGAATGGACAAAATGTCCGGTTACTTGTGCCGGAGGAATACTAAGTAGACAGCGAATTTGCGATGGACCATACTTTGACGGTAAAACATGCGATGGTCAAGCAAATCAAGCCGTTGAGTGCAACACGTCACCTTGCCCAGGTAACAAATATGATGGTTACGGTAGCAAGGTAGTGGTTTGAAACAAATAAGGTGGAGGATGTAATTTTTTTTAGACTTGGTGAAGGTGCAATTTATGAATCATCCATTGTTTTAAACTGATCCTTAAGTTAAACCAGTGTAACAATGTCCTTTAAAATTCTGTGTTCAATGGACCTAACCTAACCTTTCATCAAGTGATGGTTTTTTTGTTGTTTTTTGAGGGGGGAGGGGGGTAAATCAGATTTCATGGAAATCAGAAAACCTATAAAAAGTAGTTATATCGGGCATGTTGAATTGAATCTTTTCATAAACAATCGCAGTTTTGTTTCTCGTGAAACGTGGCGCTTTTTTGGTTTGGTTCATTTGGTTATGGTTACTGTTACTAGTGATTATTTTATTGATGATTTGGTGATGGAAGAAATTATTTAAGTTGATATTTTGACAGATTCTGTGTATGATATCTGTTGTTTGTTAAAAAAATAATTTGACGATGGAAGGAATATCCCCGCATAGACATCATTTTATGTTTAAAAAACATCATTTATGTTGACCGATGCTGCACATAGTATATTTATAATTTAATAATTTAGTGATCGAAAATAGAGCCCGCTAAAGATATTATTTTAAGTTTGTATGTCGACTAATGCTGCGTTGCGCGCGCGCTTGTGCGAGCTATATGACATACAATGCGTTCTAAATGCGATGGCACAATGTAGCGCAAAGGTAAGTATAAACCTGCCCTGAATGTATGTTCGACATTTATGTTTATTTTTATTTATTGCATGGTTTTAACACGTAGAGATGTATCCGAATATATAATAAAAACATAGTTTGCATCTTTTGATTTCAGATTATAGTTTTTTTTAACCTTGGTTTTAATTAATTATAATATCATATAAGTACTATAATATATTTAATAAAGGATTTCTTATAATTATAACACTTGTCTTGCAATGATATTAAATCAATGACAATTTCAAATATTAGATAGTTACCTGATTTACATTTGTTTAACAATGGGGGTTATTAAAAGTCAATTATTAAAGAAAACTGGCATTTGGGGTTTAACAGCTTACTATCAGGCTGTCTTACATATTAACATTACGATATTAATTACAGTTGATGGTGTGTGGTTAGAATGGCAGAGTTGGTCCGAATGCAGCACGACATGTGGAGGAGGGATCAGTCAAAGGACACGAAACTGCCAGCAACCACAATATGGCGGGCAAGATTGCCTGGGTAACAACACTGATACAGTGAGCTGTAATGAAAACCCATGCCCAAGTGAGTGTGCTTTAAAACTATATCAAATTTAGTAAATTTAAAGAAATGAATCTGAAAAGTTCGCAAATCGAACGAGACTCCTAAGTCATGCGTTCATTTTCTACCACATAGATATAAACTGCGCGTATTGTATTCGATGCATGACATGCGGCTTGTTGCGCGTATCGCAATAACGTTAGCAGGTTAAAAAAAAGTACCATCCCTACTTCCGGTTACTTATAGTCTGAGGAGTGACGGAAGTGAAAAGAAGGCGGCCTTCGCTTACCCTATGGTGGCTACACACAATCTAACTCTTAGAATGATTGGTTACATAAATTGATATTGTTTGGTGGTTAAACAGTTACATATCTTCTGCCATTTCTACCTATGCGAGGGGTTGGATGACTGAATGGTTAACGCGTGTGCGTTGTATCATAAGGTCTGTCATTGAGTCAACTGGCGTGGTTTCAATTTCCCCGGTTGTATGTGACAAGGAGTAGGGTCGCCTGTCCATCTTCTTGGGTTTTCTGCCGGATCCTCTGGTTTCCTTCCATTGCTAAAAACCCCTACGCGCAAGCGAATTATTGAAATAAAATTGAACCATATATGTTAGTCCCGAAATGATCTAGTTTGTTTCCAGTGGACGTTAAACCCCATTTCTCTCTCTTCTTCCTACGCTGTCTGTGCGGTTGCCTAAATGAAATGAAATGGATTAGATTTACGTATTATTTACTGCGATGGCTACTAGCGCGTAAATTAAGGTGCATTAATACCATTTATGTAGAAGTTAATTATATATGCCGTCGCTACTCCCGTTCCCTAAGTCATATAATAAAGCGTGCGCGTTGCGAAGTGAAATGTCGCTATTTGCGATGGTTATATTTACATAAATTAGCGCGAGGTGTTGGAATATTGGACGCCGATAACACTGCGTGAATTAACCTTTATGTTTTCTTTACAGGCCTGATACTTTATCAAGTACATGTATAAAAAAAAATTATTATTATATTTTTTACGAAGGGTTAAAGGGGCAGGGTACACCCATAGCTTGCACGTCACGCTTAAACTCTATCTCTTTACTAACATATTCTTTTAAAACGTAGAACTTTGTAGATTACTAATGATAGCACATTTCATACTTCTTTAGAACTACCCCATACAAACGGATATCGTATTTTTATTATTGGATAATATATGAAAAGTCCCGATATATTAGACCATCCTGTTTGTGCCTTACACTTTATGCTTTTTAGATTTATCCAATACAAATGGATATCGTATTTTCATTCGATAATGTTTTAGAATATTCTGTTTGTACTTTATACTTTTTAGATCAACCCAAGACAAATGGATATCGTATTTTTAGTGGATAATACACGCAATTGAAAATTTCGCATATATTAGAAATATTTGTGCTGCATACTTGTTTTTAAAATCAATCTCATACAAACGTTTATCGTATTTTTATTCGATTATACATGCAATTGAAAAGTTCCAATATCTTAGAATATTCTATTAGCCCTTTCCTTGGTGTAAAGAGAAAAGGACCAGAACTTAAACTTTCATATCTATATTAATATTAACCTTAATTTTATTTTACGTTTCATTAAAACTTAATAGACAGGCGTTTATTTTAATTTTCTTTAAAATTGAATAGATAGACTATTAAAACGTTGAATGCATTTATGTTAGCTTTTTAATCTAGCGAGCGCAATTTATGCGAAGCTAAAGAAACGCGAAAGGAAAAGCTAATCTGCTGTTTGGAACGCACGACTTGAACTGCTTAAGATACGGGAAGCGATCATTCATATTGAGATAAAGTTTTTACACTAAGCTTTTCCTTTATATGATATTGCAAATTACATATTCTTACTTTATAGTACCTGGCGACTGGTTTGAATGGAGTGAATGGTCGCCATGTTCTGTCACATGTGGTGGCGGAACAAGGACTCGCTCAAGAGTGTGTGATATGGAGTCATATGGTAACTTAACTGCTCCATGTGACGGAGCTGCTGATGAAGAAGGAGATTGTCACACCTTTGACTGTACACCTTACGGTAAATGTCAGCCTTATTTTTCATTTAATTCATATTATTAGTAAATATACCCAAATAGATGGTATGTAAGGAGCGAGTGTGTGTCTGGGTGTGTTTGTATGCGGGGAGGGAGTTGTCATTCGGGTCATGTCTCCGTGTCCTCTTGATCATTAATTGTCGTTTTGCACCGCAAACGGCCAATAAAATAACCAGCATTGTTACTAATCGGTGCCCCCTTTTATATCATACTTTTTTAGTAATTTAAAAAACGTTGACTTTTTCATTCGCAAATGTGAGACTATGTTCTTTTTAATGACTGAACCAGAGATCAATGCTGGTTCAAAACTGTTATTATTTTTACAAGGGTTGTTGTATTTGATTATCACACTTTACCTTATTCTATGCAGCACGGACGTGTAGTGAATGGGGTCAACGTGGTTTGCAAGCAAGTACAATGGCTGATGTTGAACCTGATGCTGATTTAGAACCGGTTAAGGTCTACTGTGACATGGTTAGTGAAGGTGGTGTTGGAGTTACCGTTCTAGGTAAGAATTGTTTGTTTTTACTACATACATTAGAATGTCCGAGCCTTTTAGCTGAATGTATATTAGCAATTACGACCGCCTGATCTTCGTATGATTTGAAGACGGATCTAGAAAAGGAAAGATACAATTGTGTTGAGTACTTGATGGCCTTAGACAGGGATTCAACATGGAATAAAGTATATGGTGAATACTTCGTGGGGCATGCAATTCGGTTCAGGTATGTGTTGAGTACTTGTTGGGGTTTGGCTTGGGTTTAGGTTTGTGTCGAGTACTTGATGGGGATTTGACTTGGGTTTAGATATGCATTTTGTACTTGTTGGGGTTTGGGTATGCTATCTACTTGATGAATGTATTGATACGCACCATTAGCGAGTTTCAATAATGAGTTCACAATCTTTCTGCTTGTGCCATCGAAGCAAGGGTATTTTCTTTTACAATATCGGGTCTGCCTTTTAGGTCATAATAACGAAGATAGAACACGAGTTGTTGGTTATGAAGGTGCAGGAGAATTCAAAATGAAAATCACATACAACGTCTCTCTCGACCATGCCATTGCCATTGTGGATGCTTCTGCCAAATGTAAGCAGTTTATGAAATGGGAATGTAAGGCTGCCCTTATCCACAATCCAAACGGGGATGGGGTCATCACTACTGGTTGGAAGAACAGAACTGGTGGAATAGCGGATTACTTCAGCGGCGCTTTACCCGGAACTGAAAGTTGTGCATGCGGCATGGACGACACGTGTGCTGACCCTGGTCTCTTGTGTAATTGTGACATGAACGACGCAGAATGGAGAGAGGATTCTGGTTTCCTGACATTTAAACCCGACCTTCCGGTCACTGAGTTTCGCGCTGGTGATACAGGTATAATTTAACGCTTTATATCTTTCATATACTATTATATTCTACCACCCGGAAGCTCTCGGCAATCTCCGTCACTCTGACGGCGGGGTTTATGCGTTGTTGTAGCTTACTATGCATAATGCCTTCCCTATAATTCGGGTTTAAATTAGATGTTTCAAGTTAGTATGTTTCGGGATCCTACAAGCAGGACAGATGCTACCTTTAGGCAAATTAGACTGCCGCCTAGGACACAGACCCCAGTGTGGCGCAGTATTGACCTTCCAGGTTTAGGATTGATGGTCATAATTAGTGCAATTCCTGTTTTGGGCTTAAAGGGGTGAGGCAGGGGGCAAGTCCCCAGGGTGCCAAATGAACAGGCACCGTCCCTGCCTACTAGACTCAAAATAGTCACACCTTCAGAATAACCTTCTATGTTCCATATGTTAAATTCTTTTTGGGTGGATGAACTACAAATAACTAATTGAGAAATAGTACACTGGTGGCATGTGTAATATAGACAGATCTGCCATGTAATTTAAAATAATTATAGAAGAATGTTCTTTTGCTATTTAAATTAAGAAAACGGTAAAAATAGTTATCGTTAAGCCTCTTTATGGCGATGTGTAAGCGAACAAGCATTGTAATTATGAAAGGTTAGATTCGAATAAAGCATGCTGCTGCCGCCATCTTTGTTTGCAGCATGTCAAAGAATGATAGCTGGATGAGGGCATAAATTTTAAAAGCGCACTTTAAAGTTTTAAGCGCAAAGAAGTTAGACCATGTGGTAAATATGGCGGCTATAGTGAAATCTGTATATGAATGATTAAACATGCGCATATGGTGCATTGAACAACACTAATCCTTGCTCTACACATCACTTAAATATGTATAACCCATTGCTTTATACGAGCTTCATTTGTTCAGCAAGGAAACAAAGGCTAATTCACATTGTTTTGAATTATACCAAGAGTTGTCTGTTGTTCCGTATTAAAACAAGAGCTTCCCATTGTTTCGTATTAAACCAGCAGCTGCCCTGTATTGTTTACAAATACCGTGGATTATGTCGACTGTATATGTAGATATACATGTTTGTAAATGTATATTATTATAAACAATAAGTAAATTTCATTTTGGTTATTTTTCAAGGTGGATTGAATGAGGACGGGTTTACAACTGTTGGACCCCTAATTTGTTGGGAATGACCTCAAACTCTGAACCTTGATCCCACCAAAACTGTGGAAGAAACGGAAGAAGGAAACATCACATGACACATTTTCGGTCCACTCTTCATTTACTTTGTTTTATCAAAACACTTCCGTTACGGAGGTGTCAAATGACGAGTGTATCTAAAAATAGTCATGTTATGTGCAAAATTTTGTAGGGATTTTTTTCTCATAGTTTCGTATTGTGTATTTATTTTTTTGCACTATGTTGCCATGGTTTATTTCAGGTACTTTCACGTAAGTATGCGCTTTCAGTGATCCTAATTTGCTTTATTTTTATTTCTCTTTATGTTGTTTAGCCTATAATTTTAACCATTTTTCTCCAGGCGAGGATGACGCAGAAGAAGGCTATGTTACAGTAAGCAGTGTGTTATGCTGGGGAAAAGAGCATGCGCAGAAAGGCATTTGAGAACAAGATTCGGAATAAAGAGTTTTTATTAGGGCGTTCTAAAATTACTAAAATATACCCCGGCACTTGACGCATGCGCATGGTAATATATAATCCTAGTAGTTTACATTTACATGAGCGTACGTCACCTTAGTTTCGTACATCGTGTAAGCGCTTTAGTATCTGCTATCTGTTAATAAGGCAAATTTGCGAAATGGCGGCGTTTATTTTGCGGCTTGCTGCGCTTTGCTTGCGAACAGAGCCATTATAATTGTATATATTTTATTTAGGTAACGTGGATATAGAGGAAGGATATGCTACTGTAGGAACACTACTGTGCTTTGGTGAAGCCACTGGTCTTTAGATCCAACGAATCCTTGATAAAAAGCATTTTTTCCTTTAAATTTTGTGCCAAGACAAAAGTCTCGTTAATAAATAAAATCTTTTTGATTTAAAAAAAAAGAAAGTGATGTAATTCTTGAATAGTGTCAGTGATAAAATTCTCATATATATATTTTCAAAAACTCTGTTAAAGGAAACATAAATCGGAAAGAAAATCAAATATTGGAAAAGAAATGATACTATCATTTTTCGTAATTTTTAGATCGATTTGAAATGTCCTTTTCGTTAAAGAGAGACTAGCTCTTATTATTTTTCTTACTTGTCTTATTGTCCATTATTTAAATTCAACCTGATTGGCTATTGATTGAACGGTGGAACCCTTGTCTTGTCTGTGATCGATTTTAAACTACAAGACTGAAGGATTTCACTGTATTGTTTGTTTCTCGAACAGATATATTGTTAAATTGTTAAATCTAATTTTATTGTGAAATCGTGTGTAGTATTAAATATTTATTGCAATCTTTAAGATCGTTGTATTTCTCATTTCTTTAAAAGTAGTTAAAGTTGTTCAAGCCTATGCCCACCTAATGCAGAGTGACTATACAAAAGAGCCACGGTGGCTCGGTGAGTAGGGCTTTGGCCCAGTAACCAGGAGGCCCCTTGGTCGATCCTGGTGTTGGCCGAGAAAGTTGCTAGCAAGGAAAATCTTCTAGTCGTTCGGGTGGAAAGAAAAAAATAGGTCCCATGGCAGCACGGGAATCGAAATAAGTGTAGGCCGTGGTATCCATGTAAGGGCAAAATTTAAACCTGATTTCATTTCCTTTCCCAATTATCTCCTTACTCCTAACACAGCTTTTAAAAGGTTTATCAGATTGTCCGGCGTTGTTTCCCCTTGTTAGTGGTGCGAGATGGCGGGGCCTGGCAAGGGAAAACATATTGGCGTGTACGTAAAAGAACCCTTGACAGTTGGTATTCAAGATAGGAGTAGGACGTAGCGCCGCTGTCTAGGTAAAATTTACCTCGCAGTACTGCGAGGCGTATACACGTCCTCGTTAACCCATTCGGAGCCGGACAATATGGCATTAAATCCCCATTTCATTTCGTCAGGCACGTGTTTTGTCATTGTTATTAACCTGATTATACCCCTGTAGTATTGTCGGCATGATGTATAGTCTCGGTCTTCAAGTCAAGCGACAATAGCAGCCCCATACTTAACAAAGGTGGACAACGTGGTCCTTGCAGTTGGAATTCGAAATAAGAATAGATCGCACTCGCAGTGCCACTGTCTGGGCAAAATTTCCCCTAATAGTACAATGTATAGCATATAGAATAGTAGGGCGTTAAACCTCATTTCATTTCAGATAAAGTGGTCGTGGAGGAAGAAGAATGCTAATTTACCCAACATGTCAAACACCATAAATAATATAGTATATACATTTATAGTTATATTTCTTAAATCATTCAACATTTTTGTGAGACGGATGTGACCTGACCCGTTTCCATAGCGGTATTATGTCCACAGAAAGCTGTCCTGTAAAACAAATAAATGAAAATATGTATAAACCTTTCTATAATATATGACGATTTTGGCGACCATCTTGGATTCTTACTATATTTTAATATTACGTGTTTTATTATGTATCATTGTCAATTGGGGGGGGGGGGGTCTTAGGCCCGCGTTCCATGTACGTGTTTCCATGTGTACAAAGAAATCGTTCAAAAGTTTGTGGAACCCCACGTAAATGACGTCACAAAGTAAGGATTTCTCTTTACAGCATGGAGCCCGACATTGTTTACGTCCAGTCGCCGGCTTTTTATAATAACACCATGTCAGTAGAAAGGCCATTTACAAGTTGTATTTGTTGCAACAAGAGCGTCTGGTCGATGACAACCCGTATTTATACGCACTCTTCACGCGAGAAAAAAAGCCGCAGAAAAGTTTCGAATAGGTCACTCATTGAGCGGAAACGCTTACACAAAACGGTTCCATTAAATTTGCATTCGCGGGCGGAACTTGTTCATGGAAAGCGGGGCCTGTGGTTTCTTAAACCATTTGAAAATAATGCAAAAACTTCATTATTCGCTATTTGAGAGCAAACACTAATCACTAGTTAAACTGGGCCATTATTAGTTTTACAAATCTTTCACATATTTATAGGAGGTATCTTAAACTCTTGCGGCTATATTTCACATTCTTTATTATATCATTAGGGGAAACCCCAGAATACCACCGTTATTTACAATAACTGATTAGGATATTGCCTTCTCTGGTAATTCATTCTAAAAATGAAACACACTTTTAAATCAACGAGACGCATGAGTATAGAAAGCTACGAGGTTCAAATTGGTATCACACCCTTTCTTAGAGAAGACATAATATATGAGCTTATTTCTAACTCTGTCTTTCTGCTCTAGAACACCAACTATAGAAATTCCTATCATGGTTCAGTGCAATTATCTTATGTTTTGTGATTCGTTTTCATAGAAATTTATAAAATGAAGGCGATCAGTCTTCATGTGTGGTCGTAGAACTATTTAAATATACTTGTATAAAATACTATAATAGGCTATCAAATATTTGTTTTACATTTGTGCCATGTTTGGGTGTGATAGTTACACTTTAAGTAGGGATAGCGATTTCAAGCAGACAGTTTCAGACGAGGTAAATTGGCTGTTTCTTTACAATTTGCATACTTAAAGTGTAAGACTCGCTAGTAGTCACCCTTATATAAGTATATATAATAGTACCTTAATATTCGCTTCAAATCTTATTTGTGCTATGAATTCCGACTTTAACGTGCCCCCTCCCCTAAATCATCTGGTTAAACCCTATTTCATTTCATTTTCATTTCCTTCTATACCCAGTTAACCGATTTGAAACCACCAGTATTAATAAGGCATATCCTAAGAAATCTAAGCTATTCCCTTTAAATAATTTGATCATTAACAGGCTCTATAGTTAAAGCCCGAGATTAATGGCTAACGAATTTCTGAAATGAACTGCCAGTGTATCTTATATGAATGCGTGACCAGTCAACTCAAGGATGGGATTAGTTGGTTTGAAATGTGTCGTTGGTCTGACATACTGTGATCAACGCGTTGAATCAACCCAATAATAGAAAATAAATAGATAGATTCCTTACAATTTAGCTGCCTCGCCATTGGTAACACTGACTTTGTTAATATAGAGAGTTGGGTGGCGGAGATTGAGTATATTCCAGTCTAGAGGTTTGTACCATTTAGAGTTGTGTTTCCAATCGAACTCTACTCTATGAATACTGCCCACATCTACAGTTGATAAAACTATAAAAGTATAGCTCTTTCCAGATTCTATCTCCGTGTCACTATAAAGAAATGTACAATATGTGTGTGTTTAAAAATAAAATCCTTTGGAAAATATGAAGAATCAATAATTCAATATTTTAATTTTTTCATAGGGAAATCTGTTGTATTATAGAATTGACAAAATATTCAAATTTATCCATTGGAAGAGCTGAAGAAAATCCAGAATTAATAATTCAATATTTCCAATTAACAGATTGATATTTGATGCATTATAGAATTGACATTATATACTTGGCTGGAATTAATTGTTACGGTTCATGGTGTTGGGTACGAAACTGTGTCCGGACATTATAATTATTTGACAGTGAATGTTTTGGCCAAGCGTATATAAATTTTTAAGAAAACCAAACAATCATACACAAAGGCACTGTAGAAATTGTTAGCTGTTTGAACGCTTTAAATAAATAAGAAGAGTAAGTATACATACTGGATAATCTATTCTAATACGTCACTTCCTCTGACTTGTATTTTTCTTCCGAAGTCAGAATGGGGAAATTATATTCGAACAAGACGGTGTCATTTAGTACAGGTTATCTAGTCGATTAAGCATATTCCTCCTCGTACATGACACCTATCACAGCTTAAAGATCATTGAAGAGCTAGTTTGAACGTCGAGTTCAAAGGTCAACGGTCAACTCAGTCTAAGAGACCATAACCTCAAATCAACATTACTTACTCTTCTGCGAGTTGAACTCGAGATGTTCGTCCTTTGTCACCAATAATATTAGCAAATAATGATCCTCTTTCAGTTCTAGACGACAGTTGCGAACCAAACGTTATCTGTATTTGGTCATGGTATCCTTAAATTAAGACAATGTACTGGTCTTAAAATGTCTATTATGTCTTAAATATTGTATATTAGGATCCCATATTTTCACGGTAAGATAACAACATCGATATTAATTGAAACTAACCAATATTTAATTCTAATTCGTGTTTTTAATTTCTAATATTTTAGATAATATTGAAATAGAGGTTCAGCTCCTTTAAATAGACTAATTAATTATATATTTTATCAAGATTAAAGCGATAATTTCATATTTTTAAGTTATATTTTTAAAATGTATTAAAATAAAGCCTTAAAATAAATAGTATCTATAAACAGTCCTACCTTGTTAAAGAATAATCCTATAATTCACTATTGTCAGTTGAGAAATTGGCAAAAATATCATTTTCAACTTCAAATTCAAACGTTTGAAGATAGCTATTCCATGGGGGGGGGGGGGGTTAGACTAACAAGGGAGGTAATTGTGTTGTTATTTCCGGGGTGAATGGTTTTTAAGTGTGAGAATGATACCTATGATCGTATAATAGTGAGTTGACAACCTATTGAGCAAAAGACATAAAAATAATTATGTTTTGACTTTCTTAGAAAATATGAAATTTTCGCTTTAACTAACATGAATAATACTATAAATTTCCAATCTACCGATTACTACAGTAGGAGACCCCAATAAACATATTTTAAACATTATTTGAATATACATAAGTAGTAAAAATAATATAAAAATTCATTAGACAATAAAACAGAAAAATCTAAATCCTAGAAATAGTTTAGATGAAAAAATAATATTCATTATAAGTTACTTGATTAATTAGTTTATTATGATATGTAGATTCATTTTTTTCTTAACGAATTAGAATATTTATATAAATGTAAAACTTACTACAGTAGGGGTGACTATGTGCGGTCTCTAGGTAATATTTAACATGAGTATGTCCAGATCTTGGTTTGACTTTATCAGCGTTGTAACCCATATAACCACAATTATTACCAGAGCATGGAATACAATTTCCAGACTAAAATACATTAAACATATCTTAAGATTAAAATATAAAGCTAATTGTCTGTAAAACGTTTTCGATTGTCTGCAGTGTAAAAACGAAAACAGCTTAATAGATCGTTAAAACCATATATTTCGTTCCACTTGAAGAACTGATTCCCGAAACTCTTCAATTCTGGTGATCAATCAATATTACAAAATTGCAAAGCGAACTAAGTGATTATTTTATATGCGGTACTACCTATTTTTGAAAAACTGAACCATCGCGACTATAATTGGGACGATAAGTTCATCTTATGAAAACGGCAGAAACAGAAACCCAGTTAAAATACAAACTGCTCCATTAACAACTGAGCTATTTCAGAATTAATGTCTCACACAGGGCAAAAAGAAGCCACACAGTCCTTTACCTTGAATTGGTCATAACTGTTACACTGGTATCCAGCGAAGGGACATTTTGTATTAATTGATTCCGAGAAGTATTCATACGCCCTTAGATGGTTACAGGCAACATACTGCTTCACACCTAGAATTGCAAAAAAATAAATAATCCTAGATAAATATTATTCTATTATTTATTAAATCCTCTCCTGTACATCTAAATGCTTATTATTTCTAAAACACAGATTTTCGCCTTTGAAAATAAACTAAATTAGACGAAATAGATCGAAAAGGCATTAAGCGCATATCAATGTGTAATATGAATGTACATAATAAACTGATAAACTGACGGATATGTAGTTTTTAACGTAATGTTAGGTGAAATACACGAGCAGTCCAAATTGAATGGCAGGCGTTTGCGCCTTCTTGGTGCAGTTTCTTTTTCATTTTGTCGTTTGTAAATCAGCCATTTTTAATTACAATGTTTATCTATGTTCCCCAAGTTTTATCAGTAGCAACTGATTTACTGTGTATGCATATAATTTAATTTGGCAGCGTGAAGTTAGCTCGATTTTCGTTTTTCGATATTGGTGAATAGCGAAAAATTAGCTACTCGTTCGACATTGGTTTGAATCTCAAAAAAGCAGATTTAATGGATGTATATCTGCAGAAAGTCTCTATAACACATTATTTTGATTAAATAAGTGTTCTAAAACGAACTAAAGATATCTTAAATGAGGGGTACTGAGCAGTGGATTTACATAAAAATTGCACTTTCTCCTTGTTCTTTGATATTGGCGAATGTCGAAAAACGAGCTATTGTTTGTTGGTCGTTCGTGGGGCTTATTTATAGAGCGACGCGAAGTTAGCTTGTGGTTCGTGGTTCGTAATTGGCGAATAGAATTAATAATATAGGGAAGTGGGTTATAGCACTACAAAATCTTAGGAGATAGATTCGTATTTGACGTATTGTTAAAACTTGTCTTTTGAAAGTAATTTGTATAAACGTACCATTATAAATACCATCAGTAGCTATAGATGTAACAGGATCTTTATCACAGCCAGGTTGAGTTTCACCACCATTAGGAAAATAATCTACATGACCACAAGGCTCTATCATACCATATCCTAATGTAAAAAAACCAAACAAACAAAAAGATTTTACTGCAATAAATGGATAATGCGGAAACGCTCGCCAATAATATATAGAGATCATATAGTCCATGTCTGTTTCCCTTTCAATTTTATAATCAGACATTGTTTTTAAAAAAGAACAAAATACAGAACAAGCAGTATAGGACGACGGAAATGGTATTAATTGGAAGACACCATGTATAAGGTAGTTAAGCACAGTGCAACATCCATCTTATATATGATCACTATGACATGCGCTATCTCGTGTTCCAAAAACGAACGGTACTCGTTGCAACGTTTATGGAAGCAAAACCGGGGTGTTTCAATGACAGGCAATAAGAACGGAAATGATTGCTACAGATAATACAAGCCCTAGACAATGAAAAAGAAACTTCATCGAAATCATATTTCAAATACTCATAACTTTATAGAGAAAAAATGTTTGAACTTTGTGCTTCTTCAATATAGAATGAACTTTTTGAAAAACATGATATTTAGCAGGACTTTATCAACTTCGCCTATCCTTCAATTAGTTGTTTTCATAATGGAAAAAACCTTCATCGGAATCATATTTCAAATACTTATAACTTTATAAAGAAAGAATGTTTGAACGTTGTGCTTCTTCAATATAAAATCAACTTTTTGAAAAACATGATATTTAGGAGGACTTTATCAATCTCGCCTACTCTCCAATTAGTCGTTTTTCTAATAACAAAATTTTATTGAAATCATATTTCAAATACTCAAATACTCATAACTTTATAGACAAAAAATAGCCGAACGTCGTGCTTCTTCTTTTCAGATTCAACCTTTTGAAAAACGCGATATTTAGGAGGACTCTATCAACCTCGTCTACTCTCCAATTAGTTGTTTTATCAACTGAAACGTCTCTGCTTTTACAATGTAAAGCGACACTTGCATGTTTGTGGTGAATGTTTATATGGAATGGATAGAACAATTAGAGCAGATTTTATCTTACCTAATTTTAAAATACTGATACCATCTGTATGTATGATATCAACAAATAAAGCATCTGAAGGGTCCAATCTAACTGTTACATCTGTATACTGGAAATATGGCTCAGCTGGATCCAAACCTGTAAACAACAATAACAGAAACATCACCATAGCAACACTTTTGAAATATGCCTAAAGAGTTCGCTTCGATCCGTTTTAATGTTGTTGTAACTTTTTAAAACATTTTGCCGTGCCAAAATAAAAAAAGTGACCACAGTGAATGGATAGGCACGAAAATGGGGAAATTTGGCATTTAAAACTAGGAAGCAGTGGAAGTTTTGAAGCAATACACTTTCATGTGCATACTGGAAAACTGTATTTAACCGTGTAACCATTGCTTAAAATTTTTGTCACTAGAATAATGTGCATTACTCGAACGTTGCTTACATGTATAAAGAATGAAAATACACAATAGCAGTTTGTTACTGTAGATATTTGTCTTTACCTGTTATTCTTCCAATATGTTTTATCTTTTCACCAGCATAACCAACAAGATGTGCCCCCAAACTGTGACCAAGAAGATGAAAGGTTTCTGGTTTCACTCCTGTCTCTTTCTATTGTCATATATTTAAAATATTATATATTAGTGCAAATCAACTGAATTCTATTCTGGTTTCATTGAAAACAACCATGACAACTCTACAGTTAATACAAATTGTACAGATAGTCAATATAAAAGTTACGTGGCAAGGAGTAGGGTCGCCTGTCCAACCTCGTGGGTTTTCCCCGGGTACTCTGGTTTCCTCTCACTGCTAAATACCCCTACGCGCAAGCGAATTATGTAAATAAAATTAAACCATATGTTAGTCCCGAAATGACCTAGTTTGTGTCGAGTGGACGTTAAACCCCATTTCTCTCTCTCTCTCTCTCTCTCTCTCTCTCTCTCTCTCAATATAAAAGTTACTCTTTTTGTCTACATTTAGCTCCGTTTGTGTACAGACACTAAGCTGGTTGACTGAAACTAAAATTCCGAAATCGGCAATTAAAAATATTGAGGATGTTTATTTAGTCTTTGTGTGTAGAACTACATTAGAAAATAAGAAAACTAATTTTTGAATATGACGACTATCAAGGACAGAGATCTATTCTCAAAGTTGATAGTGCAGACTGTGATTTTGGCTTTAGAATGAGCGTTGGATGTCAGTTCAGGTAAACGCTATTCGTCCGTGATCATGGGTCGTATGGGTAACCAACGTGATGAAATTGAAATACGATAAACTGTTTGGGCGTGAGAACTAACAGTCTGTTTAAGTAACGATCTCAACCTAAATTTTCTGGATGGACTATGATCATTTATAATACTTAAAAAAAAACCCCATAAAAATCGTACTTTTCTAGATAACCACTATTTTTATAATATATATAATGCATTCGCAGAAATAAATAAAGTGTACATGTATAAAAACAATGAAGGTTATCACCTAACCATTGAAGGCGTGTCCTTATCTAATCTGCTATTCAGTCCAGAACCAAGACTCACGAATAGATTCTCAATCTAAGTAACGATCTCAGCCTACATGTTTTGTTTTATGAAATTTGATAATTTATATTACTTTTTATAATGGACCCAATTCTACGAAAAAAGTGTACTAAATCATTGAGTCTTATCTAACCATGGAAGGCATGTCCTTATCTAATCTGCTATTTAGAAAGATTATCTTGATGAAAATTTGGAAAAAAGACTCACCAATAGACTATCGATTTCGAAACTCTGTTTGCGCCGAGGCGATTTTCGAGATGTTTCTGTCAGAGGTTAGGTTATCAAGGACGAAATTACTTTAAGAGTAATCGACTCGTTCTGAGGGATGACTTTTCCCTTTGGCAAGCAAGGTACACGTAACCGATTTCAGTACATTCCAGCTTATATTTAAGTAGCTAAGTCGCTAAGTCAGTATCATCCAAAGTCTTCGACATTGAAAACACGAATTATCTGTCAAATTAAATCGACATTGATGTTGTGATCTTACCGGGAAAATATGGGCTTCTGATATCTAATATTTAAGACAAAATAAACATTTTACTTCTGGTACACGAATCGTGTACCATAATGCGTTTCAGCGTCATTTGTAACAAGGGACTCGAAGAACGAGGCTAGACATATTCCACAAATCATATTCTTATCTGGAGAACATGCGCAATAAATTAAAACTTCTGGCGTATTTCGCCGAGGAGTCATGGTGGATAAGTGGGTAAGACGCTGGCTTGCTAGTCTGGAGGTCGGGTGTTCGATTCCTGCATTGGCCGATAAAGTTCATCCAGATTTTCCGGCATGTTTCCCCTTGTCGGTGGTGCAGGACGGAGGGCCTGATAAGGACAGCTGTCTAGTCGTTCGGATGGGTCGAAAAAACGAGGTCCCGTGTACACATTGGCGTGCACGTAAAAGATCCATTGGAAGTTGGAATTCGATATAAGAGTAGGCCGTAGTGCCGCTGTCAGGGCAAAAATTCCCTCATAGCCCAGTTCGGAGCAGAACAGTAGGACGTAAAACCCCATTTCATTCAGTCATTCGTATTTCGCCGAACATACATTATTATTTTCGTTGTGACCTATTTTTGTGTCAATTTCTAGAATCCAAATATTAGCGATTTAGCTCCTTTAACCTGGTTTGCGCCGAAGAGATATGCGTGATTAGTCTGTCGGAGGATGGGCTCTACAGGATGAAATTCGAACCTTTGTATGGAATGCCTCTTCAGATTTAATACATCCTTAAGTATATTAAAATGTGTGTTGAATTTCTGATGTCACGAGACATTTCTGTCAATAAACCTTATTTTCTTTCAATAAACCTTCTATTTCCTTTCACTAAACCTTATTGCATTCATGGGGATGGAGCAAATGGTTAGCGCGTGTGTGTTGAATCATAAGGTCTGTCATTCAGTTTACTGGCGCGGTTTCGATTCTCCGGTTGAAAGTGACAAGGAGTAGGTAATTTCTTTCAATAAACCTTATTTCTTTCAATAAACCTTATTTCTTTCAATAAACCTTATTTCTTTCAAACCTTATTTCTTTCAAACCTTATTTTTTCAAGAAACCTTTGTTCTTTCAATAAATCTACTTTCTTTCAATAAATCTACATTCTGTCAACAAATCTACTTTCTGTCAATAAATCTACTTTCTGTCAATAAATCCACTTTCTTTCATTAATTTCTTTTATATATTTCTTTCATTAATTTCTTTCATTAAAAATATTTCATTCTTTCATATTATTCCTTTCGTTAAACCTTATTTCTTTCAATCCAAGTATTACCTGTAAAGTTGCAATGAGTTTAGCAATAACAGCTCCAACAACTCGGCAATTGGCTGTAGCTTGACCATAAGGTGGTAGAGATCCTCCTCCCCAATCGATATTAATCACATTAAAATCACCTTTCTTTAAAAACTCATCCTTCATTTTCTGAAAGGTATCAAATAATTCTTCAGTATTAAACAGAAATGTATCAAATAATTCTTCAGTATTAAACTGAAAGCTGTGAAATAAAAGTTAATTTGAAAAAAAAAGCAAAAAAGGACAATTGTGGAGCGAAGGATCCAGTTAATCTTTAAGGCCATCTTTTTTTCATCCTATTGAAGGCATTACAATCCAGCGAGTTCATATATTTCTAAATGTATTATTTCAATGTAAAGACGTAATATTAACAAAATTGTATTTTGTAATAACGAAATTACGAAATTATATTTTGTAAGAACGAAATTATATTTTGTAAGAATTGTTTCGTTCAAACAAATTAATTATTTCGTTTAAACGAATTAATTATTTCTTTTGAAAGACTTTTAAGTATATCGTTAAACCGAATTAATTATTTCGTTTAAATAATTTAACAAATTAGTTATTTCGTTTACACAATTTAAAGAAATAATTATTTCATCAATTCGAAATAACATTTCTTTAATTCGAATTAATATTTCGTTAATTCGAATTAATATTTCGTTATTTCGCATTGATATTTCGTTAATTCGAATTAATATTTCGTTAATTCGAATTAATATTTCGTTAATTCGAATTAATATTTCGTTAATTCGAATTAATATTTCGTTAATTCGAATTAATATTTCGTTAATTCGAATTAATATTTCGTTAATTCGAATTAATATTTCGTTAATTCGAATTAATATTTCGATAATTCGTTTAAACGAATTAATACAGATTACAAAAAAACAATGTTTTTGTTTCTATTTCTGTTTTGTGAAAGTAACTTACCACCAGCCAATCGGCGCGACCGTTCTCAATAAAACCATGGGAGACCATCTTGGTTGGCTTGGAAGGATTAAAATGGGAATTATGTATGGAGTTAACATTCTTATAATCCAATAACTGCTCATGCTTTGGGTTTGAACGAGTAAATAATCTGAATTTGGTGCCAATAAATTCTGGTGACAATGGAAGTAAACTTATTGGCCGTTGCAAACTGAAGAACGGGGCACCGGTTCCAAAACACCCTAAATCTCCATAGCACTTGGTGGACCCTAGATAACAAAAAATAAACAAAAGGAGTTTGCGTTGAGTGTACGTTAAATCCGAACAAAAAATTGGACAGGCAATTCAGCTGCTTCAGCTTCAAGGACCAACGCCATTTGAACAGCGATGGCTTTTTAAAACAAAAAATCATGCGTTAAAACAGATCAACGCCTGAAGGTCAATAAGTAGTCAACGTTTCGAAATATTCTTTACGAAAACCTTTTAGAATTACGGAATGACAATTACAAACATCTTGACAAATGTCCAGACCAAATGACATATATCACAGTTAATTATGTATTTAGAAAAGCTAAAGTACAATCAAATCTGTCAACTATGTGAACTTCCCAACAGAAATTGCATCAGATGTTCTAGTTAGACACCCGCCATTGTGATTCGATTATTGTTACTTACGTTTATGTACGACCAATTCCTCATCAGTAAATAAGGCTAAATCTGCAGCAGCTGCTTCGGCCAAATCTTCATATGCTACTGTTAATTCCAACAGTGCCAACGAAATGAAGACAATGATCTTCATGATCCTGTCCATAAGAGAACTTTTACTAGGATAGGTCATTAGTTTCCGTTCTACCCTTATATAAATTCTCTTATCTGATTTGTGTTGTCAAAATCTACAACTTTGACCTTGAAAACAAATGAGGAATCTGTTTATTTCCATGTTCGCAATGAACCCCGTGTAAATTTATTTAGTTTTAGTTTATTGTGTCACATCTCAGACTTGTTCCTTTAGGAAAGATATGAGAGAGAAAGAGAGAGAGAGAGAGACTAGTACTGGTATTAGGATGAAATGGTACTAGTAATAAAAATGGGACTAAATGGTACTGGTATTAACGATATGATTACATGGTACTAGTATTAAGACTAAATGGTACTTATAGTATATAGTAATAAAACAAGGACGAGGTGGTACTAGTGTTAACAATAGGATTTTATGGTACTAGTATATTAGGATGAAATGGTACTAGTAATAAAACAAGGACGAGATGGTAATGGTATTTACAATAGGATTACATGGTACTAGTATTAGGATGAAATGGTACTACTAGTAATTAAACAAGGACGAGATAGTACTGGTATTAAAAAAAATGATTACATGGTACAAGTAATAGGATGAAATGGTACTAGTATTTAAAGTAGGATTATATGGCACCAGCAGTAATAATGGGACTAAATGTTACTGGTATTAACGATAAGATTACATGGTACTGGTATTAGGATTGCATGGTACTCGTACTAAAACAAAGGTGAAATGCTTCTAGTATTAATCATTCGTTTGCGCGTACGGATCTTTTGCAATGGGGCTGGGGGTGGGGGCAATGGAGGCCCCGGAGACAACCCACGAGGTTGAACAGACGATCCTACACAAGTTGACTAAATGACAGGCCTTATGAGCTAAAGTTAATGCATTCAACCATTCGGTCATCCAACCCACTACGTCCAAACGATGAATGAACGAGTACTAACGTTACCCAGGAAAGTGTGAACAATGCATTCATTTAGAAATCAACGCCGGACGTGGTCCTTGACGCTGTTTAATGATACAATATGCAAGAGGTGAATCTTGCTCAGAATAAAGTAATTTAAATGAAATTTTCAATATATTCCCTTTCCGTTATCTATATTTAAACAATTATTTAAATCTTACATAATGCATCTTTAATAACTAACCTTTATTGTCGGTTCATTAGGCAATTTCAGCCCAAAATTGTATTGTTCATGGTCATTATAAATCTACTTATCGTTATGTAAATATTAGGGAAAAAAATTTTCCTTTAGCAAGTATTACCTTGTATTGTTTTGAGATACATTATGGGAGATTAGATAAAGAGCTGACAGTTCTCACTATGATAGTTAAAACTAGATAATGTAAAGGGAATTTGCTGAAAATTTCACTCAAATTGATCCACTCTAAACCGAGATTTTAGTGATTGAATTTTCAGCCTAGCCTCGATCAGCATTACTAAAGTCGGTACGATAAAAAACATAGTCTCGATTATTCATTTTTGATTAAATCTGAATGGAAGTCGAACAGCAAACCCGAACCTAATCCAATAAACATCACAGGCTAGCGATGACACCAAGAGTTGATTATTATCTGGATAAGTTAATTATTAATGTTTAATATTAGATAACATTTCAGGCCTAAAGAAAGACCTGCAATAGGCAAATTTATCTCTTGCATAATGTATGTGTAATAGGTAAAGTGTATTTACGATATTTGCCCCCACGGTTTTCGAAAAAGTTCTGCATATTCTTCTAATATAGACAATTTTAGAGATATCAGGGCTGTTGGAAAGGAACGGGGTTATATGAGTTTAACCCCTTCGGCCAGTAATTTGCACGGGGTCAGACCCCAGGTGCCCCGTTTCGGCTTCTCCACGATGACACCGTCCCCAATATGAATTTCGTTCCGACTTTAGTGAATATCATTCACTAAGTTTATTATATCGAAGGAGCTAGCTCAAGTTTCATCATTCGTCAACCTAGATATTGGATCATCATTGTCAATTCTATGATCCGAAATTGTATTCTCTGTAACTTTTAGGTAGACCGAAAGAAAACCAAAAGTAAAACGACCTTCTTGAAAATGTTGGTATGGACGCTAAGGAAACTCGAGTTGGATCCTTCAACGGAAAATGGTTGGGACGCGTCTTTACTTTTTTTAAAAATAAAACCAAGCTCTTTATACCGAAAGACGTGGCCTCATCAATCCTCTTACCAAATTCTTTGTTATCAGAGAAGCGTTTGCGTTATACATTCTGACCGCAGAGCGAATGTTTGAGTCCGAAATGAACTTAAAAAAGTTCTCCAGATCTGTCTTCAGAACGGAATGCAACTAGAACTCCCCCATGATCCTAGCGTTACCTTGATGTCAGAGGCTGATGCAATTGTCAGCTCCATATCATCATCCCCTGCTGTACTTTCTGATCCTGAGAACTCCAGTGGTTCCTTCACCAGCGAACTGTTTAACTATTTAATACCCTCTATCACGTTTCATTTTTGCTGAATCCAATTTGTATAATCGTCGTTTTTGGAGGATGACTTAATAATTGGCTGAAGAGAATGTCTACATGATGAGCAGCAAAGACGTCAATGAGCCAAATCCAACGACCGATACATTTCCAAAATTCTGTCAGGGGTCTTTGGCTAAAGCTGATCTCGGTGCTGATAGTATTGTACTCCGTGTCGAAGCTGAAGTCTATGGGGATGTGGTCTTACTTCTAAAAATCTGACCGGAAAAAGAAAACGATTTTTTGGGCTGTTCAACTAAAAAGTTACACATCCAGCGAGTTTTTGAAAACTATTTAATTTAAAATCATTACTTGTGGTCCTGGTCTAGTCCTACAATAGAAATTGTCTCCCTTTATTTTCAAGTTCGAGTAAATTAACTATTTTTCAAGATAAGCATAGGTCGTAAGCGATTTTGCCAAGCAATTTCACTTCTTAAACATACATTATGCAAGAGCTAAATCTGCCTAGTGCAGGTCTTACTTTAGGCCTGAAATTTTATTTAAATTATTAATCAGACATCTCGATGTCAACGCTAGACTGCGATGTTAACTGGATTAGGATCCGATTTGTTACTCAACTTTCACTTCTGATTTAATCATGAAATGGATAATCTAGACTATGTAATGATGATCGAGGCTAGGCCGAAAGTCAATCGCTTAATTCTCGGTTCATTGTTGATCAATTTGACTGAAATTTTCAGCAAATTCCTTTTACATTATCTAGTTTTTAACTATTATAATGAGAACTGCGAGCTCTTTATCTACTCTCCCATAATGTATCTTTAAGTTGCAGTGTAATAACCAATTATCAATATTCCATCTTCTTCCAAAGCAAGCAGAACAGTATACACCTATGTTCGATTAAAACGGTTGAGTTGTGGGCTGTATTACCAATACCATCGTGCCATTGAACCGTGTCTTATCTGAAAACCCCATGCCCCAAGATTTCTTAAGCGGTTTTGTCTCGTTAGTTTTGAAGCGTTTGGCATAATAATTTAGATGTTTACGACAATGTTCGATTAAACATGATCCGTGCCAGATGGTACTACTGGCTTCTTAAGTATGTATACTGGTATATACCATTTCTTAAGACCGACTCCTTCCACCAAGAATGAACGGTTTACGTCGTATTTCGAGTAAATTCGAATTTCGCGTCAAATCAGTGATGCGTGAAAGCTAAACGTCAAAAATGAAAATCTCAAGAAATCCATGTTTTCGGATCACTTACCATGTACATACCAACAGGCTACGCAATCTTAGTTTACGCAAATTTGGGATGAAACTTAACCCAGCTCCCACATTATTAACTGCAACGTTTCAATGAGGATACTCTCGTCGTTATAAAGCAATGATAAAATTCAACCTATTATTATATACAACCGAGTAACAAAAAGCTAATGAACAAAACAACGCCAACAGCTGAAACCATGATGAGGGTTAACCATTAGCCAGACCTTATATGACTATGGTGATCATTGCTAACAAGGCCAATATAATGACAGCTAAATATGTCTGTCGTTCGGGGCCTAAAATTCACGATATACGAGTCACTGACATTCTTAAAATATGGAACTGAGACATTTTATTATCTAGCTTACAGCCATTGACCTGTTAAAGGACAATATTGGTGTCAGTCATTATAAAATATGTGATAGAACTGGTTAAATACATCCCAAATATAATTTTAACACAGAGATCATTGCTACGGGAGATGTGTAACAAGCACGTGAAGAAACGGGAAGTGACGACAAACATGACAAACACGAGTTATCCTATCTATCTAACTGACTGAAGTAACGAGCGATAACAGACACGCGATCGAATTTCATTTCACTGATAATTCAGTTGAAGATGAAAAGTTATTATATGAGACAGTGAGAGGATATCTGACAATTCAAAAAAAGAATTGGCTGTCATTAGATAAAAGATAACGAACAAATTAGAAAATGTCCGGGCATTACCATGTTTTTTATTAAGAACAGGATGAATAAAAACGGGGGAATGCACGGGATTTTTCTATTTTTCTCGTTTTCCCTTATCTAGTGACAGCCAATTCTATTTTTGAACTGTGAGATACCCTCTCACCGTCCCATATAATAACTTTTCAACTTCAACGGAATTATCAGTGAAATGAAATTCGATCGTTTGTCTGTTATCGCTCGTTACGTCAGTCAGATATATAGAAGGATAACTCGTGTTTGTCATGTTTGGCGTCACTTCCCGTTTCTTCACGTGCTTGTTACACATCTCCAGTAGCAATGATCTCTGTTAAAATTATATTTGGAATATATTTAACCAGTTCTATCACATATGTAATTATGACTGACACCAATATTGTCCTTTAAAGCAATTATAGACCAACCAGTGCTTACGCTCTGTGAAAGTTAAGGTCGTGGTAGCGTGACACCATCTGACCCCAACAACCACAAGCACGAACATATTATTTTTCTTTGCTGTAAATGAAGCAAATTTCTTCTGTTCCAAATTATGACTGGTCAATAGTCCGATTAACAACCAATAACCATCTGCGTAATAATATCATTACGCTTTAAACAGAGCTCCAAATTGGACCAAATATTTTTTACATAACGTTACGTTATTGCAGAAAACTAATTGCGTGACAAACGAGGTTATCAACACGAATACGATGTAAACAATTCTGTATGGAGACGAACAATGCTTTCACTGTTTTTAATACCTTAAATCAATATCCAAAGTTTTAGGGAAGATCCCAGATTAAACGAAGGGATGTCATGCTGCTGTACTTGGGATAGATTTGATTGAACGGGGAGAATAGACACACTCCCTCAAAAGCTCAAGTATCAGAAGCCAATCCAGCAATGTCCAGAGAGGGATTTCTCGGGCTATTGCCTCAGGAATATGCGTGTTATCATGCAAACGAAAATCTCAATTTCGTCACTTTCTTGACCAGTCGCGGTAACAGCTACAGATAAAAGCTGGGATCACCTATTATGTCTCAATTGACACTCTTGTCTAAATAGATTTTTCGATTTGCCTTCCTGTCTTCATACAGTGTGCGATTTTTGCGCGACCTTAGTACCATTCACCGAGCTCCTTCATCTTTTTATCAAGCTTTATCTACAGACACTTTATATCATCAAAGTGACAACATTTACTGGGACATCACATCGATATGTGTGGTTTTCATTAACCTTAAACAATATATTGCACACTTTCGTTTAGTATAACAAAATCTTGCCTTTTCATAAAGAAAAACATTTATCTTTAATTTAAGAGACCTTTGTAAATCGAATTCCTACTGCCAAGGGTTCTTTTATGTGCATAGCAATGTGTACACGGGAACTCGGTTTTTCGTCCTATCCGAACAACTATACGTTTCACTTGCCAGGCTCTCTGTCATACACAAATGACAAGAGGGAACCATGCCGGAAAATCCAGATGAATTTTCCGGGATAACACCGGGATCGAACACGGGACGTCCAGGTTAGCAAGCAAACGTCTTACGCAGTCATGTTATTCAAATCATGTACTATACAATTACAGATTCTTGCCTTATTCCCGCATTTGACCCTATATATCTTTTACAGAACTATATTTCGCTGGTTTTCATCGAAACTCATTAGTCCATTAAACTCGTATATTGAGTGACAAAATGGCGACCGTGGCCACAGTTAACCAGATTCTCTTTATATGCGGTTCACGCCATATAACTAACCATGTTCGATGAGTTGCTCCACAATTATCTTCGGTAAATAAAATATCGAGTAAAAGGCCAGGTTAAAATAGAAACTTTATTTTTTATAAGAAACTGTTTACATAGAATGTATGTTGTTGATATAAATGACAAGTGACAAAACATGATAAAATCACAGGCAACGTCTTAAAGTCAGTTACTATTGTTTGCTGGCTACACCGATTCTAATAGACAAGCTATCAACAAAATAATAACCAGCTAACTTAGAGGTTGCCTGAGAAATTGACGAGATACAAATATTAGTAACACTCTATGAGTAGAATGGGAAGTTACGTTACGTTACGTCAATGTCAAGCTGATTGACATAGTCTACCTCACCAAGTCTACTTTACTTTGCTAACTGACCTCTTGGTCACCCAAACTGTGGTCGGCAAAACGTTACGTCATAATACGTCACCCTGGTTGACACAGTCTACCTCACCAAGACATGTCTCGGTAATCCAGACTGCGATTAGCATAAGAAACGACACCAAACCAAAGATAGAAAACAATAATTCACGTCAGTGTCATGGATATAGATACAGTGCTAGTGCCTATAATGATCAGTCTGGACATTGTCCTCAAAACAAAACAGGGAAAAGGGTAAAAGATATCTAAGGCCCTTGCAGGCATACCATCAAGGAACAACCCCACAAATAACAGACACAGACCGTTTCAGTCCAATTTCTATGATCAATCCCAATTCTAAAAATGGTGCCGATAAAAGTCAACAGCATATGATTACATATTTTAATTTTTATCGGGAACACCGCATTTAATGTAATTAGATTCAAAACTCCACTCTCTGTGTCAAAGATTGAGTTGATGAAACACGCAGAGGAACTTTGGTAGTTGGCATCGTAATCATTGAAATATAATGTTAGTCTCAAAATGTCTGTACTATTTTGTTAATGAGACGTTACACCCCATTACAAGTTTATAAAACTAATATTACAATGACGACATCAACCGGTTGACTGGCTATCCTCACACAATGACGACCATAGCCGGTTGTCTGACTTTCCTCATAATATTACAATGACGACATTAGCCGATTGTCTGGCTTTCCGTTACGAAAGGCAGCCAAGTCCATAAATATACAAATCACTAAAACACCAAATGCAATGATAAAAATGTTCAGGTAACGTCTTTGAGGGATATTCATATTAATATAAGTTGAGATTCTCACCAGAAATAATTTCTTCTCACCGCACAATCACTATCTTAAATATTAGTAGACGCTGGAGTCTACATTCAAAAGTGGTGTCATTCCTAGTCGTTGATTTTTACACTTGAAATTTGTTATTGTTAGTAAGAGCGGCGAGACATGGCGTTCACGATGCTGATTACTAAATCCGGAATTGATGAGAAGACATTTCAACTTATAATTTCAAGTCGTTGAAAACAAGGCAATATCCAATTTTAATGACTACTCCATTAAAGCCATATTCGCAATTGGAACTTTGTTATTTCTAGCATACCTTGACAAGATGAAGGATGTCATTCACGAGGCGGAGTACGTCTAAAACGTAAAACGCTCTTATGACCATTCATCCCATTTAGTCGGTTGAAAATAATATAATATCCAATTTTTAGTATATTTATCACTGCACTAAAGACATTTTCAATCTTGAAACATTGTTACGGTTAGTATGCGTGATGTGAAGAGTGCTGTTCATGAGTCAGAGTATGCTACTATGTAAAAAACCAAAAGACACCCGTGTGTTACTCACTACCATTTAGTACGGGGGTTCACAACTTGTTTTATGTTAATGAAATATGATTAATACGACTGTTGTATTTTATGACTAGCGACCAAACACCATCACTTCACATAATACCAGTACTTTAGTTTCATCTATAGTTCCGTTAATATTTAATATTATTCCCATATACCTGAAACAAAATAACAAGATAATACATATCGGTAATCAAAAATGTTATAAGTGAAATTATCCTATTCCGATTGTAGGTTATATGGGCGATGGTTGCTCGGCGAGTGAGGCACTGGCTCTCTAATCCAGAGTTCAATCCCGGGATTGGCCGAAGAAATTCGTCTGGATTTTTCAGAGTGACTTCCCTTTATCAGTGGTGTAGTGAAGTATCTTCTCAAACAACTGACCCTACTTCTCTGGTACACTGGAAGGCCATATTGCTGAGAATCCATGATATGCGGGTGGAGGGGGTAGGGTTGGTGACCCATTGGTCTAACGTCAGAACTCTGTATCATAAGGTCTGTATTCGAGTTCTGTCCCCAGTGTGCAATTGCCAAGAAGTAGGTTAATTGTATGAAGACCGCAGAATAAAATATGGCATATCTTAGACCCCAAATGACTGAGATTGTACGGAGTGCATGCATATTACTATCGTTCATTGGCTCGCTCTCCAAAGTCCTATAACTCGTATTGTACTGCACACCTCAGATGCTTAATTTGGAGGGTGGAGATCATGGAAATTTGTCTCGGGATTTATACACCGGACATTGGATTTTCTAGCTTTTAAACGGAATACAACTATTTCAATAACGATATCGTAAGCACGGTCTGATTGTAAAAAAGGTCATTGCGTGTTTGTGGTCTATTTGGTTTGACAAGAACTCATAAAACATACGTAACACCATCGAGATAACCGTATCAAGGGAATCGCCTGACATAAAACAAAGAGATATCAGCCAATTAAAGATCTTCCAATCAATTTATAAGGCAGTGTTTTCTCCTATATGTGAAATAATTTATCTTATGCTGTTGTTCGTGTTAGTGACCCGAATACACGGTATATTAAAGTTGTATTCCCTGTACGTCCATTCAAACAAACAATATAATATGTGACCTAAACTAACTAGACTCTCTTGATTTCGAGATCTTCAATATAACCCGTTTGGTGCAGGACGTAAAACCTATTTCATTTCCAAAAATAAAATTGCTGATTTCATGGGATTTTATATATTGATCTGTTTTACGGAATGACATATCCACCTGCGTGTATAGATAAATGTTGTGATATGAGAGATTTTGTGTTCCTCTCTGACAGAGTAAGCCGAAAAAAATATGCTAAATTTAGTAAACAAGCCGACTTCCTTCTTGATCTTTGGAAGCACTAATATTATAGACTCTTGTTTTCGTATTCTATATACTGTAATTCAGCTATAAGAATTGTAAACTTTGCAAATAGATATAGTTTAAACCATAGACTCTGTTCGATCACTATTTTGACCTTCTTAAAAGATAATGGGGTTTAACTTTTTTTTATCGATACAATTTAAGTTTGCTTCACCATTGAGGGACGGGCCCATGTTTTTTTGCAGGAGGGGATTGGCCAGGTTCCTGTTTAGAACATTGGACAGTAGACAATGCATGATGCCATCATCGTCTCTAAATTATGTAGGCATACATACACACTGTTCTCTTCAAAGACAGAAATCCAACAATCCGTTTGACGTCAATTTTTAATATGAATTAATAGAATCACAATGTGATTCAAATCCGTTAATACAAAACATTAATTGTGATATCACATTATTATGTCTATATCATTATCTCGCGCTTTGAATGCCCATCCATTCCCACCATCTGATGATAAAAGATAAAGCACATGCCCGTGATACTTTTCACATAAATGTGCTCTCTATATCATTATCGCGCGCTTTGAATGCCCACCCCATTCCACCATCTCATGATAAAGGATAAAGCACACGACCGTGACACTTTTCTCATAAATGTGCTGTTTTACAATTTTTTTTATGTAAAGGTTATTTTACAGGTATTAGGAACGGAGGACGTTTCTATAATGACTTCTAAATACCACCCAAACAAGTTTTATATTACAACAACACCCACCCGTCACTAACTGACTCCTGGAATCAATATCTCTTGCTAATTACGTAACATTTTTATAGATAACTAACAAGTCAAAAAGGACAAGAAAAATCTCTCAACTATTATTAACCAACCACTTCAGAACATTGCCAATATGTCAAAGACAAAAATATCTCCCTGCAGTACTAATTTAGCTACAGAAAAATCATGCTCTAATCATGACTATAAAACTCGATAAATTATATTGCGCCACAAATAGATACCTTTTGTTTCGATATTATTCAAAATGAATGTATTTGAGATCTTCGATATGTCAGTAAGACAAGTCCAGCTACGTTTAGAACAAAATAAAATGAAATGGGGTATAACGTCCTACTGTTCTGCTCCGACCGGGATAATGAAGACGTACGTTTAGAACAACCTGGTAGTGTCCAGCCTACTCATATATCTAATTCCAACTGCCAAGGGATCTTGTACGTGCACGCCAATGTGTACACGGGGCCTCAGTTTTTCGTACCATCCGAACGACTAAACAGCTGTCCGTGTCAGGCCCTCCGTCCTGCACCACTGACAAGGGGAAACCACGCCGGAAAATCCCAATAAACTTTCTCGGCCAACACCGGGATCGAACCCGCGACCTCCAGCGTCTTACTCACTTAGCCACCTTGTCTCCGTCGCTAAAACGAGTCCAACTACGTTTAGAACAATCCGGTGGTGTCTAACGAATTTCGTAATGTTACGGTCCTGAAATTAATTACCGTTATTTGGTTTTGTCGAAAAGTTGTAACGCCTGTTTATGAAACGCGTGGTGAAGACAATTTGATATTTACATTATGTTCTGCTTTTGGTGTAGGTTAATAAAGAGAAATTTAGATTTTAACATTATGTTAGTTTACAATACGTGCCTCAAAATCATCTCATCGATACTGGCGCCGTCTGTTAGTCTAGATTCATTATTATCATTATAGACTAGCAATTCCCCATTGGATTACACTCCTTACACAACAAATTGACTTATCAATAAACAATTATCAATTCAGGATAACTATACTCAGAATACTAGGGAAGACCAGTGTCGCGGTTGAATAAGGTGCCCAGTTTAGCTCGGTACCTGTCGCTTGAGAAGCGAGAAAAATCATACCAGGTACGTTAGCAGTCTGGGTACTGATTTATCCCGTTGCTTCTTAATTTTTGAGATGACGAACTGACTTTATGTAACTGTTATAGTGTTTCGTTCTATGGATCTACTTGTACCAACTCGCTCATTGTGATTTAATTTAATGAAAAAGCATTATTTAGTCCCAAAATGACACATAATTAGCCTTTGTTGATTTTCGGAACCCGTTCCTAGCAAATTAACATTAGCTGTTGATGTTGACTGCAGACACAGAACATTATGTGAGAGTGAGAAAAGGGGTTTAACGTCCACGGTCTTTAGCAGTGGGAAGAAACCGGAGGACCCGAAAAAAAAACCCATGGGGTTGAGCAGGTGACCCTACTCCTTGTCACGTACAAGCTGAAAATCGAAGCCATGTCACTTGACTCAAAGACAGACCTTACGATCTAAATTACACGCCTTAGACCATTCAGTCATCCAACCCGCCATAGAATATTGTAATGCACCACTTAGTAGGGTTGACTTACCTCCCACTTAATTCTGACATACACTTTAATCTTATATCAGGTATAGGTGTTCTAGATTGATGTTGATGACGTATACATAATCTGTTTTCTGTTATCTTCTTACTCATTCCGACAAATATATCTATATTATCATCATCTGAAAATAAATAATGTTCTTTATTTAACAAGTTCACAAGGCTGACAATTGGGCTAGTAATAGGGAGAGGGAGAGAGAGAGAGAGAGAGAGAGAGAGAGAGGTGGGGTTTAACGTTCACTCGACACAAACCAGGTCATTTCAGGACTAACATAGGGTTCAATATAATTTCAATAATTCGCTTGCGCGTAGGGATCTTTAGCAGTGGGAGGAAACCCGACGACCCGGAGAAAACCCACGAGGTTGGACAGGCGATCCTACTCCTTGTCACGTACAACCGGGAATGAGCACTAAAGAATTGAAATTGGTGGAGGTGGGGGTTGGAGCAAATTTCAATTTTATTTCAATAATTCGCTTGCGCGTAGGGATCTTTAGCAGTGGGAGGAAACCCGACGACCCGGAGAAAACCCACGAGGTTGGACAGGCGATCCTACTCCTTGTCACGTACAACCGGGAATGAGCACTAAAGAATTGAAATTGGTGGAGGTGGGGGTTGGAGCAAATTTCATAATGATTAAAAGATGCTTTTCAGATCGAAAAGGTATATATAAACATGTTTACAGTAGCAAGTACATGACGTCAGAAAGGTTAATCCCGACAAAAATACGATAAACACTATTCCACAATCAGATGATCGAGGCCCAGCTGGTGGGGATTAACAAAGTCAGACAGGTTTCCTTATTTATTCTCTGACACAATAATCAGCCATCTAACACCCCATGTACAATTCTGTTGCTAAATCTAGCCTCTATTACCATTCCAATTGTCTGTCTAATGCCCATAATAGGAAAGGATAAGTCTATGGATTCCGTGTCCATTACTGTTTTATTAGTGTCGTTGAACCAGGCTGATCGTTATGCAATATATCGATAGGCCATTAATGGACTTGTGCGAGACTAGCAGGAATGAAATAAGAGAAAACAAGTTGGCTTGTTCGCAAATAGAATGATCTAATACTCTTACATGTAAAATTACTTAGATATAATCTAATGCTGCCAACGGGCATTAATCTACCAAAATCCACTCTCCAAGTTGGGGACGGCTGGCCATCTGAAATGTAGAATTAAATTGAATTACAGTTTGAATATTCGAGATTTTTTTGTTTAATAGATGACATCCGATTTGTTAGAGAATATGGCCGTGGGGCCCACCATTTAAACAATTTTTTAGCCGACACTTGTTGATGGTGTCTATCACGCTATTACTTTCACCGGTGAAGTTTACAGAGAAATTATTTTTCCACCAACAAACTTCCGTCGAAAAACAAACCAGTGAAGTACCCTCCTTTTTTTGGAAATTACTTAAAATTGATAGCCCAAAAGAAATGAATGAAATGGGGCTTTCGGATAGCCCAAAAGAGATATAATCAAAGTTTGAAGCAGCTAGGTCCATAATCTGCTGATTGTTGACTCGGCATTTTAAAGAAATATGCCATTATCTAACACATTCAAAGGATAGAATCAGAAAACATGGCAAACTTTCAGTCTGTACAAATGAGATGAAAGAAGTCACCAGGGTATTGTATAAACTGTCTGTATATTACCATAACGTTACTGGTACTACGGTCAACGGCTAGACGGTTTTATAGTTGATATGTAAGATCGAAATAATATACTTCACTCGCTCAAAATTTATGTTTTGAACTCTCAATTTACGACCAGAATGTCCACCATATTGCGAAACATGAGTTTCCAATGTTCACGTGCCTCTGGTCCTGTAGATAAATACGCCAAAGATCTCTTTGAATTCTAAGATCATAGGTGGAAGAATTAGGAATCTTTCGCACATTGTCGAGTTTAATTTGCAACTGAAACCCATTTAAGTCTACGGGTACCATATGAACTCTGGGCTCGCATCTTTAAACTGCATTAGTTGAAGCAGCACAGAGAAAAGATGGAACAGCATGGATGGTATCTTGTTATTCACCATTAAATGATTTATGATTCAGTAGTCTTTCTATCAAAAATAATCAAGAGAATCACGCTATCACTCAAAGATGTAGACAACTACATTAAGTGCTACCATATTTATCTTCAGGTCAACACGACACCATCTTTATAATCAATTCTTACCAGTTCTTGAACAAGTGTCTAAACTTCCGTCGACTGCGAGACTAGCATCACCATCTACTTCCGGTAGGAAATCACTCGTTCTGTCCGTGGACGATTGTTTGGCAGGTTTATTAAAGGCGTAATTATTCAGTTTCACCAACTGATCTGGAAATAAACCAAAAAATAAGAAAAAAACAATGGCTGTCATCAATAAGATATTGACAATCTTCCTGTAGAACTGTAATTCAATATCTAATACGACCAAATATAGAAATTAAACGTCAGAGGATGACAACTGTAACGCATTTGTTTAAATGTCAAGGGATAATAATTGTAACACTACATTTGGTTAAGGTTAGAGGTTGAAAACATTGCATGACTAATAAATACTTTCCAGTTTCCACACGGAATATACCGATGTTTCTGGCTGTTCGCGTGCATCAGCTGTAAGAATATCTTATAACAAGACAAAGTTAAAAAAATTTCCAAAAACAAAACCATATCCATCAATGCATTCAATCATTTTTAACCTACGTTGTGTAAATTAACAGTTGTTTTTTCAAATACAGTTTGCCAGGCAACGAAAATGCCCACTTACATACTTCCTTTTATACTCTATAATATTAGACACAATCTGATTAAGTTACAGATCTGTATGTCGTTTCGTTTATTTTTATACTTTCGATGGCCTACGTGTACACTACATAGAGATCTGACAAGTTATAGTGGGAGTTCACGTAAGGGGTCAAACGAGCGGCTTTTGACCCTATGATGTGGGACATGATTAATCAATCAGCGTTGACGTTTTTTGTGTTTTACCCACAGTTCCGTGCATAAAAAGGCCAAGAACTCTCCGTAACAGGCCGTTTCATTGGCTAATTCCGCACATCAAGTAGAACGCCTGTTATATAACAACTCTTCCAGATCCTAGTGTAGTAAAGACAAGTAAAACGAAATGTTGAACTATACTGACGTCCAAAAGAAAGTATACACACTAAAAGTATGACTAAGTTTTGTTTAGATTAAAAACATTTGATAAAGCATTACTGAGTTTGTCTCTTGAGTCCAAACTCAACATTTCTAAGCAAAATAAAAATGTGAAACAAATTGACATTCTACCCTAATACCGTATACCATGGAAAAACGACTTTGGTTGATGCAGCACGAAATGCACAGTGCATACTTACTTTCTTTTGGACGTTAGTATATAAAAACGAAACGAAATAGGAGCTGTATTTTAACCAGATTGTTAGAGAGACACGAAATGAGAACGGCATTATTCAACCGCAATATGGGCGTCTAAAAAGGTCTATCGTTCATTATTTTAACATCAAAAAGCCCCGGACCAAAGGACTAGTCATTTAAATGTTTAAGAACTTTATTGATAATCTGTTAAATTACTCTTTTGTAAATATTAAGCAGTTGACAATTGTCTGCGATATTACCTCGGTGGAAGCGGACGTTAAATAAACCTATTCCACACAATTATTTATATTTGCGTATGATGTCTTCGTTAAACATTATAGTGCAGCAGCAAATATTTAACGACTACTCTTGAATAAACCTTCAAATGTTGCAATCCATGCAATGTACTTTGTAAAAAAAATAAGTATTCTCTATATCTTTTTCTCGGATCTTTTTGATGTGGCATTAAAACGTAACACAAAGGGGTCACATTCTTTTAACAAGTACACTGTAATCAGTCTGAAAAAAAAAATTTGCTTTTTGAAACCGATATTGGTGTAAATTAATCAAGAGTGTGCTTTACAAAACTGTTCTCTCTAATTATTTAGAATTGCTGTTTGAAGTTAATATTACACCCGTGTCTACCATAGTTTAACACAGGCATTAATCCTACTAGATGTCTACTTTAGTCTAAACAAAATCAATAGAACAGTATTGTACAAACTTGTAATAAAGTCCTTAATGTGTTGCAACAATCGTTAAACATTTACAAAAAACACCCGTGGTGGGTTGTTTATCCTCCCGGGTTTGGATTACTCCTTGAATGAAAGATTGCAGGAATGCTTGAAAAAATGATTGTACAAATTAATAATTATTAAACTGTTAACGTGGTGGAATAATCGTTGAACATTTACAAAAAACACCAACGAAAGCGCATTTGTGATCGTGTGGGATGTTAATTTTCCCGGGTTGGGATTACTCCTTGAGTGAAATAGTTCAGGAGTGTTTGAAAAATTTTAATTAAGTTAATCGGATGTGATTGCATGTAGATTTTGTAAAAATTTAAAGGAAATTGTTTGTTTTCACTGGGTATCCTTTGGTATATTCGGTAAAAGCATGTCAATTAAAGGCCAAACATGTCTAGATATATAACTTGTTTTAAATTTGTAAATAAGCGAATAATCCGCGGAAAAAATCTAAAATAATTTGCGAATTTGCAAATGCAAATTGTGGCGCATATCTGGACCTGAATACAACTTTATATCATTATACTGCAGCCAATAAAAATTCAATTTTATACGGATCATAGAATCAGAATAATAAGTGAATTTTTTTATACTAGTGCCGGATTAGGGCTCTGTTGGCTCTAAGGTACATTTTGATAGGTGGCCTAAAAATACAGATATTTTGGATTCACCTATAAAAGTTACATAACATAAAGGGGAGCATTTTGTCGTCTCCTAATAATTATCAAAATTGAAATTTAATTTATTTTTTTGCGGGTTGGATTTCTGGCTGACCCTAATACACGTGCCTTATTTGCCTAATGGTTCAATCCAGCACTGCCGGGAACCTGCCAACACCCCCACCCTTTCCGACCCGCTACTGCTAAATTGGTACTTATCATACCCATGAAGACACACATTCAGTTTGTCGGGCACTAAACCAATCAAATTTGCTCGGGATCCTTTAATTACTACAAACATATCTTGTTACAGGATAATTCTAATCTTGTATACGCAAAGACATAGGACATGCTCAAGCATTGATAAACTACCATAATAATTTGAATTTTATAGCAGACTAGAATTTTTTTTTATTTCATACATATTTATTTTGACAGAAATCAAAGAACTTGCAGATCAAACGAATCCAAGTTTCTTAGTGATTATTGTGGACAGTAAAATAAAAAAAAATCGAATCAAGAAGAAAATGAAGATCAAAGAAAATTAGAGAGAAGGGTTGAAATGTTAAAGTTATAAGACCAAGGTGTCAGGAATGGATAGAAATCTTATAAATCAAGATTAATGCCACATTCTAAAGGTCATTAATATAGTTCTCAATTTGAGTATTAATTTGGAATGACATTGAACAGGGAAGGTTGTACACCCTAACGACGTAATAAAATACTTTCTAATTCATCCAGTTCTTTGTGAGTTCCTGCAGAAAGCATTCGCTGGAATATATTGATCATTTTCTTTCATCTACTATACTGAAAATGTGTTGAATGTTCCTTAAGTAATTATGCTGGAATCATGTGGGAAAGGCCATCTACAGTTATTAGGAATCCAGGGATAGATTTTAGACATTACTTCAAAAAGTGTTCTTCCACTTCATCACCTATTCGGCTAAGTTTTCAACAACAAAGAATAAAATCTATAACAGCAGAAAATGAAACCCTGTTAAGACATTTCTAAGATCAGACTCTGCTGGTGTATTGAGATCTAAAGTTCTTTAATAAAAAACAAAACAATGTGATACGAATCTGATCAAATATATTATATTATATTCTAAAAGACATTTCATTAATTACGTCTATCAAACAAGCTCAGCGAAATTGGATTTGCAATGGCGGTGAGTTTGTGCAGTAGAGTGGTCTAACGCCTACGCTTTAGATCATAAGGTTTGTCATTGAGTCAAGGGTTGTGGTTTCGATCCCAGGCGTTAACGTAACAAGAGGGTGGTCTGTTTAACTTCTTGGGTTTTCTCGGAGTCCTCTGATTGTCCCCCGAGCCCCCCCCCCCCTCCTCGCCTTCACAACAGTGTCTGTAAATTATGAATACATATTTACCATTCAGATAAGAAATAACTGCGAAATCCGAGAATTTAAGACCAGTTGTCAAACACATGTTGGATTATCGATCTAAATTTCACCGCTCCTGGGATTAATATTGTTACACGTGTCTATATTAAATAATCGACATTATATGTATGTAATAGCTCGCTTCTCTTCAAATGTTGTCGGTCCCATGGCTTTACACCACATGTTGAGACGCGCATTTCAAAATCCGAGGCTATTTGGAATGTAATTATATTTTAGTCACGATTGTCCGGTCTATTTTTTGCAGCGGCACAGAATTCTTAAGGCTTCGTGGACGTTGCCTGTCCATCTATACACGGCCCATGGTAAATCTAATCAAACGAAAGTAGGTTTATAAGGAAATTGTATATATGGCTTTAATGTCTATTTATATAAATATATCAAATAAATAAGAATCCTTAGAATGTACTGACAGGATTGTAAATCACATTTATAAATCTCGGCAGAGTGAAACCTCTTAATGATTTATGGAAATCGCCTAAACATCCTAGCAACTCCAAAAAAAACCAGAATTTTCATTTTTAAACTTTGAAAATTCCATATCTAACATCCTCGAATGACATTTAGAAATAGAGGTATAACATTCATAATGAAACAACTTTATGGATTTAATTACTACTTTTTATTTTATTACAAATGAAAATGAAATGGAATGGGGGTTTAACGTGCTACTGTTCTGCTCTGACTGGGCTAATGAAGACGGGTATACGCCATACAATGTGCTATGAGGGAAATTTTGCCCGGACAGCGGAGCTACGGCCTACACTTATATCGAATTCCAACTGCCAAGGGATCTCTTACGTGTACACCAATGTGTACACGGGACCTCGGATTTTTGTCCTATCCGAACGACTAGACAGCTGTCCTTGTGAGGCCCTCCGTCCTGCACAACTGACAAGGAGAAACCGAACTTTCTCGGCCAACCCTGGGATCGAACCCGCGACCTCCAGGCTAGAGAGCTAGCGTCTTACTCACTTAGCCACCGTGGCTCCCTTATTTTATTACATGCAGAGTATTAAAATATTGGGTGGAATAAAAAAGGAGTAGAAATTACATGCACACAGTTATCTTATCTAGTTTTAAAAACAACAAACTGCTGACAGCACATTATTTCGCACAGTAAAAAACTAGTGTTTACTTGTTGCTACTTCCTGTTTCCTAGTGTTAATGGAGTTCCTGCCGTTGCCGCAAAAACACGAAACTTGATCGAACTTGAAGCAATATTTAATATATATGTTCCCGGAATTCATTGTATTTACAGATTCTAAATCAATTGTCAAAGACAACTTCATCTGTAAACGTCTTGAATCTAGTACAGAGGTTATTTTCAGACAGCTTGGACAGATTTAGATTCCGTCTTTCAACCCAATTTATATATTAGATAACCACGTCGCATCTATTTGTCCGCCGTCTTCAAATTCACGTCTGGAACTCAGTATAATTAGAAATTCTACGGAGGCTACTGTGTAATCTGGAGAATTAGGAATCTTTCGCACATTGTCGAGTTTAATTTGCAACTGAAACCCATTTAAGTCTACGGGTACCATATGAACTCTGGGCTCGCATCTTTAAACTGCATTAGTTGAAGCAGCACAGAGAAAAGATGGAACAGCATGGATGGTATCTTGTTATTCACCATTAAATGATTTATGATTCAGTAGTCTTTCTATCAAAAATAATCAAGAGAATCACGCTATCACTCAAAGATGTAGACAACTACATTAAGTGCTACCATATTTATCTTCAGGTCAACACGACACCATCTTTATAATCAATTCTTACCAGTTCTTGAACAAGTGTCTAAACTTCCGTCGACTGCGAGACTAGCATCACCATCTACTTCCGGTAGGAAATCACTCGTTCTGTCCGTGGACGATTGTTTGGCAGGTTTATTAAAGGCGTAATTATTCAGTTTCACCAACTGATCTGGAAATAAACCAAAAAATAAGAAAAAAACAATGGCTGTCATCAATAAGATATTGACAATCTTCCTGTAGAACTGTAATTCAATATCTAATACGACCAAATATAGAAATTAAACGTCAGAGGATGACAACTGTAACGCATTTGTTTAAATGTCAAGGGATAATAATTGTAACACTACATTTGGTTAAGGTTAGAGGTTGAAAACATTGCATGACTAATAAATACTTTCCAGTTTCCACACGGAATATACCGATGTTTCTGGCTGTTCGCGTGCATCAGCTGTAAGAATATCTTATAACAAGACAAAGTTAAAAAAATTTCCAAAAACAAAACCATATCCATCAATGCATTCAATCATTTTTAACCTACGTTGTGTAAATTAACAGTTGTTTTTTCAAATACAGTTTGCCAGGCAACGAAAATGCCCACTTACATACTTCCTTTTATACTCTATAATATTAGACACAATCTGATTAAGTTACAGATCTGTATGTCGTTTCGTTTATTTTTATACTTTCGATGGCCTACGTGTACACTACATAGAGATCTGACAAGTTATAGTGGGAGTTCACGTAAGGGGTCAAACGAGCGGCTTTTGACCCTATGATGTGGGACATGATTAATCAATCAGCGTTGACGTTTTTTGTGTTTTACCCACAGTTCCGTGCATAAAAAGGCCAAGAACTCTCCGTAACAGGCCGTTTCATTGGCTAATTCCGCACATCAAGTAGAACGCCTGTTATATAACAACTCTTCCAGATCCTAGTGTAGTAAAGACAAGTAAAACGAAATGTTGAACTATACTGACGTCCAAAAGAAAGTATACACACTAAAAGTATGACTAAGTTTTGTTTAGATTAAAAACATTTGATAAAGCATTACTGAGTTTGTCTCTTGAGTCCAAACTCAACATTTCTAAGCAAAATAAAAATGTGAAACAAATTGACATTCTACCCTAATACCGTATACCATGGAAAAACGACTTTGGTTGATGCAGCACGAAATGCACAGTGCATACTTACTTTCTTTTGGACGTTAGTATATAAAAACGAAACGAAATAGGAGCTGTATTTTAACCAGATTGTTAGAGAGACACGAAATGAGAACGGCATTATTCAACCGCAATATGGGCGTCTAAAAAGGTCTATCGTTCATTATTTTAACATCAAAAAGCCCCGGACCAAAGGACTAGTCATTTAAATGTTTAAGAACTTTATTGATAATCTGTTAAATTACTCTTTTGTAAATATTAAGCAGTTGACAATTGTCTGCGATATTACCTCGGTGGAAGCGGACGTTAAATAAACCTATTCCACACAATTATTTATATTTGCGTATGATGTCTTCGTTAAACATTATAGTGCAGCAGCAAATATTTAACGACTACTCTTGAATAAACCTTCAAATGTTGCAATCCATGCAATGTACTTTGTAAAAAAAATAAGTATTCTCTATATCTTTTTCTCGGATCTTTTTGATGTGGCATTAAAACGTAACACAAAGGGGTCACATTCTTTTAACAAGTACACTGTAATCAGTCTGAAAAAAAAAATTTGCTTTTTGAAACCGATATTGGTGTAAATTAATCAAGAGTGTGCTTTACAAAACTGTTCTCTCTAATTATTTAGAATTGCTGTTTGAAGTTAATATTACACCCGTGTCTACCATAGTTTAACACAGGCATTAATCCTACTAGATGTCTACTTTAGTCTAAACAAAATCAATAGAACAGTATTGTACAAACTTGTAATAAAGTCCTTAATGTGTTGCAACAATCGTTAAACATTTACAAAAAACACCCGTGGTGGGTTGTTTATCCTCCCGGGTTTGGATTACTCCTTGAATGAAAGATTGCAGGAATGCTTGAAAAAATGATTGTACAAATTAATAATTATTAAACTGTTAACGTGGTGGAATAATCGTTGAACATTTACAAAAAACACCAACGAAAGCGCATTTGTGATCGTGTGGGATGTTAATTTTCCCGGGTTGGGATTACTCCTTGAGTGAAATAGTTCAGGAGTGTTTGAAAAATTTTAATTAAGTTAATCGGATGTGATTGCATGTAGATTTTGTAAAAATTTAAAGGAAATTGTTTGTTTTCACTGGGTATCCTTTGGTATATTCGGTAAAAGCATGTCAATTAAAGGCCAAACATGTCTAGATATATAACTTGTTTTAAATTTGTAAATAAGCGAATAATCCGCGGAAAAAATCTAAAATAATTTGCGAATTTGCAAATGCAAATTGTGGCGCATATCTGGACCTGAATACAACTTTATATCATTATACTGCAGCCAATAAAAATTCAATTTTATACGGATCATAGAATCAGAATAATAAGTGAATTTTTTTATACTAGTGCCGGATTAGGGCTCTGTTGGCTCTAAGGTACATTTTGATAGGTGGCCTAAAAATACAGATATTTTGGATTCACCTATAAAAGTTACATAACATAAAGGGGAGCATTTTGTCGTCTCCTAATAATTATCAAAATTGAAATTTAATTTATTTTTTTGCGGGTTGGATTTCTGGCTGACCCTAATACACGTGCCTTATTTGCCTAATGGTTCAATCCAGCACTGCCGGGAACCTGCCAACACCCCCACCCTTTCCGACCCGCTACTGCTAAATTGGTACTTATCATACCCATGAAGACACACATTCAGTTTGTCGGGCACTAAACCAATCAAATTTGCTCGGGATCCTTTAATTACTACAAACATATCTTGTTACAGGATAATTCTAATCTTGTATACGCAAAGACATAGGACATGCTCAAGCATTGATAAACTACCATAATAATTTGAATTTTATAGCAGACTAGAATTTTTTTTTATTTCATACATATTTATTTTGACAGAAATCAAAGAACTTGCAGATCAAACGAATCCAAGTTTCTTAGTGATTATTGTGGACAGTAAAATAAAAAAAAATCGAATCAAGAAGAAAATGAAGATCAAAGAAAATTAGAGAGAAGGGTTGAAATGTTAAAGTTATAAGACCAAGGTGTCAGGAATGGATAGAAATCTTATAAATCAAGATTAATGCCACATTCTAAAGGTCATTAATATAGTTCTCAATTTGAGTATTAATTTGGAATGACATTGAACAGGGAAGGTTGTACACCCTAACGACGTAATAAAATACTTTCTAATTCATCCAGTTCTTTGTGAGTTCCTGCAGAAAGCATTCGCTGGAATATATTGATCATTTTCTTTCATCTACTATACTGAAAATGTGTTGAATGTTCCTTAAGTAATTATGCTGGAATCATGTGGGAAAGGCCATCTACAGTTATTAGGAATCCAGGGATAGATTTTAGACATTACTTCAAAAAGTGTTCTTCCACTTCATCACCTATTCGGCTAAGTTTTCAACAACAAAGAATAAAATCTATAACAGCAGAAAATGAAACCCTGTTAAGACATTTCTAAGATCAGACTCTGCTGGTGTATTGAGATCTAAAGTTCTTTAATAAAAAACAAAACAATGTGATACGAATCTGATCAAATATATTATATTATATTCTAAAAGACATTTCATTAATTACGTCTATCAAACAAGCTCAGCGAAATTGGATTTGCAATGGCGGTGAGTTTGTGCAGTAGAGTGGTCTAACGCCTACGCTTTAGATCATAAGGTTTGTCATTGAGTCAAGGGTTGTGGTTTCGATCCCAGGCGTTAACGTAACAAGAGGGTGGTCTGTTTAACTTCTTGGGTTTTCTCGGAGTCCTCTGATTGTCCCCCGAGCCCCCCCCCCCCTCCTCGCCTTCACAACAGTGTCTGTAAATTATGAATACATATTTACCATTCAGATAAGAAATAACTGCGAAATCCGAGAATTTAAGACCAGTTGTCAAACACATGTTGGATTATCGATCTAAATTTCACCGCTCCTGGGATTAATATTGTTACACGTGTCTATATTAAATAATCGACATTATATGTATGTAATAGCTCGCTTCTCTTCAAATGTTGTCGGTCCCATGGCTTTACACCACATGTTGAGACGCGCATTTCAAAATCCGAGGCTATTTGGAATGTAATTATATTTTAGTCACGATTGTCCGGTCTATTTTTTGCAGCGGCACAGAATTCTTAAGGCTTCGTGGACGTTGCCTGTCCATCTATACACGGCCCATGGTAAATCTAATCAAACGAAAGTAGGTTTATAAGGAAATTGTATATATGGCTTTAATGTCTATTTATATAAATATATCAAATAAATAAGAATCCTTAGAATGTACTGACAGGATTGTAAATCACATTTATAAATCTCGGCAGAGTGAAACCTCTTAATGATTTATGGAAATCGCCTAAACATCCTAGCAACTCCAAAAAAAACCAGAATTTTCATTTTTAAACTTTGAAAATTCCATATCTAACATCCTCGAATGACATTTAGAAATAGAGGTATAACATTCATAATGAAACAACTTTATGGATTTAATTACTACTTTTTATTTTATTACAAATGAAAATGAAATGGAATGGGGGTTTAACGTGCTACTGTTCTGCTCTGACTGGGCTAATGAAGACGGGTATACGCCATACAATGTGCTATGAGGGAAATTTTGCCCGGACAGCGGAGCTACGGCCTACACTTATATCGAATTCCAACTGCCAAGGGATCTCTTACGTGTACACCAATGTGTACACGGGACCTCGGATTTTTGTCCTATCCGAACGACTAGACAGCTGTCCTTGTGAGGCCCTCCGTCCTGCACAACTGACAAGGAGAAACCGAACTTTCTCGGCCAACCCTGGGATCGAACCCGCGACCTCCAGGCTAGAGAGCTAGCGTCTTACTCACTTAGCCACCGTGGCTCCCTTATTTTATTACATGCAGAGTATTAAAATATTGGGTGGAATAAAAAAGGAGTAGAAATTACATGCACACAGTTATCTTATCTAGTTTTAAAAACAACAAACTGCTGACAGCACATTATTTCGCACAGTAAAAAACTAGTGTTTACTTGTTGCTACTTCCTGTTTCCTAGTGTTAATGGAGTTCCTGCCGTTGCCGCAAAAACACGAAACTTGATCGAACTTGAAGCAATATTTAATATATATGTTCCCGGAATTCATTGTATTTACAGATTCTAAATCAATTGTCAAAGACAACTTCATCTGTAAACGTCTTGAATCTAGTACAGAGGTTATTTTCAGACAGCTTGGACAGATTTAGATTCCGTCTTTCAACCCAATTTATATATTAGATAACCACGTCGCATCTATTTGTCCGCCGTCTTCAAATTCACGTCTGGAACTCAGTATAATTAGAAATTCTACGGAGGCTACTGTGTAATCTGGAGAAGTCGCGACTTATATGTTTAAACTATTTAAAAATCGTTTCGTTTAGAAATCCGTCAAAGGACTCTCTTTGAACCAGAAGATTCTGTACTTAGTTACCGAATATTGGCGGCAGACTAACAGGTCGTTTAGAATCCGCCAAAAGAATTTCTTTCAACCAGAAATTTCAATACCGTGTGGAGACTATAGTGGACAGTTCTAACTTGTTATTCATAATTCAAGCATTAGGCAGAGTCAGCTTATTATTAATTGTATAATTCAAATAGTGGACAGACTAACTGCTTCTGTAGGGCCAACTTGCTATTTATAGGGCCAATTTGCAAATAGTTTTATATTAAAGTATACAAAGTGTGTAATTTTGTCTATACATGTTGCTTCAAATTTTGTTATATTGTATTAGCTTGAAAACTTTGAGAGAATACTCTTCGAAACGTCGCCTAAATAAACCAGTAGCTGTTTTCCATAAGTATGTTTATAGTTTATATATAATAGGGCTAATTTTTTACTAGTTTATTTCAGACTGTTGCATTACCCTATAGTTCAGAATAGTTCATTTAGCTACCCCGTGATCTTTTTAAGAAATTGGAAACTTCTGTAAATCATGGTAATCTGCAAACGATTTGCACCGTATCAGAATATGACGTGTATCGTTTCCCCATGGATTGTTTACCAGTTTGTTCTGAATCTATAATGGTAACAATAATTTTATTCATTTGACATTGCGCCAAAAATCCGAATACACATAATGTTGCTCTACTTGGACTTTATAACACAGTTAACAAGACAAATAAATCAGCTTTAATCTAATCCACACCTTTTCCCTAATAAATAAAAAGAAAACCGCTACTTTAAATTAATTTCTCGCAATTTATTTAGACTGTCTGTTGATGGTCACGTAATTTGATCGAAAGCAGACGATTCTTTTCAGGCATCAAGATGGTCGTGTTTGTACTTTCAAATTTATAACATTAGTTTAGGCAGTCTGGAAATACAACTTTAAAGGGTCCCCGGCAGATAGCATAGGGTCAATACAATCTGCTATACTCAGTCAAATCTCTATCTTTCAAATGACTAACTGTGAAACTTTGTGCTATCAAATCTGACTAACTGTTGAAAAGGTATATGGAATTAAGCAGAGTCGGGTTTTTTTTACCGTAAGGGGAACCCGAACTGAGATCATTCTCGGCCAACAAATTAAAATTAAAACTTCAAATTTAAGATTGAACTCCCAAAGCGAGGAAGTAGCGTCTAAATGTTTGAACACGGCGGTAGTAACATTATATATTCGTTCTATTATGTATGAATTTATTGCCTTAGGGGACAAAGTGTCTTATCGGCTCGTGGGCCTTGAAGTCAAGAAAAACATCTAGTGACATTATTCCCTACTTAATGGAGAAGTTGGTCATTAAATCAAACCTTGATTAACTACTTGTTTGTATAAACAGGTTCCTTATCGATTTTTGCACCCAATTCCAACCAAAACATTTTCATTAAACTGACAAAACATTAACCATCTCCACGTTACAGAATTACATACAACCATTTAATTCTCTGATCAATTCTATAACACATTATAATCTACTATGCGACCAGATCAGCCGGTCAGACAAAAGTACTTTACAGTTATCCAAACTATTTTGGTTTTATCTCCAACTATATTTTATATACAACAACATGGGGCCAGGTTATCTCTTAGATTCGTCTGTGAATCTTTGAATTTAAAATGCGGCCATTCATAACAGAATGTGTCTATTTTCCACTAAAGGAAATCCACATTTAGAAAATATATAGTTTCTTGAAGTTGTTGTATACATGTACATACACTATGTGGATTCCAGAAAACAATTCTAAATTTGCTTCAAATGTTTAAACATACATTATGCAAGAGCTAAATCTGCCAATTGCAGGTCTTTCTTTATTATTGATTAAACATTAATTAACTTATCCAAACCATAATCAACTCTCGATGGCATCGCTAACGTGTAATATTTACTGGATTAGAACCCGGTCTGCTGTTCTGATTAAATCAAAAAATGGATAATCGAGACTATGTTCTTTTATCGTACCGACTTTAGTAATGATGATCGAGGCTAGGTCCAAAATTCAAGCGCTAAATACTCGGTTCAGAGTGGATCAATTTGACTGAAATTTTCAGCAAATTCCCTTTACATTATCTAGTTTTAACTATTATAATGAGAACTGCCAGCTCTTTATCTAATCTCCCATAATATATCTTTAACCATATTCGGTCAATTTTCAACCCGACATTGTGGTATGGTGCCGAGAAAGTTCCTCATGAATTTGCCTGCTTAGTCTAGCAGACAAATGCGTCTCGTCGTTGGGGTTCCACCCGTTACTCTTTGGCATGCACGTAATAGAACCACTGACTGAATTCTATGGTAAGTATAGCCCCTCATAGAAAACTGCACATGACCCCGTCTTCATTACTTCGACTGGTGCCGAAAACTAGGGCGTTAACTAAATCGCATTTCATTTCATTTTATTTTTGGGGATCACGTGGCTAAGTGGGTAAGACGCTGGCCCGCTAGCCTGGAGGTCGGGTGTTCGATCCCTGCATTGGCCGAGAAAGTTCATCCAGATTTTCCGGCGTCGTTCCCCCTTGTCAGTGATGCAGGACAGAGGGTCTGACAAGGACAGCTGTCTAGTCCTTCGGATGAGAAGAAAAACCGAGGTCCCGTGTATACATTGGAATGCACGTAAAAGATCCCTTGGCAATTGGAATTCGATTTAAGAGTAGGCGACAGTGCCGCTGCCCGGGCAAAATTTCCCTCATAGCACACTGTATGGCGTATGCTCGTCTTCATTAGCCCAGTATAGGAGCAGAACAGTAGGACGTTAAACCCCATTTCATTTCATTTCTCTATTCTCCAAGGGTTTTGTATAGCAATGTAATCTTGACGCAATCTTCTCAAGTCAAACATGCCTTTAATAGCTTTCTGATGACAGACAGGATATTTAGGAATGATTACATAAATCTTTCTGATTACACGAAAAGGATTTTAATTTAAAAGCAGTTAAAGATAATCATGATCTCGTCATTCCCAAATATTAATTGTATTTTTCGGATCCTATATTATACCAATAGATCGTTTGAATTAAATGACAATGTGTTTTCTGAAGACAACATGATATTCTACTTTTTCATCTATGTAGCGCAGGTTTTTCCCGAAACACGCGCAGATCAGTTTGTGGTTCGATACGCTTTATTTTACTATTCTATGATTAACAGAACATAATTTTTATGGGAAATAATCACTTTGTTTTATTATATGCGCACGACGTTTGACAAGTATCCTGTTATCGTTATCGGGGGGGGGGGGGGGTGGCCGAGTGGTTAGCGTGTGCGCTGTATTATAAGGCCTGTCATTGAGTTAACTGGCGTGGTTTCGATTCCCCGGTTGTACGTGACAAGGAATATGGTCGCCTGTCCAACCTCGTGGGGTTTCTCTCGGTCCTCGGGTTTCCTCCCACTGCTAAAGACCCTACTCGCAAGCGTATTATTGAAATAAAATTGATCCATATGTTTGTCCCGAGATGACCTAGTCTGTGTCGAGTGGACGTTACCCCCCCCCCCCCCTCTGTTATCGTTATCATTGTACTTGACAACGATAAGAGGATACTTGTCGAAACGTCGTGCGTATATAATAAAACTAGTGATTATTCCCCATTATGTCAGATTATATTATAAGAATCCTTCTAACATCCCACTCCTAACCACATAAATGACTGAAGAATTGTGATGGCGAAACTTTAAACCCAAATCCATCATTGCATAGCAGTGACGATTTTTGATATTCACGCCATTTACCAATCCATTATAGCATTTGGCTGAGAACGCAAAGACTCCAAGTATTGGACAGTCTAATCGAAGTCTTACTTATTCCGGTAAAAGCGAGCGAGAGAGAGAGAGAGACGGAGAGGGAGAGAGAAAGAGAGACGGAGAGAGAGAGAGAGACGGAGAGAGAGAGAGAAAGAGAGACGGAGAGGTGGGAGTTTTAATGACATGTAAGTATCATTAAATGGCTGGCGAACAGGGCTATAGAAATATCAATGTAAGGTCTTCTACGACAACGCAACGGTTTAGGCCGATGGATGGTTATCAACCAAGCACCCCGCTATCCCGCCCGCAATAACAATGGCCAATTTAGTCATTTAAACCATTTGCAAATTTATTTGGTAAATTGGACATAAGTAACGTTAACAACTAACTTACCAACAGTAAAAAATTCATCACCGATTTCTTTCTGGATACCTTCATGCACCGGATGTTGAATCTGGATAACAAAGATAAAATCATACATATTTAACATTTACTACAAGAATTAGAACTATAAATGAGTTCTCTGAATTATTATTATTGTTCGATTTATATAGCGCTTCATTACACGTGAAGTGTTTCTAAGCGCATATCACAGACATATACTTCAAACACACAGAAACAATCAAAATCAGGGAACATAATTAAACACAGCTGCCTGTTAGGCGCTATTATTCAAAGGTTTATATCCAACAAATCAACCGGCTAATCTCTATATTGAACTCAGTCGAGGTATTATTACCTGATGAACACCTACACCAAGTAGAGTTCAAAAAAATAAAAACGAAATTTAAAAGAATCAACTTCATTAACAAAAATTAAACAATCAAAAACTAAACAGATAAATCAAATTCAAACGAAACAAATAAAACAAATGAAATGAAAAGAGCAGTTCATTACTATTCTACATTAACAAAATAAAGGAAATCAACTTGTGAAATTTGTTTTTTTTTTTCATATGGTCTAAAATTTTAGTTTGAAGTTCAAATAGGAGATATCATCAGCATATATTGCTACAGTTGTCACTGCTTTTGGTGATACTCAACTACAGTTTTAACTTGGAATAGGTACTATGTAGATGATAACAGGGAAAGGTGACAAGCAGAGTAAGCATTATTCGTTTTGTAGCTGGTCTGATTCCAGCGTACACGGAATCGGAATCAAGCATTTAGTGTTATCATCCATAAACTCATTTTGAAACGGTTTCGTATAATGGTGCGTGGTGCGTTCAAATCTTTTCAGTTCGGTGGCGCAGTGAGTATGGCCCGGTTTCGATCCGGGTGTTGGCTGAGAAATTTTCACGGGTCAACGGCACAGGGCGGGTGGGGCGAAAACTCGATGCCCTCCTTGTACTCGTTGGCGTGCACGGAAAGAACCCTTGACAGTTAAAATTTGTCAGGGTTTTTTATTCATAGCAGACTGCATGGCGTATGTTAGTCTTCAGTAACTCGGTAAATCCCATTTTTTTTATTTTATTTCATTCCATTTAACTTTTTCCTTCCGTGACAGTAAAATCATATTTTATCAGATTACAAGTTTCAAAATCAATAAAATCATACCAGATGCAAGTTCCTGGTAGTTTTTTTTAGTTCTCTATTGTAATCAAAAGATGACCTGATAAGTGCAGTTTTTGAAAAGGTCTGAAATCAAATTGCTTTTCCTTGTTGAAAAGGCTGGTTTTTATCTAAAAGCATCTCGTTCAGACGCTGAATTTATGATTGGTTTAGGAAATAATATTATGCAAATGACACGTTTCGTTTCTGGTAGCCGGAAATGTGTTAATTTTAGTTACTTTGCAGACATTTATGCAAAATTTAAAGGGGCTAAGATCACAACATCAATGTTGATTTAAATTGATAAATAACTTGTGTTTTCAATGTTGAAGATTTTGGATGATATTGAGTTAGAGACTTAGCTACTTTAAGCTTTGTTCACACCACCCCATTTTTAGCAGATTTCTACAGACATCCCGGATATTACTAAACAAAGCTTTTGAGTGTTCTGTTATCGACATGATGACAACTTAATACAGAATATGACCATGACTTGGACGTGAACCCAAGTAAGTCAACATTGATGCGATAATGAATAATACTTACAGTAAATGTAGTTATCTGCCGACATTCGTGTAACCTCAGTGACCCCGCTACAATTAAGCCTAGAGCAACACAGGTTAGTATAATACCTAATAATAACGTAGAACCATGACTACATCGTGATAAAGTTCGTTTAGAGAAAAAACGACTTTTGGGATAAAATGGCGCCTTTTTAACACTCGTATTCCTTCCATCCCATACACCGTTCTCCCACGACAACACTGGTACATTGTCTGTGCGTTCTACGTCTTCAGTTTCTGGACATTCTGTCGTACCTTGATTAAAGGCCGTATTTGGTGTCTCCGTTTGCATCGTTGTAGGTTAATGTATCTGCAAAAATAGATAAAACGTTTAAGTAGAAATTCGAAAATATGATAAAAAATTTCACCTTTTTTTTTAAGTAAGCATTATTTTTGACGATGTACTCAATTTACAGCGATTGTAAAACACAGAAATAAATACGAAACGAAATTTTAATTGACACAGTAAAATTGTTATTTCGCCAGTGCCGATTTTAATAACTAATAAGCCAAAACATACCGACCAAAAACTGCGATGAATTAAAATACATTTTGCTTTTTCTATTGTTCGGACATTTATCTGACCAAGACAAATGCATATGTACAATCAACCTTAGTGCACTGTGAATAAAACCCATCTTCACAACGCCAAGATGTGGAGATGTATTTGACAAATATTTCATGCCTAACGACAACATACTGGAGTTTCCTTGAATGTAACGCAAACATACCATCGACCAGCAATTATCTCCTGGCACCATTAGTGAAACGAAAATGACTAACCCGAAGCACAGAAAATTCAATATTTAACAAATTAATAACTGTTATGTAGTATTCTATTTCTTCAGTAATGTTTGTTTAGGTGTTAATCCGTTTCGTGGATTAATCCGTGACGTAAACCCTGGCCCTATACAATAAATAACGACATATTTTCTAAACAGGAATTGATATACGTCGACAGAGCAGTGGACATAATATGTTATGCACCAAGCTATAATACATTGTACGACTATTAGTTGGGTTATTAAATCTTTATATCTATTTTGGGGCATTAAGTGAAAGCATCGATTAGTGAGTGTGCGAAATAACATTACTAACGTCCGCTTTTGCAATGAATTAACATCGCAGAGACAAGTCATTAGTTAATATTTTTGAAAAATATTTATGTCCGCCGAATTAGCTTCCGCTGTTGAAACGAATGTCTATAATATGACACACAAGGCTTAAATCTTAGTGTCACAAAGCAGAAAGAGACAGATGTAGAGATTACGCCAGGAAAAATTAAAACATATTACTATGGCAACGTGTGTGGGATTTATTCTGCCTTCTTAATTCTTGTTGTTATTATCTTGTTCTTTAGACGTAATATGTTATTCGTATTAGTTTTATTGACGAGATAACGACAATGGAGAAATCGTGCTTTAACAAGATTGCGATAATCAGTTTGAGATGTCATGCGGCAGTAGGTCAATAAGCATTGTCCTTGTTGGAATTTAACAAAAGTACAATAAAAAATATTCAAAAAGGTTAGTAACCATACTGGCCTCAATGTTCGAGGATAGAAATATTTTAACATTCATACGCCGACGGACCATTACAAGAAGTTGAATATGGGGGGGGGGGGGGTAAAATCCATAACTTTTTTATATTGATATTCGGAGAAAAATATGATTTAAGTAAGATTATTTTTTTATTTATAGGGTTATGAATTGCCTTATATTCTGTAAAACTGGGCCTTTAACGGCGAATTTTAGATCAGTTCTGAAACATATGTTTGATTTCTCATCATGTTATAGATTAACGATCCAAATCTCACTGCTAATGGCTTTAAATGTTCAATGTAAAGAGACGTGTCTGTTTAAAAATAAATTATTCTATCGATATTATACGTTGTGGGTTCGGGTCCCGTTGCGCTACATTACATGCTGTGGGGTCGCTTGTCTTGGTCATTTATAGTTTACACTCATCCTACTAATTTCACATTACCAGTAGTATCTCTCAGACACGTAAAAATACCCCCTGCCCTCTGCCTCTGTCTGTTTTTGTCTCTCCTCACCCCCCCTCTCTCTCCAAATCAAAACACATTAAACATACATTAGGCCTGAAATGTTATATAAATTATTAATTAGACATTAATTAACTTATCCAGTCCATAATCAACTCTCGATGGCATCGCTAGCCTGCGATGTTTATTGGATTAGGTTTCGATTTCCTGTTCGACTTCCATTCATAATCTAATTATTATGGATAATCGAGACTATGTATCTTATCGTAAAGACTTTAGTAATGATGATCGAGGCTAGGCCGAAAATTCAATCGCTAAAATCTCGGATCAGGGTGGATCAATTTGACTGAGAATTTCAGCAAATTCCCTTTACATTATCTAGTTTTTTTTAACTATTATAGTGAGAACTACGAGCTCTTTATCTAATCTCCCATAATCTATCTTTAAATAATAGTAGATCTGCTATCTTCATGAAGACCTCGTCTCTTTCTATACATGCAAAAATTGAAAATAAAAACAACCGTGTTACTCTCAAAATAACATGGGTAAAGTCTCGACTAGATGTTTAACCCCGTTCTATTCTACTTTTATCATCACTACTTCTACATTGAACACGATCCAATATGTCTTATTACAGAAGAACATGCTCAAGGCTTCTGAAGGCTAATTCACGTTAACAAATTGGATAGTGTTTATTGAACACCGTAATTTGCTTTAGGAACATTAGTCGAAAATTGCCAGCGTTTCTTCCTTGGGGTTTTTAATACAACACAGAGCTGGTTTCACCGTTTTCTCAGAATTGATTTTATGGTTGAATAACTGGTTTTATTGAATTCCAGGTTAATTGGTGCAAAAGCGAAGCAACTTAAACGTAAAATCTACAAAAAAATGTTCCCATTTATCAACGTTTATAGACTTAAGGATATCAGATCGCCATTTTGTATATTTCACCCCTACAGACCATTTTATAGGTATAGATATATGTATTATTGCTCTATGGAGAGTTTGTTGAAATGATGCTATAACAGCATATTACCAGATGTACAGCAAGATAAAGAAACTCCAATCCAATCATACGAACAATAGCTAAAATTATGTCATCTTATATAAAAAAAATCAATCTATTATGATACGAAACAACGGCTAAATAAATGTCAATCATCATACTTGTAAAATATGCTTGCAAACGTTTTTGGAACAGACCATATTAGATGTAGGCTATAGGTTTACACTTTTCTATGGAGAATTTAATAAAACTGTAATTTAACAGCATAGTATTTCACCGGACAATAAGTGAAGAATGTCTAATACGAAACAGCGGCTTAAAATGCACAGCATGCCATTTTGAAAGACTGATATAAATTTTAACATGTACAACAAACCAGGACCTTGCAAGCACAGTGAGGTAAACAAAATAAAGTCTAAAATAAAAGTGAAATTACTGGACTTTAAACAAAAGCAAAACAATGATGGACACTAAGACAAATCCTTGTTCAATTAAAACAAAGAAAGGACTCGACAGATATAATTTTATCAATGTTAATCGACTAGAATCAGTCGAATTTCGATACAAAAATAAGACCAAAGCTATCTCGAAAAGCTAACGAATCGAACCGCTTATATCACGAGATACATTCCCCTGGTTGTCTTCGATCTAGTGCTCACTGGTTTTTGTCTCGCGTGGGTTGACTCATCCTGTTCAACACGTCTTATTGTCCCTATCTTATCTAGTCATGTAAATTAATCTATTAAGTATGTAATAGTACGCTGAAGGATTACCACATGAAATGGAATTAAATGAGATTTAACGTCCCGCCGCTCTGCTCCGTCCGGGCTAATGAAGACGGGCATACGCCATGCAGTGTTTTACGATTGGAATTTTGCCCGGATAGCGACACTAGGGCCTACTCTTATTATGTTTACACGGGAACTCGGTTCTTCGTCACGTTGGAGTATTACATTTCTTTTTAAATTATAAACCACGTTAGAACAATGTTATTTTCGTCTACATTATGATCCCCTTTTATCAGTGTTCGCCCCCCTCCGGACCTCTATAAAATATAAAGTAATTTTTAAAATAAATTTTATTTACAATTTCAAATTATTGAAAAATTTCATTTATTAGATTAATTTATTTGATGGCCCCTAACTTTGGGATCCTGACCTCCGCACATTATAAATAAAAATGTCTTCAGATGCATTTTGGTGTAATAAGTTGAAACCGGACCTACGTATTCCGTTTTCAGTAAGTATCTTAACCATCATATATTTCCACTTGCCCACAATGTGAATTTCCATGATGGAAGAATACCATCATATTTCAACTTATTACACGATTCGCTTTTTCTCAGCGTGTCTCTTCAAAAAATATTCAGACATGCAACAATACACTCACCGGAAATTAACGGAAAATACATACATGTATGAATGATGACTGACAATATGTATGATCGCATTTCCAGTTATCATATCATATTAAACATGTTGATGGCTTATCATACTCATACTGACAGTTCTCTTGTCATCGATCTCAGATTCTAACAATATCTTGCCGGAAACCTCGACACATATCATTAAATGCAATCTGTCTTTGTGCAGACAACCCTCAAGACGACAGTGTCATATAAAATATCTTTACTGTCCCCGGAGACTGCAACTACAACGTTGTTGAATGGACAGCCCATTTTGATTTAACCTCAAGACTGGGACCTAGTTATATCGATAGTCCCTTATTATACCAATTTTACCTAAAGACCGACACCTTGTGTTATCGAAAGTTCCCTTAATTTAACCCGAAATTGAGACGTTGCTATTTCGACGCCCCCCCCCCCTTAATTCAGACGCTGCTATACCAATATTACCGTGTTTTATTCCAGATTGAGACTGACACCTTGTCTTATCGACAGTTCCCTTGATTTGATCTCAAATTGAGACGTTGTTATACCGACGCTCCCTCCTCATGACTTACCCTAGATTGAGACCCTTGATATATCAAATTGAGACGTTGATAAACCGACACTCCCTCCTCATGACTTACCCTAGATTGAGACCTTGCCATATCAATAATTCCGTGATTTTATCCCAGATTGATACTGACACCCTGTCTTATCGACAGTTACCTTGACTAACCCAATACTGAGACCATGATATATATATACAGCCCCCTTGCTATATCTACAGTTTCCTTGATTTAACCCAGATCGAGACCTTGTTAGTCGACACTCACCTGGATTAAACCCCGGCTTCAGAATCCCAAACTGAAATCTTGTCATATTAAAACTCTTCGAAAAAATTGTCAAATCAAC